AGGTAGCTGCTATTAAAGCCTCACCCCATAGGTATTTAGGACAATTACTATTAGATAGCATTGTCCTTACTTTATTTAATAAAGTAAGATTTATACGTTCTATTAAGCCATTAGGCTCTTTTGTATAGGCAGGACTAGTATTATGGGTAATACCATATTTATTGGTTATATTTCTCATTGGTTTATTAACATATTCTCTACCATTATCGGTGAATAATTGTTTTATATTAATACCAATTTGATTATTTATTAAAGCCTTTACCTTTTTAAAGGCTATTATTGCTTGGCTTTTATTCTTTAATAATATAACAAATAGATAGCGTGTCTGCTTATCTAAAAAGGTTATATAATATATATAATTATTATATGTCTTTGGTGTTATTGGGCCACCTATATCACTATGAATTCTTTCTCCTTTTTCATAGAGAATATTGTTATTTGACTTTTTATTTATATATCTTTTTGCCTTAGACTTTAGGCAGATCTCACATTCTTTTATTATATTATATAGGTTTTTGTCAGATATATTTATATTAATAATATCTTTTAATATATGATTTAGGGCCTTAGGTCCAATATGACCAAGTCTTTTATGCCAATTATTTATCTCTATATCTTTATCTTCTAGATATAGAAGCTTATTTTGATATTTATTATCAGATATCTTTCTAGGATATAGTATATTAGTATTAGTTTTATATAGTATATCTTTATAACCTTTTATTGTTGGTTTTTTATTATTATATATATATACACTATTTTCCTTGAAAATAGATAGGCCTTTTAGCCTATTAGTGCTTAGTATATTAATACCTAATTCAGGCATATATAGCACATTATGCATAATATATATATAATTCAGATTTGTTTGAATTATAACTGTTCCTTTATATTTTATTGGTATTTTGAGTGCTTTTCCCCAGTTTACTGTTTCATTTACTTCTCTTTTATAACAAAAATAGTTTAAATTTGTAATAACTGAGATAGTAGCAGCAGTATCAATAACAAAGTTACAAATAGGTCCAATCTGATAGGGCAATTTGCCTAGATAACCTTTATTATTTGTAAGCTTTTTATTATTTTTATCATTTTTTGGGGTATTATTGACACTCACATCATTGTCCAGGTCCAATAGGAGATTATCGATTTCCATATCAATATCCTGAATAGGTATAGTGTCAAGGTCATCTGAATCAGAGAGAATAGCATTAACAATAGCAATATCTTGTTGTTTTTGCTGTTTTTTGTTTGTTTGATTTATATTGTTTGTATTGTTTGTATCGTCTGTATCGTCTGTATCATTTGATTTCCACCAATCAGGACGCTTCTTAGGATATAAGAAGTAGCAATCATCGACATTATGATTGGTTTTATGACAATTTTTGCAAAATTTTCCACTCAAAGGTTGTTTCTTCCATGGTTTTTTGTTTTGTTTGTTTTGTTTGTTATTTTTGCTTATTTTGTTGTTTTTGTTGTTTTGTTTGTAGAAAGAGTTATTAATACTATAAATAGCATTATCATCTTTGCCACGTGATTCATCAATAAGTGATTTAATCAATGAATCAATAGTATATGCCTTAGGATCATTGCGTAGAGATTGTGTAATATTTTGTATGAAGCCTGAATAGTCTTCATCCAAACTATTTAAAATCCAGGCAATAACTACCTGATTAGGTAGTATAATATCCTTAGATTTAAGGTCATTGATAAGCAATTTTACCTTATTAAGGTATTGCTCCATAGTATCAAAATCACCCAAAGTGGTATTAAAGAATTCTTTTAACACCAGGAATTCAGTGGTAAAACCTTTAGGGTTGAATAACTCCTTTAGGGTATTCCATGCCTGAATAGCACTAGTTTCATCCTTTATATATAATAGAGGATTATCATCACATAGTAGCTTAATAATAGCTAGTGCCTTCCTGTTCTTAGCAGGGGTGATATTGGTTTCATCTGATATTGTCCCATCAGGGTCTAGGGTATCAAACCCTAGATCTTCCTTAATCAATAAGGCATAAGCCCTAATTGACCATGTAGTATAGTTTTCAATACCTAAGAGCTTAGGCACCTCAATTTTTGGAAGATTTGACATTTTTCGATATTTTCGATATTTTTGATGTTTTTGATATTTTTGATATAACCCTAGGGTTTAGGGTTTTAGGGTTTAGGGTTTCTAAACCCTAAAAGATCAGATGAAAGAAGATAAAGAAGTGGTGGTAGTATAAGCCAGATATAAAGCAATCCGGGCTCATAACCTCTGAGACTTTGTATGTCTCAATAGGCTTAGGGAAGGTTGGATGAAGAAGAAGAAGGTGTTTAGCTTGTTTGATAAAGAAGATTGGTGTTTGCAATGTTTGCTGATATTGTATTGATTGTCTTGCTTGTCTTGATTGTCTTGATTGTCTTGATTGTCTTGTTCTGTGTTGTGTATGGGGGGAGAAGGTTATATATATATTTAGCTGGCTTAGGCAATATTGCTAAGTATGGTAGCAGTAGCACCGGCATAGTTACATCCGGGGCACTAGCATAGTTACACCCGGAGCACTGGCACAGTAACCCCCGGGGCACCGGCATAGTTACACCCGGGGCACCGGCATAGTTACACCCGGGCCACTGGCACAGTAACCCCTGGGGCACCGGCATAGTTACACCCGGGGCACTGGCATAGTTACACCCGGGGCACTGGCACGGTAACCCCCGGAGCACTGGCACAGTAACCCCCGGGGCACCGGCATAGTTGCACTCGGGGCACTGGCATAGTTACATCCGCTCTCTAAGGCTTGTATAGCCTAGGCAACGGTAATATTTGTAATATTCATAGGTGCCGCTCGGCCATCGGTATAGGTGCTGCTCGGCCATCGGCATGGGTGCTGCTTAGCTGTCGGCACGGGTGCCACTTAGGTGTCATCTATCGGTTGTTATAGCCGGAGCTTTGGCGTATTTTGTTATAGGGTTTTATAGTATAATATTCATAAGTATTAACTATAATTATAGTTTAGATACTAAGTAATAAATTTATTTGTCTCTAGATATTAGAGAGAGATAATACTCTAAATTAGTAATATAGTAATAAAATATCTTTAATTCTTTATTAATTGACTAGTAATAATATTCTATTTTATTACTAATTTCTCTAGTGAGAATATTTTTATTATATATTAAGATAAATATCTATTCCTTAAAGTATTCCTAGCTACTAAGATAATTATCATTATCATCTTTAAGATATCTCTCTTCTATAGTCTAATTATCCTTATAATTAGAGTTAAGATACTTGATTTCTATAAGGATCTTTATTTTTTTATCTTTATAGACTTTAGAATTATCTTAGAAAATATATCTAAGCTAAGAAATCTAATCTTAAGTATACTAGGGTGTAAGTGGATCTTAATATATAGGTGGCTTAAAGAGGATTCAAGTATAGATTGATATTGAATATCTGGGATGCTGCATACTCGAATCCTGTGATACTTACGTATTAATATTATAACTAGTAACTCTTTATTATAGATATTATAGTTAAGTTCTATAAGTAGTATTTCTTTAGACTAAATTATAACTAGTCTTATTTCCCTATTATTCTCTAGTTAGATAAATTATTCTCTAAGTATATAGTCTAATATATTAGTTTCTACTATATATAGTTTATTTAGATTAACTAGTATAAGTATTATTTACTTAGTAAATATTTTCTTAAAGTTATTGAAAAATTTTTCTAATTAGTTATTCTAGATCTATTTCTAGTCTTTCTTAGGTAATTTATTAATATTAACTATAATCTTACTAAAACTATTAATTAAATACCAGTAGTAATTATATAATTCTACAAATTATTAACCTTTTACTATATTCCTAGGTATTAGCTAATCTAAGATACTTCTAATCTTATCTTCTTGTATATGAAATCTATTTTTACTAATTATATATTCTAGAAAATATATTTCTTAATATAAAATTTACACTTTTAAGACTAAGTATAATCTTAGTTTCTCTAAACTTTTACAGTACCTTTTTAATAAACTAGATACATTCTTCTATAGTTTTATAAATACTAAGATATTATTGAGATATATCATTACAAAGATATTTAGGTATTCTTCTAATATATTAAAGATAAAAAATTAAATCCCATAGATATATTTATAAGTGTAAATAGTATAACTGTATATTTAAAATACCTATGCTTTATTCTAAACACTATTTGCCATTTATCATTTTCTTTAATCCTAAGGTATCAGCTGCCATTGTTATTGCTGTTGCCTAATCAGATCGGTTGGGGTGGGAATAACTAAATAGATGGGGGAATGGTTCTGGGATTAATCCCCTATAGTTATCAGCGACTTATATACTGTGTAGATCCAAATCACCATAACAAGGCAAAAAAAAGTGAATAATTCAGCTTACATTCTCCAAGATCGCCATAATAAAAGCAAGCTTACTGGAAAGGAAGCTCGCAGACCCATTCACATTCTTGAAATCCTTGTAAAGAAAAAATAATGTGGCTGATATTTTGGTGCCCAGGTTCGCCATCCGAACAATGCTGGCAGTGATACCTAAAGCCTTAAGCTCATACATGATAGGAAGTTTGAAAGTATGATAGCTGTAAGCCTTTAGAAGGTGGAATTAAGATATGTCGGCAATGTGATAGAGACCAAAAAGGACTCAGAGTAGAGAGGAGAAGGTAGCACGTAGATCGTAGTTTGAGTCACCTCATAGTTACTCCATAGACCTAGCAGCACTTATTTATCGGCAGTGGAGGGTCATGAATGGCCATCTGTCTTCAAGATTTTCGACCACCTTACAATTTGTGTTTATGGCCAATTCAACCGTTCAGCTTTGGCCTTCTTGTAAGATGCTATCATACTTGTCTCTTTTAGGTTCTCACAGATATTGTCATTTGAAATAAGACCATAGAAATTACCAAAATGGGATGAATGTTTCTTGTCTAACAGGGTAGGTAACCTTTTTGTTATTTTAAGATAGGATTTCAAGCTTCTAGGCTAGACCCGAGTAAAGAAGTACATGTAGGCGGTCTTTTTTATGCCCTCAATGTCGTCAAACTTGACAACTTTCTCATCATTAAACATCACCCATGAAAGCTGGTCCTGGTTTGGAAGCACCTTACGAACAAGAGCTACATAATGTCTAAGGAATATTAGTAAAGCCTGCTCAAGGGTACTATATCAGAAAGAAAGGACTCACCCTGCATGCACGGAAGTGCCCTTGTGACACACAATAGATCGTAACTGGTAAGAAGCTGGCAAGCTGTCAAAGCCAGGTGTGCCTTGCTGGGCTGGAGTATCATTAGTATTTGTGTCGAACTGGTCTCCTGATCCATCATCAGGATGGCTGAAGACCCAATCTACAGCCCGGGTAACATCGCCGTCTGTTGCAGCCAAAGCTTTCCGGGCCCTGGCAGGGTCGATGCCCATTTCGCCTAGCTGGGCAACTTTGCCTTCATCCTGTGGTGAATCTCCCGATTTGCCACTCAAGACCAGAGGCTCATCAATGTCGGGGTCCTCCATGTGTGCAAGTAACCAGTTCATGGCAGCCTCTGGGTCTGAGTTTCCAGTTGCATGGAGGGCCTTCTCACATCTCGGCTGAGGGAAGCCCATGTTCAAAAGCTGATCCATGGCCGCAGGATTGGCAGTGAAAGTAGGTGTCTCCGCAACCTCCTCAGGCAAGAGCTCCTCAAATTTATCATGTTGTTTGCTGATATAACGTCCGAAGTCTAGAGGTGCGTCATCCACGATCACAGGAATATCAAGCTTGGTGGGAACCCAGTTCACCACCTCGAACCGCCGAGCATTGACTGCTAGTTCGGAGGGTAGAGTCTTGAAAGACGACCGTTTGGAAAAGCCAAGGCCGCCTTCGCATGCGGGGCATTTAAGCTCCACTATTTCCTCTGCAGTGAAAATGTCTAGACACTCGGTCAATGTCACTGGCTCAAAGCGATCCCTACTTGATTCAAGACGACGCGCTGGTACCGCAACAGAGATATTGTCTTGCTCATCGACCTTGTAGCGAACCTTTTTGCAGCTGAGACACTGAAGCCGCTGCTCCACCTGGAATCGGAAATATTGGACTGGATTCACTTGACCCTCGGGGTGATTTGACAAGCTGATCGACTTGAACACATGAAGAAGAAATTCGAAGGCATCTTGTTGTCTCATCGTCGCAAACTCTTCATGGCCCTGCCCAATCAGGTATTTAAACATGGCCGGGGCCAGTCCTTTCTGATGCGCACTCTCCGGCGTATCCGAGGACGCAGCAATGCGTGAATCTGGTCGAGAATAACGGCCCGAAAGCAGACCATCTGCCAACTTCCTCATTTGTGTCTCAAGATCTTGTGCTGGAGCATCAGTGTATGGAGGTTCGCTAGAAGGATAGAAGTATCGCTCCTCGAACCCTCGAGTAGAGAAGATACACTGCAGGATACTTGACAAATAACAGCTGTTTCCAAGGTTGGACAAGCCAGTGAACCCAGGGCCATAGACCGGCAATAGCTCGCGTCCGTCCTCGCTAGTCATGGAAAACTCCCACTGCATGTTGTGTTCGACTTGCATTTCCATCAAGCTTTTTTCAGTCTTCTCTCGCCCGGCCAAATATATTCCCCAGTGTGCAAGGTGCTTAGCAAGTTCCGGATCTGTCCGTTCCTCATTGCACTTGTAGCAATAGATATCGGCGGATCCCTCGGCTGTGATAGAGCCTAGCTTCACAGCAACACCATGCGATGCCGAGTCTGCATGAGCGACAGCATGTGAATTTCCCTTACTCCCGCCGAACTGGCTACGTCCACAAGCGACATTTCCGCACTCGAGACAGAGCCAGAGGTTCTCCTTAAGATCGCACGCCGAGCACTGACTTGAATCTGCGATCTGAATTAGCCTTATCATAATGCAATTTGATCGAATAGATAAATACCTTTGGATTCCGCGTTCTCGATTTCATGCTGGACCAAATATAGAGTGTGCTCACAAGGAACGAACTCTTGTTCCCATGCCTTGACTTCCTCTTTCTTGGAAAATGTCATGGCATTCATAACACCTTCAACCGTCGCGAGCAGATTGCCGCATGTTTTATCCACATTGTTATCGGCGCAAGAATAGCATATCACAGATGTAACGATGTCATAACGATCCGCCTCGGTTTCGGCGGCGATTGCGAGCTTGGAAATTTTCGGCGGGGGTTCATCACGCTATATATCTCTGAGTCAGAACCCCCCAAAAAATTTCCCTTTGAAAGGATATGCTCACCTGAATCTGCTTTGGCGTTCTTTTGATGTTCAACGCCAAAGAGTGGCCGAAGCGCTGAGAATGAAGCCGGGCATGATCTCGGTCTCCAGCACAGCCACCGTTGAAGCAATGAAGGCAGACGTTAAGGCCCGAGGCATCATCCTGAAAGCGGGGCGTGTTATTATAGAGTGTATGGAATTGAATGATCCTGGACGTACAATAGAGTCAAAACACTGGGTGCAATCTTCTCGATAAACCGATTGGAAGGGCCCTGGAGGGCTAATAACTATTTTGTTTCACCGTCAGCAAATCATGGGAGCATATTCCAACGATCTCACTAACCTGAAGCTTCCGAATGGATGCAGGCCATCTTTAAGAAACGGTGCGGGGTTGATGGCGGAGGCCCCGAGAGTTCAAAGATCGGTGAAACAAGGCGGAAGAAGGGAAAATTCGCTGGGTGGGAGAAAAAGAAAAACAACTCGACACTTGAAATTGAGGGCTGAGGAGGTGTAGAGAGTAAATATAATAGATGAAGGATGTGGTCAAGCAAAGCAAGGAAAAGCAAGGCAAGGCAGGAGAGCTTCTCGTGGGGCAGAATGGCTTACATCATCATATTGCTTGCGGAGGGGTCATCCACGTGATCCAAAGCACTCTACGCGTCGGATTGGCTGGATTTACGCGTCGCGGGTTTTGTCACTCTTATCCATCTTCATCATCCTCTCGAGCCTGGAGGTCTTTTCTACTTTCTCGCTCTTCCTATTCCCTTTTCTATTTTCTTGCTTCCATCAAAATCATTGACAATGGCCTCCGATGCGGCATCCCAGGTAACCGTTGGGGCTCTGGGGTATGTGCTTTTGGTCCCTTCAAAAAGAACTCGACCACACAGAGGAGAAAACTTGATAGAGAGCTAACACCCTTGGACATAGTTCGATCTTTGACGAGACCAAGCCTCAGGTCCATGAACCCATTGTTCAATGCGTGCAAATCAAACCCCTGCCCCCCCCAACCCGGTCACCAAGAGCGTTATCGGGCCGTATTCAGTGACATCGCCAACTATGTCCAGACCATGCTTGCCAGCCGTATGCGATACAAACCCACCCCCTGTCGATCATTCTCCGGATGCTAAATGTTTCTGCAGAAGCCAACCATGTAGTTACAGATGGTTCCTTGCGAAAGGGATGTTTTGTCAAGCTGAAGTCTTTCCAAGCCAACTCCGTCAAGGGTAAAAAGTGAGTGAGAGATGGTTCACTACTCCGATAATATACTGATGAGTGGTAGGATCTTGATCATTCTAGATCTAGAGGTTTTGAAGGAACTCGGGGAGGCGGAGAAGATTGGCGAGCCGAAGCCTTTGGAAATCAAAGCCGACGACGACGAAAAACCTCAACCAACAGCAATTTCGAGCAACGGATTCTATGGCTCAAAACCCGCTGCCGCACCGCCACAGCAACAAAACCGCGCACAACCGGCGAGAGGCCCCTCGGCCGGTACCCATGCATCCATTCACCCCATCGAGGCCATCTCTCCCTACAATAACAAATGGACGATCAAGGCCCGCTGTACGAACAAGTCAACCATCAAAACCTGGCACAACAAGAATGGCGAAGGAAAGCTTTTCAGTGTGAATTTGCTCGATGATAGCGGAGAAATCCGTGCGACTGGATTTAATGATCAGTGTGATATGCTCTACGAGCTCTTCCAAGAAGGTGGTGTGTACTACATCTCTAGCCCTTGTCGAGTGCAAATGGCCAAGAAACAGTTCACAAACTTGAACAACGATTACGAACTTACATTTGAGCGGGATACCGTCGTCGAGAAAGTAAGTAGATCTCATATCTGCTCGGCACCTCGGGATAATTTGCTTATACTGACTGGTTAATAGGCGGAGGATCAATTAGATGTGCCCCAGATTCGCTTCAACTTCACCACCGTTGGAGACTTGCAAACCGTGGAGAAGGACACAACAACTGATGTGATCGGAATCCTGAAAGAAGTTGGAGAAACATCGCAGATCGTTTCAAAGGGAACAGGCAAGCCCTACGACAAGCGAGAGCTCGGCCTTGTCGACAACACTGGGTTCTCGGTCAGATTGACCATCTGGGGTGCAAATGCTGTCAATTTCAACGTGGCTCCAGAGTCCGTTGTTGCATTCAAGGGAGTCAAGGTCTCCGACTTTGGCGGTCGCAGTCTTAGCTTGCTGAGCTCTGGCTCAATGACGGTCGATCCTGATATCAGCGAGGCCCACAAACTAAAGGGATGGTATGATGCTCAGGGTCGGACTGAGAATTTCACTTCGCATGCGTCTCTCTCCGGTGCTACCGGCTCGAGCATGAAGTCTGATAAGTTCAAGACGGTTGCCCAAGTCACTGAAGAACAGTTGGGTATGTCTGAACAGGTGGATTACTTCTCCTTGAAGGCGACTGTTGTTTTTATCAAGCAAGATGCCACCTGGTGCTATCCCGCCTGTCTCTCCGAACGCTGCAACAAGAAGGTCACTGAGCTGGATCCTGGTCAGTGGCGTTGTGAAATGTGTGACAAATCACACCCCAAGCCTGAGTATCGTTACATTATGCCTCTCAGTGTGAGCGATCACACCGGCCAACTTTGGCTCAGTTGCTTTGACGACACTGGACGACTGATCATGGGGATGTCGGCCGATGATTTGATGCAGCTTCACGAGGATGACCCTGTCGCATTTGGGGAAGTGTTCCAAGAAGCCAATTGCCGCACCTGGAATTTCCGTTGCCGTGCAAAGATTGACACTTATGGTGAACAACAGCGGTAAGTATTTTTACAATGATATTTTGCATCTTGACCAGGAAACCCAAAGCTAATATCACTCAGAGTTCGGTATCAAGTATCGTCCGCCTCGGCCATCAACTACTCCGAGGAAGCCTCCCGTCTCGCCGACATCATCAGTGCTTACAATATCAACTAGACAAGATGTTTCACACAGAGAAGGATGTTTGGGATGTTACCTTTCCCATTCCTTTCTTCTTTCACCATCGTTTTGTTGACACCTCTCTTACGCGCGGGTTACCGATGTTCAAAATTATTCTTCTGCCCTTTAGTGTAATAGTGCCCGCACGGAGTATCTGATTTCCATACCAATTGACCACCTAGTTTCTTACCAATCATGATCTTATGCTTTATATACCTCTTACCTTGCCTTCAAGTAACATCCACCCGCATACTCTAGTAAACATTTGATTCCCCACATCGGCGGACCGACCGCAAACCTCCGGCGGTGACATCGGAAACTCGCGGCAATATTTTGAAAAATTCCCAAATTTTCCCTAAGCAGGCGGCTTCGCAGATCACTCCCCATTCATTTTTCAGAATTGTCGTCCCCCAGACAATTTATTCGCCATGGGAAAACGAAGCCACGACTCGGCGGAGCTCAAGCCCAAGAAGAAGTCCAAGTCTGACAAGCCTCCCAAGGAGAAGAAGAACAAGAGCGACAAGAGCGAAAAGACCGAGAAGGTTGTTGCGGAACAGGAAAATGGCACCTCATCTAGCGACTCGTCCACCTACACCCAAGCAGCTGGCCTTACAGCCCTTCCCCAGTCCCAAATCGACACTTTCATGAGCGAGAATATCATCAAGTTCAGCGATCCCTCTGCAGACGCACTAGCCTACCGCCCATTGACCTCATTTGACTATCTGCCTCTCTGCGACAACAGCAACCTGTACGCCCCTCTGAAGTCATTCCCAGCACCAACACCAATCCAGGCCTGTACTTGGCCACTACTTTTCGCCGGCCGCGATGTCATCGGTATCGCCGAGACAGGCTCTGGAAAGACCCTGGCCTTCGGTCTGCCTTGCCTGCGCAAATTGACCCAGTCCAAGAAGAGCAATAAGCCTTACCACCCAAGCGCTGTCATCATTTCTCCTACCCGTGAGCTCGCTATGCAGATCTACGACCAGCTCATCAAATACACCGAAGTGACCGATCTCGGCGCCGTCTGTATCTTCGGCGGTGTCAGTAAAGATGAGCAGCGCACTGCCCTTAAGACGGCCGCCATTGTCGTTGCTACCCCCGGTCGTCTGAAGGATTTACAACAAGACGGCTCCGTTGATCTTTCCAAGGTCAAGTACCTCGTCCTTGACGAAGCCGATCGCATGCTGGACAAGGGGTTCGAGCAGGATATCAAGGATATTGTCGCACCCATGCCCGTCTCTCGCAGACAGACCGTCATGTTTACCGCGACATGGCCCCGCTCCGTGCGCGACCTCGCAAACACCTTCATGAGCACCCCCGTGACCGTCACCATCGGCGGCGACCCCTCCGCAGACCCCCGCGCCAACCTCAGAATTAAGCAAGACGTCGAGGTCATGGATGGCCGGGACAAGGAGAACCGACTCATCCAACTCCTGACAAAGTCACAGAAGGGCAAGAACCCCGAGAAGGTCCTCGTATTCTGCCTGTACAAGAAGGAAGCCATGCGTGTGGAGAGACTTATCAGTCAGAGGGGATTCAAGGTTGCCGGTATTCACGGCGATCTGAACCAGTCAGATCGTTTCCGTAACCTGGAAGCTTTCAAGTCTGGAGCTGCGACCGTCCTTGTCGCCACTGATGTCGCGGCCCGTGGTCTCGATATCCCTGCTGTGATGTTGGTCATCAATGTCACTTTCCCTCTGACTGTTGAGGACTACGTCCATCGCATTGGGCGAACTGGACGTGCTGGTAAGGAGGGCCACGCCATCACCATGTTTACTGAGCAAGACAAGGGTCTATCTGGCGGGTAAGTCAAATTTTTTTTATCTCTTTTCAAGCCTCTTGCAGCGAGTGCTACTACTTCAGATCATATATACTGACAATTTTATTACAGACTGGTCAATGTTCTCAAGGCCGCAAAGCAAAATGTGCCCGAGGACCTCCTGAAGTTCGGCACCACCGTGAAGAAGAAGCAGCACGACGCCTACGGCGCATTCTTCAAGGACGTCGACACAGACAAGAAGGCCACCAAAATTACTTTCGATGATTAAGTTAAAGGAGTTTGAAATTTGAAATCGAAAATACCCACAAACTATGACTTTGACTATTCGAGTTTTTTGGGTCCCTTGGCGCGGGAGGATTCGATTTGACGAATTTCCGCCAATTGTTGCATGATATATTTTCTTTCCACATAGAGCCTAATGACAAAGCTGCAAGTTAGATCGTGATTACCACAAAAAATGTAATTTTTTTTCTTGCTTTTCGAACCTTTCTCGAGGTCCACTTACATTAGAAGTCCGTAGACACCGCTAAACGCAATTGCCGGAATGATGTTCGCATGCAGACTCGGCAGCATTTGACTCGCTACCGTAGCCACTGCAGAAAGGACATAAGCCGCAGGCTTCATACTGATCTCACTAATACCCAGACTGCTCCTGTTTTTGCGGAAAAAGCCTCGAATGAAACTGTAGCTCCATAATGTTCGGACAGCCATGTTCACGATATTGGCCAGTACAAGCCCGTATGCACCCAGGGACCCGACCTCCAGAAAGAGATAAGCAGCCAGTGCATAGCATGCAGAGAAAGCACCCATCCAGCCAGTCTGTTTTCGAATCTCGGATGGATTGGCCGCAGAAGACACAAACGCTTCCGTGATGCCGTTGAATGCCAGGAACGGAATATAATAACAATACAGCGATAGCAAGTCGGCTACTTTCGGCGAAGCCCATTGCCGACCTCCAAGGATGGCGAGGACCGTCGGAACCATGATGGGTCCAATTGGTAAGACGAGGGCCGAGAGAAGTTGGTAGGCTCGTAGAATGGTAACAAGTTGACCCTTTGCAGTGCGGAGTTGGACATCGGTTCGGTTGCCCGGTCCATCTTGACTCAGCAGTGCAGAAAATAGGTTCCTACTGCTTTCTTCTAGTGGTTGGAAGATAATGCGTGCAATGAGGCCGCCGTAGTTGGATGCTAGAGAGTAAATCCCTTGATCTTCTAGGCTGGACATTGCAGCTAACATCATTGAGTCGCCTTGAGTGAGGAGGTGTTTGACCAATGATTGGAAAAACAGAGTTGCTGCTAAAAAGGTGAGCCGGCGGGAGAATAGGTCTGAGATATATTCTGAATTGTTGCTGCAGATAGTTAGTATTAGTATGCGAGAGTCTAGATTTTTGCTAATGGCTAGGATAATGAGATTAAACCCATACATACCTAGGTCTTATCCATGAAAGAAGAAACGAGAATTGCCGTGTAAATGGAGTCCACAGCAACGAGTAGTAGTACCCAAAAATGAGGGCGAGAGAGTAGGCCATATACCCAAGGGCAAAGGGCAAAGGACCAACATCATGGCCTTGACGAGCGGCGTAAAAAAAGGTAGAGCAAGTCACAAGACTCTTCAAGAAGGCCGCGGGCAGTTCAACTGCGGCCCGTTTCTCATACCACATACGTTGCTGAACGACCGCAAAGAATGGTTCAATGGTCAATTCTAGCAGAGAAGCGAGACCCGTCACCGTCACACTTTGGTTGAAAAAGGGGGTAGCGTTCGCCTGATCGGGAGCGAAATGTTTGTAAAACCATGTCAATCCGGTCGTAAAAATCACCCCAAGAAACAAGCTCAGATAAGACACATTGACAACAGATTGAGAGGCGAGTGATTGCTTTTCATCTGTGTCTCGATTACCTTTCTCTTTGCCGTCGGTGCTCGTGCTTGTAGAAGATGGGCTGGATTCCAAGGGCTGTCTTTGAATGGCCATCCGGATGCTTTCTCTAGAGAAATAGAGAATGGTCACTTGGAAGAGCTCAAGTTGAGCGGCTATGCCCAGAACGATAGGCGATAATGTTCGCAATATCAGCTGGTTGGAGGCGAAGGTAAAGATTCTCGACGCCAATTGAATGATGATGAGAAAGGTGGTACCAGTGGCGGACGACCTAAGCACATTGCTATTTCCATCGCTGCTGGTTTTGTCAATTTCCTTCTCCTTCTCCTTTCCATTTCCATGGCCCGCTGGTGTTTTACCGGCGCGCCCCATTGTAAGAGGGGGATATTGACGCGTGTCCAAAAGAGGAATTGTTGGTGGCCAAGCCGAAGTACAACTTTGGGGCTCTGACCGCTTACTACCACGCTTACGTAGTCGGACTCTTCGTCATTATGTTGAATTTCGATCAAATTTTACAAGAGGATAAATAAACAGCTTAGAAAAATTACACAGAAACTTTTCTCTTAATTGATCTACGAGTGTACAGTGGATACATGATGTCGCCGGCGACAGCGCACGAGTTCAATGTTTCTTGATCGTATGCTTGTGCCTCGATGGGGACAAGGGCGATGCTCTCCTGAAGATTGAGATCAAGATCCTTCGAGGAAACCCGAGTTTCAAAAAAATGCCGGTCTAGCCTTGTTGATTCAAATTGTGCAAGGCGGCAGATGCAAAGGCACGCCTAGAATGGGGGAAGGTAGAATGGATAACCACCGTTCTTGACCTTGAAAACGCTCAGGAGGAAACTGTACGTAAGGAACAGAACAGCACCCCAAATAAGCACGGCCAATTGCTGTCCCTTGATATCCTCCATGCGTGGAACCTTCAATGCAAGTGCGATGGTTGCGAAGGAGAGAACGGCATCTGGGAGATGTTAGTCATAACTAGAACCGCAGTCTCAATGACCAATGGAAAATACTCACAGATGGCTGCAATAATCTGGGTTTCCATGCCAAATTGATTCTGGAATCCACCAGCAAAGTAGCTGATACCGCCTTGACCATCGCCTGCGACATAAGGAACCTTCCGGATGTGATTGAACATCTGTCCACTGGTGAACAGGAGGATGGCAATCAGGCTGACGGCAGCCCAGAGGTTTCGGTTCTGGATGATGGGCAGAAGATAGGGAGACAGAACAGTGACCAAGGTGATGGCACCCATCACGATTGTGACTGCAGAGACGAGGCGCATATAATTGAAGGGTCGGACCAGAGCGGGCTTGGGGCCCTCAGGCAGGTGACGACCGATCCAAGCATATAGTGCCTCTGCGCCAATTGGACTGTGATTGGGGGACAACATGTAAGTGAGAGCTTCTTGAAATTGGCCGAGAGGGGTTGATTATTACCTGGTGAAGTCGTATCTCAACGGCTCGGCGTCCAACTTGGCGAACGGTCCAATAGTGGGAGGAAACAGGAGAAGTACGGGCGCGGTTTGAAGCATGAGCTGTTGAGAGTAAAGATGGTTAGTTTCCATCCAAATTCAATTCCAATGGCTTCAATTGAGATAGGGCAAATGGGATCCAATACCTTTTGGAAGACAGCTTTGCCCTTGTCGAAGTCCAAAGTTCCAAAGACGACCTTCAAGTCATCCGGCTTGGAGCCTTTGTTCCAGCTTCGAGCCATAAGGGACCATTCGGGATCGAACTCCCGGCACATAGCACACCCATAACGGGCATCTAGTGCCGTAAGGAGAACAGCAGCATAATAATCCCGAGGAGCAGTTGTCAGTTCCGCAAATGAGGAACTCTCCAAATCAACGGGGCCGGAGCGAGAGAGAGCTTGATACTTCTCAAATCTTTCCGGAGAAGATTGCGCGGCAAAGGCGCCGGAGAGAAGCGAGAAACACAGAAAGAGCGAAGTCCAGAACTTCATGATGGCATGACACGAAGCTGAGGAATTGACGAAGGCGAAGCGACCAGGTGCATTCGGGGAAGCCCCAAGCTTCGTGCAAGGTGGCCCGTTACGTAATCCCCTCCCCGCCCAAAGTGGAGCCATCGGAAGGCGCGTTTCAAGCTTCGCCGACATCGACATCAGATTGATCATCGCATATGATCACAGAGTATAGACCAGCATCATGGCAGTTCCGACAGAAGCCCAGATATCAGAGGTATGCTCTTGTCACAAGAATGAAGTACAACTGTACAATTGCCATACTAACTCCTCTTCTAGTGCCAAATGTCCATCCAAACAACGCGTTTGGAGAAGGAATATGAAATAGTGCGCGCCCATTCTACGCGTCTCCTAGATACTGAGAAAGATCGTGTGAGGCGCATGGAGAATTTACTTCTTCAATTCGAACGCGACGCTCTTCGATCCCAGCTCGACCAAGCCAACGAACAATTACTTGGAGCTACGGAATCGGAGCGGGAGGCGCGCACGCAGTTGGAAGAAGCTTTTCAAGAGATTGACCGTCTAGATGCCTATGTTCAGTCTTCTTCTAGCGAGATGAATAGGCTCAAGGTATGTGTTGACCCCACTCCGAGTGCTCTTATGAAAGAGTGATTATCTAATTGACCGGCAGGACGAGCTCTCGGCTATGAATGACACCTCTACTAGCTACAGCAACCTCCTCGCCGAAAAACTACGATTGTCTCGAGATCTCTCTAATCTCCAAAGCGAACTCGACCGACTCCGAAACCAAGATTCGTCCTACCAAGCATTGATACCGGAGAAGCAGGACCTGGAACGACAACTAAATTCATTGGAAGTACAACTTGAGAACGAGAAGAATTCACATGACCGTACGCGAGCCAAGAGTTCGCAACAGGCCACACAAATCGACAAACTCTCTATACGAATCGAGGAACTAGAGGGTAACATCGCCAGAGAACTGCGAGCAAAACAGCAATCCGAGCACGACAACCGACAACAAGATACAGAATGGGAAAGCCAACGATCAGCTCTCGAGACAAGAATCGAGACCCTTAAGAAACAACTACGGACCGCGAAGGATAAACTGCAAGAAGCCCAAAATGAATTACAACACCGGCGTAACAATGTGAGAATTGAGAACGAACCATCCGAACCACGATCCCGGACTGTCCCTCTTCAGCGCCCGGGTCCTGGAGGGGCCGATTATCAAGGTGGTGTGACGATTTCGACGCCAGGGGCTGTCAGGATTCAAGACAAGCTCAAGCGACAATCAGCTTTACCAGGAGATAAATCAGCGTTCTCCATAACGCCGTACCTGAATCGTACCAAGAACTCCGGGGGTTCTCCATCAAGCTCAGATGCGGAAGAGGAGCAACCGAAGAAGGCAAAGACAAAGGCAAAGGATGGGAGCAAGCCAACCTCTCGCAAAACCGCCATCGCCGAAGAACCATCCGGCGAGCGTGCATCACTAGAGGACCGCGCTACTTCTACGCGTGTTCCCTCAAAAACCGCAAAGGGGAAGTCAAAGGCAACGGAAGGGAAACCCGCGACCCGCCCAGCTCCCAAGCCTATTTTAGAAGAAGACAGCGATGAGCTAGAGTCTTCAATGGACCAAGGCCAAGCTAAAATCAAGCGACGAAAGCTTGGGGCTCAGCGGGAACGGTCATTGTTCGAGGACGATGAGAATGAGGACGAACTCGACATGCGAAAGCCCGGACGCAAGTTAGGCCTTGGGGGTGGGAGAAGTTCGATACTTGCGACTACCACGCAATTGTCGGGCGCCAGTGGAATCCCTCGAAATCTTGGCTTCGCTGCACCCATGGGATTTTCACCTCTCAAGAAAGACCGGAAGCGATTTTAATTTTTGGAAACGAACGAAGGAACAATTTCTAGCTGCAGAGAGTAAGTATACTTGACCAATTTAAACCCGTAGTGACCCTGTGATATGGTTCTGATGATATAAAGTATGGAAAACTCGCTTTGACAGATTCCGTTATCTTGATGACTTAAGATATAGAGTTCAGTCCAGGGCCCATCGCTTCAGCCCAGTTACGGCTAGGAAGTACCTATGTAGGTACTTGGTAGGACCACGTGCAATTGTACTATAGTACTAGTAGATGTCTTCTGTGAAGGGTTGACGGGGCCTTAGAGGTAATACCTAGGCACTGGTGATTTTCTGTAGAAACATTGTGCTTGGTTTGGGGACTGAGATGCCCCAGGCGACAATTTAGATCGCCGTCCTCCCACGCAATAGCAACGTATTTGACTTGAAACGCACACAAAAATGAAAAAGAAGAAAATAAATGAACTCAAAACCTTTCCTCCTACAATGATTCCTCGAAATTATCTTCTGCAAAGGTTCTGGTTTCAACTTAAAGTCACCATGGCTTCTGACGATGAATAGAGCTCCATTAGTGATATAATACTCTTTGGGCTAGCTATTGGATTCTGTGGATTATTCTTGGTGGCTCTAGTGGAGTCTATTTTTCGATGGGTCAAGGCCTACAGAGGAAATCGGCGAGGTTGCCTAAATGTGCTTCCAATTCTCGAGTTGAATGGGACTGACGAAAGTACTGGTGCTTCGCCTGACGATCCGCGCACTTCTCACAACAGCTATCTTCACAGTAGCACTCGCAACTATAGTGTTTCATTTGGCATGGGGGTGATAACCATACCTGGTCAAACCAGCTCCGATATGGATCGAGATGTAAGATCTGGAGTTGCATATTCTGCGGAGCTGCAAGACCTTGAAGCTGTGATACCTCGGTATCATGCCTTTTGATCTTATTTAACCGATTGCGAGCAACACTGAAGCTATTTTCTTTCAATTTCAATCTATCATCAGCGTCTTCCCGAGGGCAGCCTGCATAATGGAAAAGAAAATATGCACATATCAATTCCTGGAAATGGAGGTGAAACAATTGATCGCCTTTTCCTCGCTATTTAGCATGAGTGGAGGTCCACCTGTATATAGGAGAATCAATCACATAGAATAAAACCCTGTGTGCGGTATTTGCTCATTCACCATGATACGGACTACTAAATCATGTAATTTCATCAGAGGTGTTTACCATCAAGCCCAATGCTACTTGTCGAGGACTGGTAAATACCGCTGTATCCATCGACTGTTGTCTTCAATTCCTCGAATACAATTTGAGCCAGCTTGGCGTTTTGATAGAGAAGAATCCCATGGGGATTTTTCACTTCCATTAAAGCCCCCATAGCACCTTCATATCCCGCATCGACGACTCCGGTGGTGATACTAGCACCAGACCGCCATAAAGATGATCTTGGAAAGACGCTACCCATGCAATTTCGTGGAATTTGAACAGTTTCGTTGAAGTCAACCAAGTAAGCGCCTGGAGGAAGTGTGATCGCTCGATTTGCGATGTCGAATGTGATGGTGGAGGCTTTTGCCGCCTGGCGTTTTGTATTATCGAAATCAATACAAGCCGCTGAGGTCCATTTGGAAACCTGTCGTAAAGTGAGGTCGATCCCACATGGTTGCTGCTGCTGGCCAATGTGCCTTATGTTCCGCACTAATTGGCGGCTGACGACTTCCAGTCCACTGAGAATCATGTCGACGACTTGAGCTTGTTATTTATTGAGAAATATTGAGTCAAGTGATTGAATTGGCGAATAACAAGGAGGCTGAATAAAGGAATGAATATTTTTGGCACTTCGAATGCCGCAGCCCCTTTCTATCAGCCTTGCTCTTGAATTTCACACCGCCCACCTCGTGATTTGCTCACAATATTGTATCACTATCCTGCTACACGGGACGGTAACTGACTAGTGACATCTCGGAGGCGAGGTCGACGGGAAGAATATTCTTATTTATCTCCAAATATAAGCTTTGTGATGTTCGATCAAAATGAACGGAAGGAGATGATTATCTCATCGCGAGCATCTCTGATCTGGGGGTCTCCATCCGATACCCAAATTCTCCATTGCCAGCTTCTCCCGCGCTTCCCAGGTCTCCCCACCCTGCTCAAGATCAAGAACCTGCCCGCCAGAAGTCTGTTCACGTACACCACTAGAATCAAACTTCCAGCCATGAGACTTCTTAACATAACGCCTCAAGTCGCGCTGGAATGTTGTATCACCTGTCCATCCAAGAACTGCACAGCCAACAGTTTGCCAAGGTGATATGATAATATCAACTCGGCGATGAGGGTTTGGATTCTTGTTGTGTTGGGAACTGTCGAATTTTGGCTCTTGCCAAACAACCAACGCTTTGTCAAGCGTATCAAAATGCTTTCCAGTTTCGTCGTGATAAGGAGCGGTTTGTTGTTCCCGAAGCGTCGAGGTCAAATGCAGAGAGAGCGTGTGCGTAATATATTGCTGCTCCTCGAGACTAGCAGCAACGTCAAAGACGAGGTTTCGGGTGACCGCATCATCTCGATGTGTGAGTATAATGTCGACATCTCCACCCAATTCCTTTCCTCGTCGATAGCCACCGACAAGAATGCAATCTATTTCGTTGTTCGACTCCGGTCTCACTTTATTCGCGTGCTCCTTAACAATAGCAGCTATTGCCTCGCTTTCTGATCGAGGAATGCCTTCCTTGAATTCATCAAAAAACTTGACCCCTATTTGCTGCACGCGAGACAGCGTATTCCAACCATGCTCGACGATGTCATCGAGGTTTCTCCAGCCTCGACTGAAGTAGAATTCTCGTGCCGTTTTGGCACCAACGCCCCATATATCGTTGAAGGTGTTCAAGACCCGTAAAACAGGGTCCGTGTCTAGTTCATCTGCGGCAGAAATACTCCCGTCTTCTTCAGAATGTGAGCAACTGCCGTTTTCTTGAAATTCAGCAAAAAGATTTGCAACTTTCGCGTCGCACCCCGGAAGCTGGAGGACCTCGCTAGATCGGCGGATCTTGTAAGGGTACGCAGCTATGGCTGCAATCGAAGTGCTATAAGCACGAACTCCAACTTCATTCAGTGTAAGCTTGCGTATTTGGCGAATTTTTATGAGCTGGGAGATGAAATCTTCATTTGGCGAGTGCAGAGGCGTTGAACGCAAACAGGCGTAGGGAACATGATCACGAACCCAATCTGGCTGTGGTGGTATCGAGATCGGCTCATCATTCTCGGATGTTGTCTGGCGAAGCAGTTGTAACTGGCTGGAATTGCCGTCCGCAGGGTTCTTGGAGCGTCGATGTTGGAAACGATTAGAAACAGCTGGTGGAGGTGGCTGCGACGCAGCGTCTTCTTTCGCACGTTGAAGAATCTGACTTGAGATTTGTCTTGGTTGTGTATTCGTGGCCACTGTAGTTTTCGATGCTCCTCCGGTCTTTCGCCCGCGATAGATTAGAAAGGGGTCGATTGGGAGTGGTTTCCCAGCCGCAACGGACCGATCTAACCATTCAAGCTTAAGTACGGTAACAATACCCGCAGTTTCCTCTTCACTGTGTCTTTCGGGTTCGACTGGGGAAAATTGAATTTGCACTCCGTCTTGCTCCTCTTCCGAGTCTGTTGTGAGATCAATGGTTCCAGTCACAGGGTCAACCTCATGGCTGACTTGTTCATGCTTCCTTCGCTTCAGAGGAGGCTCATATGTACCATGCGAGAGGAGCGGCTCTGGTTTTCGAATGGCTGTTATTTCATCTGTCCAGACGTCGCAGCGCCGTAGCTCAAGGGCGGCGCGTTTCTTTTGTGAAATTTTGCCAAGGAAAAGCGTCGCCTCCGAGGGATTGTAAGTTATATTTCCACCATGTCCAACAAGACAGTCCTCCACATTATCAAGCTCTTCTTGAGATAGATGAGTATTGAGGATGAATATAGATGGCAGACTAGAGAATATAGTCTCATCAGCTGTCTCGTCGACCGGATCATGCGGCACTGAAGTAGCAGGGAAGGAGTCTGCTAGCATCATGTGCAATTAAGTGGCGTATGTGACTGCACAAAAAATTCCAGAAGATGATGACTTAGGTGCAATTATCTATGCAGACCGTCGTTCAATCGACCGCTCGCATCTTAAGTGTTGCTGCTCTTGACGATGTCCAACCACCGGCAAAAACATGACTTGTTGAGTCAATATATCGCTAGTTGTAAATCATGATATTGTATATGAGATGATCTTAGGTCATGGTCATGGCCATCACGTCAATTGTGCAGTGATCATCACGAGGTGAAGTTTTCTTGAAGGGGGGATGGGGATCATGTGGCAGTTCGACACCTGACGTCATACATTTGTGCCTGAGGCATGAATTGAAGTATTATAACTAAGTCTATAGTTAACTACTTACACTTCTGTTTGACTTATTAGATCCAGCTTTTAAGGATAATTTGGGAAAAAGCGAAGAATACAAAATTTCATAAGAGCTCAAAAATTGAAAGTAATTAGAAGTCTAGTATCAAACCTAAACAATCTCATCTTCAATGCGACGCTCTTGAGCAGTCACTGCAATCTGAGAAGAAGTCCCTTTTCCAAACACCTCAGTACGGCCCTGCTTGACATTACTACCAGGTTCATGGACGGTAACTCCGCTTTCAACAGCTGATTCGCTCTCATCATCACGATATCTCTCTTCGTCATTCACCATTGGCCGTCCATGGCGTCGGGCCATCCATCTCCGCCAGGGCTTGTAGAGGAGAACACTAAGACCACCGATAATCAAAAAGCAACCACAAATTGATCCACCTATAACATCGTAGTAGTCGCCAGCCACTTGCACGCCGTCCCAGAACCTTCCAGTAGCGTTTGTAACGTTCAGGATCATGGTGAGAAGTTGGATCACACCAATAACGATAGCGACAATGACGGTTAATGTGGTAAGGACAATGGAGTAATAGAGGAAGGCAATGGGATCACGATGGTTGTCGTGGGACTGGGGCATTTCGTCACCATCTTCAGAGACAGTGCTGTCTCGCTTCGGGGGGGAGGAAATTCGCAGCGGGCTGGACATAGAGCGAGTACATGAGAGCTCCGTCGATTGTGTCGATCAGACACATTCCAGCAGTGAAAAGCGCCGGAAAAATGAGGATCACCCAGAATGAAGTTCCCTTTGCCGCTTGAATCGAAGATATGCCCAACAAAGCAATTTCTGACGACGTATCGAAGCCCAGGCCGAAGAGGACTCCGAGCGGGTACATTTTCCACGGCCGATCGATCAATTTGAACATCTTTTTCAGGATGTTGAAGAGGAATCCCCCTCCCTCAATCTTCCAAGCTTCATCCTCTTGGCCTTCGGGCAAGTTGAAAACCTTCTGCATCTGCTTGATGAGCTTATAGAGGATATAGCCGTTCATCAGACCCAGTAATATTAGAAAAGCAGCACTGACAGAGCTTCCAATAATGCCGCCAATGGTGCTGAAGCTATCAAATTTGGAGGAAACGGCAGCTGCAGTCGCGGCAACAACAATCGAGGTGATGACCACGATACTATATTCGAGTTAACGAATTGTTTCGATAGCGTTGGAGTATGTACTTACGTCGAGTGACCCAGAGAAAAAAAAGTTCCAACGGTGACCGGCTTCTGTCCAGTAGCCAGAAGTCTTCGTGTCATTAAGTCAATGGCCTAGTAATGGTTAGAGTCGTCGATCGTTGGTAGAAATATGTCAGTCGTACCGAAATATGATCAGCGTCGAATGCATGTCGCAGACCAAGAGTATAAGCAAGCACTGCAGTAGAGACCAGCGACCTGTTTGATAAATCAGTTCAGTTTCCTGGTTTCGATAGATGGATTAACTAGAGATCGATTCAACGTACGTGTGATAACGCTACAAAGATGTTAACAACTCGTTCCTGGCGATTCGTTTGAAGAAGGAAAACGGATGGTAAGACTTACCAACACAATCGCAGCTGCAATCCAAACGATAGCATTCAGCAGTGCTATAAAAAGGATAATGCTAATTGCACGTAGAGGAATCTTCCTAATCCCTGGCATCTTTTGGTGCGAACGTTCAGCATGGCGCAGAAGTGGTTGCAAACTCCATTTGCGGTCGGCCTCCAGGCTACGCGAGTCTGCTGGCGCATTTTCTACTAGAGAAGCCATAGTCGAATTCGTATTGATCGTCTCTCAGTCAGGTCCACTTTATTCTGCTTTTGTGGATCGCGGGACAAAAATTCTCCCGGAGTTCGCTGTTTGATGCCGGGTTTGGAGAATGAAAAGAAAATGCTAGAGCACAACGGCGCTGAGCAGAAAGAAAATATAACCAACTGCAACCCTAGTAAGTTGCAGATCCTGCGACGTAAGAAAAAAAAATCGAAATTATTCTTATCGTCACTCTCCACGCTGCCAAGGCACCGAAAAGTCTAGTAGATCCGCTTGGCAGTTGTGCAAGAAAAAAAAATCGATGTCAAGTCGGCGAGCGGCTGTGATCGGATTGTTAGAATGATAGCCGGCAAACCCCACGTAGCTACGGGCGTTGCTTGTGCTTTCCGATGTTTCCCTGTCAAAACTTGACTTGTCCACAGAGAGCACTTGGAGAGGAAGCGTAAAGATGTCGCATCGCTGGTGGGATGTACACGTGATGAAGCGGGGCAGCGGAGAGGCCCGAAAGAACTGATAGCTAATTATTATTCATGTTTGCCGTTTCGATGATAAAAAATGCCCACTTTTGACGATAAACATTCTCGTGGCTCCACCCGCGGCCGTGCGAGGAACGGTTTTTGCTCGTAGTTTGCCGAAGGTCGGGGGCTTGTGGATTTCCGATGGCCGTTCGGCAGACTTGGCCGAGTGGAGTTTCATTTGAACTGGACGTGCACTGGATTTATGGTGAAGTTGAACATCTAACAAGCTCTGGTAGCCTGAGCTTGTGCTGCATACTACCATACTATCGAAAAATAGCCTCTATTCCTTCGTATATTGTGCAGGTCATGTGGGTATTATTATGGCTATTGTGACATCGAAAATTACTAACTAGTGATACTAGTGTAGCTAACACTAGAAATGTCAACAAGGATGCATGCCACACCATGAGAGAACCCCCTATAATTCTCAGACATAAATTTTGCTTCCCCGGCTACTTTGGTTTGACTAGGTGTAATATATAGAGATATTTTGGTGAAAATATGAGTTAACTTGAAACTGAATGCTTTTCGTTCAGGGTCGTGACTTCGTAAAATTATAATACATGGTAGTCCATCAATATGCACAATATAGCATCAGCTATGAGAAAAGAATAGTCCTCTTAAAGGACAAATGGAGCAAAAGGACGAGATTGTAGAATGCGATAATCGTTTTGCACTTCATGCCACGGCAAAGACTGTCGGGGATGGAGTCCACTTGGTGATCGAGCCCTGGACTTCGTGAATATCCTGCGCAACCAACATATTCCATTCATTTCTTGTGATAGGGGTCACATCCGAGGCAGAGAGAGGTGTTTTCGGTCCACGTTTTGTCGGTCGCTTCGTGCTCGATTTCTCTGCCGACTTGGCTGGCGGAGGCTGTCGCCGAGCACGAGCAGTGCGGGTCGGCGGCTTCCGCGAGTGTTCGGCCATGGCTCGCGGGGGAAGAATGATAGCCTCTTGTTTGTGGGTGTTCTTGTATGTCAATGCGACCGCTGTGAGGAGGTCGTCGCGGACATCGAGCTGTTCATAAACGCGGTGGAAAAAAGCTTTGCTGAAAGGGCGACCTTTGAAATCGGCCACCAGTCGACGGAGAAGCTGGACGCAGGATGTCATGTACTTTTCGTCGGTACGGGAGAAGGGTTTATTGGAGAGGATGCAGAGACGGCGCTTGAATGTGTAGATGCGATCCATATTGAGGAGGGTCAGGCCTTCTTGGCTGAAGACGACTTCATTTTGGAGGATGGATTGCTCCACAAGGTATTCGTTTGCTTGTCGCTCGTACTGGCTTCGGTTTAGGGCGTCGGACCAGCTTTGGCCGAGGGAGAACTTTTTGGAGGCCTTGGCAAGGGCTCGCTCAAGGACTCGCCATGATGGAGCGTCAAGGTGTGCAGTTGGGATAATCATCAGATCGGAGGAATGGCCTGTTGGAAATGGCTTGCCACGACCAACGAGGAGGGTGACATGTAGCATCTTTTGTTGCATCTTGGAAGAGATGTATTCAAGGGCGGGGATGATAGAAGGGATCAGGATCTCAGAATCGAAGTTGAAGTCGGGGGAGAGGGGAGGCGAGATCATGTCGTTGGTGAGTGTGCGTGTGGGTGAACTAGGGACATAGATGCCCGTGGGGCGAGGAAAGCGGATGACACCCATGTTGGAGGGAAGGGAGAGAAAGTGTAGAAGATAATGATAATAGTAATATGAATTAAAAGGATTAGAATGTTTATCAAGTGAAACCCTTTCAAGGGTTGTGAGGAAGACCCTTTCAAGTTGGCTGTAGAAGATCAAGCTGACCTGGAAAGAAACCAGCTTGATATATTGTCAATCCAGGGACTCTACCTCAAGGAACCAACACAACTTCCCCGCAGTGACCGTGATCTTAACATAGAATCCCTCTAAATTATCCCGCTTTTAGCTGCATCAAATGTTACTAATGATAGCAAAACTGTCACACGATTGACCAATTACATCGTCTAATAAGCTGGTGCGCTGGAGTGGGTCATATGGTCTACCAATCAGCCCACGCAGAGATCGGCGAGATAAAAATAAATTAGCACCAATTTCACCAGCTCTAACCGCTGAGGCGTTCTTTAGCGAACCAAAACCATGTGTTGCTGACGTTCCCCATGAGCCTTATGCACGCAGTCACACACTAGATCAAGAGTCTAGTACCACAACCAAAGCCCTGATTTGTCAATTTCCGTTATTGTGGATTGATACTGTGGGCCCCTGCTCAAGCTGACCGTCAAGTTCAATTCCCATATCCAGGGGCTTGGAGCCGCAGGCTCCTAATCACTGGCTAAAATTGTTTCTTGCGGTGCATATCCTACATTTTAGGTCCGTGGCTCTCGTATCGATTATGGTGTCGTTAACCCTTTGGCTCGTGTCCTACTCATTCATAAGAGCCTCGGAGATTAAGGCGTGTGTAGCGAGAAATTTACTGGTCGGTCATTCTTTCACTTATGCATGTATTCAATAGTTCATCGGACTTAGGCTCGCATATGCTTTTATTGTCTCTGGTATGCCCCGTCTGAGGCTGTCTTCTGTTAGGCTTACTCGTCGCTCGTTGGATCAGTTGTTCTAGACTTATCAATCAAAGGGTTTTGATGTGGATTGTGGGCTATCTCGAAGACAATATTTCATGTGTAGGCGACCCAATAGTAAGTACGCTTTTACATTAATTAGAGTTCCATTTCATAATTCGAAAAAAGAATTGGACAGAGAGCTCCCGCTATCGGTAGGCAGATTGGGCAGATTGACGTTAGATCCATAAGCCTCAATAGGATACGGATCTACCGACATAGAAAGTGCGGCATTTAATCTATGATCGTGAATTCACCAGAATCATACACGTGGATCCAGTACACCGATATTTTCATGTCCAATCCTACACTCCATCTATCGTTAGAAAAGATCTCGCTCTGCTTATCGTTCCAATCCCGTGTCGCTTGCGCGTTCGGCTGGACTCTCACTGACGCACAGGCTACAAATCGTGGCCTTCCGCCAACTTGATGGTCTCTGGAAGGCCAATTCAATGAATCGCGTGTTTTCTAGAGCCGCCCATTGTTGGAAAGCCCCTCTCACCCGCAGAAAGACCAGTCAATAGTGTGTTGTCTCCTTGATTGGATTTATCCAGTCAGATAGTCCTCTCATTTGTTGGGGGCGAAACAGGCGCGCTACTGCGGGGTTAATCGTAGTAAGTTTGCTGCATATTTAACTATCATTATGGTGAACCAAGATACAATAAATATCAAAATTATTCAGAAGGTGCTCGAAGCCGAAGCCAATGCATTGTTTCCATTAATTCTATGTTTCGTAATGCGGACAATTATGATGGCCGATTTTGAAATCGAAGGCATATTCTACATTAGAGACCGACATTTTTCAGCTTCTGCACGGCATTTTCCAAGGATTTGATCGCTTCCTCCAAGTACGGAAGCTGAATCTCTTCCCCAGAAGCACAGTGTGCTAGGATCTCGTATCCCTTCTCGTATCGGTCAACATCGTTTCGGAAATACAAATAACTGGTAGCCATTCGCAACCGGAACCGTCCGTGCAGGGGTCCATTGTCATCTTCTCCAAAAGCCGAGCCAGGTAGAGCGGCTAGTCCACATTCTCGGATCAGCCACGCCGAAAGCTCAGAGCTAGAAAAAATCCCGAGCTTATTCAGCTGCGTTGAGTATGGCGAGAAAGACGGGTAAACATAGAAGGCGCCCCCGGGCTCTCCAACATCCAATCCGAGTTCCTTGAGTGCGGAATAGAGCTTCAAAGTACAGTATCGATGCAAGGCGGTTACAGACTTCCGGTATGTACACATATATTCACTCGTGGAGAATGCTTTGACGGATGCGAATTGGGCCGGTGCGGATGCCGCAGACCAGCATTCGGAAGCATATGCGAGGACCGTTTTGCGGATGATCTTTCCTTTTTCTGAAGGGGGGAAAATGGCATATCCTACACGCCATCCACCAGCGGAGTAAGTCTGTTTAAGATATATTAGAGAGAACCAATAACCAGAGAAATATGCCAAAATACCTTAGATAGCCCACCAGTGAGGATCACGGTTTCAGAATCATCAGTGCCACTGTCAAACGCGCTGATTGATTTCTGAGACTCATCGAAGCAAATATCCGAATAAATCTCATCTGTGATGAGAATGATTCCCTTTGATTTACAAAAATCTTTGATAGTCTGGACGCATTTTGCAGAAAAGACATGCCCCGTCGGGTTTGATGGGCTGTTGACCAGCATGATGCGAGGAGTTTGGTCCTCTGAGATTGCCTTCTCGTATGTAGCGAGAAGAGATGACTCTGAAAAGATTGTCTGTCAACATTGATAAATCTATTCTGTTTGAAGTAACTTACCGGTAATAGTGTGACGATCGACAGCATCCGTCTCAACCCAGAAGAGCTTTTTCCCTGCATGGAGAACCTGTGGCTCGTAGCTGACCCATGAGGGACGAGGAAGTAACACAGCGCCATCGAGGATATCAAATAAAGCAAAAAGCAATGGCTTTGACCCAGGAGCAACGACTACCTGATCGGGGCTTATCTTAACACCGAGACGGTCTGCATTGAAACTCGCAATAGACTAGACTTCAGAATCAGTACACGTTCAGGAATTTTCTAATTGCCGAGGGATACAGAATGAGACAGACCGCTCGCAAGTCCTCCAGACCGGCCACAGGCAGATAGCTCGTTTCCTTAGATGCTTCCCTATGGGCATGAAGGACTTCTCGCTGGATAGGAAATGTGGCCTCTCCAAAGCCCAGATGGACGACATGTTTGCCTTCCCCACGAGCTTTTGAAACAAGTTCATTGATCTCCAGGGTCGGAGAGATTTTCAATTGTGCGGAGGTTGAATTTACGACGTTGTCCATGGTGAGAGTAGAAGTTGTGATCAGGCACAGTGGCATTCAAGATTGAACACATAGGAATGGTACGTTTTGCCGTTTAAATATCGTTCCTACTAAGCTCAGGAGTCTCGGCGGCTCCCGAGGTCCTTCGGTGCAATAATGCTGAAAAGCCGAGATAGGCGATTCCTTGATTGATTTTTATCCCAGGCTCACGCTTATCGTAGACTTTCTTAACCCCATCTCGCATTTTCTCCTATTTTGTTGCCGCATACAGAGTATTGATGTGATTGGTAGGGTTACTGCTTGTGTATAAACGCCGAAATACCGAAACGCCGAAACAGCTGAGTATTGTAAAATTCTGTTACAGGCTTTGGAACCTAGCAGAAGATTCCCTTGAAATCTAGCATACGCACAGGGCTTTATAATCTAGCTACAAATCAATAAAGTGCTTGCTACATATCTGGTGTTGGCTGGTCTTATATGAGCTCGAAAAACCATTTCGTGTATATGTGGTCGGGAAATGGTAGTAAATAGATGGACCGAGAAGAATTTATTGATTTAAAATACATCATAGCTATCTAGGCACTATAATCAACAAATATGGATTTTCAAATCATGAGATGTCACGTTCCAGCTCTTCGACATATTGCTTTGTAACTATGTTGGTCGTGATATTCATCTCACGGAAACCGACAAATTTGGTCCGCCGGATGAATTTGTACGAGACGAACGAAAAGACGTAAAGTACTATCCCAACATAATTCACCACGAATGTAATGGGCTGGAACTTGTGTACAAAGCTAGAGAAGCCTGGTAGAAAGGTGCATCAGTAAATTAATCGTAAATTCTTGGCGCGCCACTTGACTCACCACTGGTAAGAATAATCAGTAGAGTAAAGAATAAAGTGATCTGAGCCCGAATTTGAGTGAAATGTCCCGTAAAGGGAAGAACATCTCTGCCAACTCCCTGGACCCTCATACCCTTTTGGAAGAATAGGTAAGTAACTAAGATGCTGACCCAGTTTAATAATCCCAGAATCGTAGAAAGAGATACAAGGTACCCAAAAACGACAGCGCTTCCTGAATTAATGTTCAGTAATGCAAGGAGGGAAAAATGCCGATGCTGCCGCCACGGCGAATACAGGAATTGACCGCTTCGTAAACTTGAAAAAGGAAGGTGCATAACCATCCTTCGCCAAGCCATAAAGGGTACGCGATGCGACGTAGATATCTGCTCGATCTTTGTTAGAGAGGACAAAAGATAAATTGAAGACAAGTGGCCTCAATACGAACCCGTGTTCGCCGCACTAAGAACAAAAATCAAGAGACAGCCGTTTATGATATGAGGTAGGACGGAAATTCCCGAATCCACAATTGCTACAACAAAGGGTGAAGCGCCTTCTTAGGTCAGTACAAGTGTGCCTTTCCGCAGGGAAAAAAAGAACATTGGGTAGACTCTACCTGCACCAGTGCTTGCTTTCGTAGCATCTATTAGACGATTATTCGAAGAAGATACGACTAGCCCCAAACAGAAGACACCCCCGACATAGAAAAATGTGATGCGCCAGAAGGTCGCACTGATGGCTTTCGGGATAGTCTTCCATGGCTGCGATGCCTCTCCAAACGTCATACCTACCATCTCACTGCCCATATAAGCAAATGATGCGTTTGTCACACAAGCCCAAAAGCCGAGAAAGCGACCCATGGAGTCGGGCTCGAGGTACTCTTTGAAGGCACCAGGACGATTCCAATACCTAAATCCAATACGCCCTTGGGAACTGCCCCCCAGATCAATGACCAGGCAGAGAATCATCAAACCAACAATCGTGATTGTCTTGATGCATGCTGCAACAAATTCTGTTTCACCAAAGTACTCGACAGGCATAAACTATACAAGGGACAGCCTCAATCAGCGTCATTGCCAAACACAAATGGAGACGGTAGGGGTGTCAAACATTGATAAAGATAACGATAACTGCAAATGAAACAACCCAGACGGCTACGTTGACATCTGGGAGCCAATATTGCATGACAATTCCAGAAGCTGTGAGATTGTTGGCCAGAAGAACCACATATTTGAGGAAATAATTCATTCCCGTGGCGAATCTAGATTTGAAAGTTCAGTATGGCTTCAAACGCCATCATGTAGATATTGGCCTTACCCAAATGCAGGATCTACCAGTCGAGAGGCATATCCACCAAAGCCCTTGTCCATCGGCATGAAAACTGCCATTTCGCCGAGAGCAGACATGATATTTAATACTAACAGCCCGACAAAGGAATATGCTATAAGCATGCTGCCTGGGCCACCTCTTGACAGTGCTGTTCCACTGCTGATGAGCAGGCCCGTTCCAATGGCACCCGCAATAGAAAACATCCCGACATGTCGGGGTTTGAGACCCCTCTTGAGCGATGTTTGGCCATCCCCTGCATTGGCGTTGGCAGTATTTGGAGCAAATTCGATATCGATGTCTATATTACCAGGCGAAGAGTCGGGTGACGCATCGAGCTTCTTCTCGGAAGACATTGTGAATTGAAAATATTCACCAATTGACATGCAATTGACCTTGCTAGGGAATGGATGTTATTGCGGTTATGTGTTTAAATACAATGCATGGGCCCCCGCAGCCTTCATCAATGGAATGTGGGGAAACGTGCTCCAAGGTCAACTTTAGTCATCTCCTATCTTTCGTTTCGGCATTCGCCAGGTATGATTGGTTATATTCAAAGATCCCCCAGATAATGCTAGTCAGTGCAAAGTAAGCGCTTCCAATAAGGCAGGCCCTTGGGGGGGCATCTGTCTGATAGGCGACTTGCGGCTCGGCGATCGGCGATTCGGAGAACTCGGATTTGGGGGGATGCATCTAATCTGCAACCAATATTGGAAAGGGTCGCGGGAAATGTAGACTCCGGAAGGTCTATCAGAAGAGATAAAATAAAATCAAATAGTAAAACCCTGGCATTCGACCAACAACTCATTTTGTGACTATTTTAAAGATATCTTATTTGGTGATGGTAGATGTCACGTGGTGTGATATCTGCTCACTCGGCTTTCAAAACGCCGAATCTACTGGAATGTACATAGTCCTCATTTCATCGAGAGTTGCTATCAAAATATCCCACCCCAAACCCCACTTTGAGTCATTACATTTCAAGGGATTGGCTGATACGACTACACTTGAGTTTCCCTGCCGCGAATCCGCTCTAATGCCTCCCCGCCGGGGATCTCGCAAGGCGTGTGCCCTTTGCCACGAGCGAAAAATCAAGGTGAGCGCCCCAAATGATATCGAATGTTTCACGTACTGATTACTGATTTACACGCTAGTGCGATGGGGCAGTACCAAGCTGTCGGAACTGTTTACGGGCACAAGCAATTTGCGAGCCACATGAGCGGCGCCGGCGTTTCACTGTTCGCACATCGCAGCTGGATCCAGGTCAACCTCCAGAGCCTTCAGTCACGCCCTTAGCAACGGCTGAAAGATTAAGCTGGTTGGAGAATGAACTCTCGCGAGTTTTGAACGTTGACGTCCGTGAGGTGAGCACTGGCACCGCACTCGACTCTCTTCCACGTTGGCAACATATTCTACGCGCTCAACATCCTCCTCGTATCCCTTCCGAACCCGTGCCTGCCCAACACGCGGGTATTCGGCCCTCTGCGTTACAAAGCGAGGGCGATGAACCACCTGAGGTGGATCCGAACATTTCTCTTTTGGCATTTAATGCTACCGGTGAAGCTCGGTATTTGGGTGCATCAAGTGGATCAATTTTCGCCCGATTTATTGCAAATATTGCTCAATCCATTCTACCACCAGGGCCTACGTTTCATTCACACGTATATGACTCTCGGAATATTCATCGACCTGTTGCTCCCTTCGATTCCGCAAATTGGAAATCGTCAGCCACCTTTGCTTTTTTGTTACAATGCTTTTCAAAATGGGTCCACAGCTGCTATCCTTTGTTCCTGTCTCGGGATATTTCAACACTTGAGTCCATGAGCTATTCAAGCAAACCCCCACCGGAAACCGGCGATTTAACCATCATTTTCTATCTTGTTATGTCTATAGGTGCTGTTCATGCCGAACAACAGCACCTCTTGGATCACTTCCAGGCAGATACAGCTCTTCAGGATTATCAAAATGACGCTTCAACTTATGGAGTTTCATCAGAGGCATTATACCGGAAAGCTGTTAGTCTGCTCGCTTCCGAACCATCAAAACTAACTTCTCGTATCTCTTTGGTGCAGATTCTCAATCTGATTTCAATCTACGCCTCTCATCGTCCATCTGACAATGAACAGTGGCATATTGCGGGAATGGCTATGCGCGTATGTTTTGAAACCTCATCTAAAAGACAGTCAAGGATACGAACTAAAAAAGTTTAAAGATAACAATAGAGCTAGGTCTACATCGACATAATGATGCCTGGAAATTTACCCTAGATGAGCTTGAACTTAGGCGTCGAGTGTTCTGGACGACCTACGTCATCGAGATCACACTGGCGTTTAATTTAGGTCGACCCGCTAGTATTTCATTTGAAGATGCCGATGCGCCTTTGCCTAGCAACTCAGAGGAAACAGCACTGGCAATTCACCATATGAAGCATCGGCAGATTCAAGAGCAAATGCTCTGTTTCGTTTACCGAAGCAGATCTCACAAAGCAGCCGCAATTTCAGAGCGCGATGCGTCAGTGTCTGATATAGAAATTCTTCAACAAAGGCTGGACGAATGGCACCAGGAGTTGCATGAACTGGATCACCAGGCAGTGTCACCTTACCCCGTGGAGTATTGGGATCGACTATATTACTCAACATCTGCCGCACTTTCTCGACCCACCCCTCTTGTCCCTCGACCAGGACCCAAGCTTCGGAAACGGTGTTTTCTATCATCATGCCAGGTGATTGAGATACACGAAAAGCTTATCCGAAATTTCCGACTCCCCTACTCTTGGATGTTGCTACAAGGTCTCGTATTCTCAGCCATCTCGATGATCGTCACAGCTAGGACGAGCTCTGCTGTACTTTCCAGAGAATTCGGAATGGACGAGTTTCTGGACATTTTGACAAGATGCGTGCGCAAGTTCCACGTTGTTCTGGCCGTAATGAGGGAGAGATGGACTGGTCTGGCCATAAAACATCTGGAAGATTTGCTTGACAAGCTATGCCAAGATACCTTGAGACATACAATCAAGATACTGGCCAAGCAATCCTCTGGACAAGATCCCTCTCTGCAGTCATCGGCCCATCTCGGTGTCATCTCCGAGAATATGCCTACCTTCTCCCCGGGAGCAGGCGACGGCGAGATGTCAGCTACACCTGTTTTAAACGATGAGGACATTTCCGGTAATCTACTGGGCGAGGGAATGTACCACGAAGCGAACAGTCTACTCCAGCCAGCTACCGACTCGTGGATCTCGGAACTGGACTCGGGGGAAAATTGGAGGATTCTTGATAATCTCTTCGACCCGGGCGAACTGAGAACTTTTTTCGATTTTTTCCCAATCGAACCGTACACATTATAATACAAATCACAGTAATTCGCTTCGATGTTCAGAGAGTATCATCTAGATTCCAGATGATCCACGACCGCATTATCAATTTGGATTCCTTTTTGAAAGGACCCCTGATGTGGAAAACACCGCCGCCAAAGCTTATAATTACGTTGGTGGAAAGCTCGGTTTCCTGAAGGCTGTGAGATGAATTCTTGTAGTACAAGGTTGCCTTGCCTCTTTCTTCTATAAAGCTAGTCACGCCACACGCATCTTACATGCACGACTACTTCACGGTTCCGAGCTTCCACTGCCTCTTTTAACCAACTTGTGGTCTAAAGAAACATTCACCCCCTTGGTGTCAAATTGAAAATTTGCCGGGCCACGCCAAGCTATCCCTCTGATGTCCTGGAGGTTGAACGCGAAGACGCCAGGTATTTACTGATCTGACTATATTACCAAGTATTCCGGCATACGGATTCGTTTCCCCGGATTGCCTATCGAGCGAATGTTAAACTTGTGCCTGTGCCTGAATTCTATTCCTACTGGCATGAAAGCGAACCCGAAGTCCCAACTCTCAAGTCGCTCCACCTCCGAAATCCTGCACTTGATGAACCTTGCCCAGTACAGCTTCCTCGCTTATTGCTTGCATGAACACAAAGCTTGAGCCGGCGAGGCTTCTTGTAAAGCGCACTCCGTACACTTTCTGGAAATGGAAGCATCATAAGTTCCAGGCAGTACTTAGTCCGTTGGGTAAGATAAGAACCTTGGAAGTCAATTTCCCGTGTTTGACAAAGGATGTATCTTTGCTTGGTATCGTAAATCACCACACCTGACAATTCGCCAAGAGAGACAATCCACGAACCAGAACCAGGGGGCTTGCTTATCCCCGGGAGGACCCGTCTAGATTGGCTGTTGCCCCCCAGGGCGGGGGATCTTGGCGTGTAACCCGGGCGCAAAAGTGGCTGATCGTCAAGTATTGTTGCCTTTTTCTCCGCGTAAGCAGTGACCAGTCAAGGCAAAGGCCTGGGTCACGAAATATGTGTTCTGATTTTATGCCCAGCCGTACGGAGTACAAGGTACATATCAACAGAGCTTGCATCGATCGAGATTGCGTCCTTCAGCATCCTTCAAGATCGCAGGTTGGCATTTATTTTCCTTCTGAGGTTGAGGCTAAATAATGCATCAAGTTGAAGAACCCAGCCAACTCGCTGCGTCCCGTGTCTATTACCCCTCCACCCCCGCCGTGAAATAGTCTTTGTATTCAAAGATCTTGGCAGCTGGGCATCTCCGCTAGCGTCTTGGAAAATGGAGTCTTACCCACGCCCTTATCGCAAGAAAGCTTTGGGGAAAATGGAGCTCTATGGGGATCCGCCCTCAATACTGTATACAGTAATCAGCTATCCATCAGGTATGTGTAAATGGGAAATCAAAAGAACCCATGCTGAACACAGCCCCGGCGTTGATATTACTGGGAAAAATGGGACAGGTAGATTGAACAAGCTCTCGTATTGAACCTTGCTCTTTGTCAGAGTCGAGTGGGCATCTTGGCCGATACGCTATAATGAACCCCAGGGACAGTGCTGCGCAATCCATACGCACGGTTCCGGGGAAGTATTCACAGTCTTGGGTTGCACTTTTAGAGGGTCGGTCAGCTTATCTACCAGAAATATTTGGTCTCGTGTCCTCGTTAGCTTCTTTCTGTCTCGCCTCTGATTTCTGTTTTCGCTTATCATTCACTGGGCTTTGCTGTTTGTCTTGGCCGGGAGAAGGCTGAGTCCAACTCTGCCAGGCTACATTTGAATCTTGCCCCTGCCATCATCTTCTGAGCTTATGCGAATTACCTTTTCTCCCCTTTCGTTGATTCTCGAGTCTTCCAATACCAATAAATTTATACATCTCCCCCGCACCGAGTCCCTGATCGCCGACGGCAATTTGTTTTCGCCCAGTGGGAAAAATGGCGGCGATGGAGTCCAAACATCATGGCATCTCGGAGGACGCAGAAATGCATGATTACATGGGCGAGAAGCCTGGAACTGCGGAGGAGAGCGGATTGTCGGACCCCAACCATATCGAACTTCAACGCGCCCTGAAGGCGCGACACATCACCATGATTGGTATGGTCATATTTCCCCAACAGCATTCGGTACTGGGTTTGACATGAGTTTCCAGCCATCGGTGGTGCCATTGGGACTGGTCTGATTATTGGAACGGGAGAAGCACTCGCAAAGTAAGTTGCGACTGGAATATCGCATATTTGTGCAAGATTGCTGATTTTCATGTCGTCTCTAGAGCAGGAGTACGTATACTCGAATGACGACCGAAATGCCCTACTGACTCGAATAGCCCGGTGCCATTTTGATCGCTTACGCCTGGGTCGGGTTTATCGTTTATCTCGTTATGTGCGCTCTCGGTGAGATGGCTGCCTGGCTTCCTCTTCCGTCTGGGTTCACCGGTTACGCTGTTCGATTCTGTGACCCTGCCCTCGGATTCACTTTAGGCTGGACGTGAGTGGCCTACATATGAAATGACGTACCGAGAAGCGGTTGCTAATATAAACTCAGTTATTGGTTCAAATACATCATTCTTTCACCAAATCAATTGGTAATACCCCGAGACATCCCTTCTTATTGTTCACCTAATAACTCTTCTAGACCGCTGGAGCGCTTGTGATATCGTACTGGATACCCGCGGAGAAGGTAAACGCCGGTGTGTGGATTACGATTTTCCTCGTTTTGATCGTCAGCATCAACTACTTTGGTGTCAAGTTCTTCGGTGAATTCGAATTCTGGCTATCATCGTTCAAAGTGGTTGTGATTATCGGTATCATCCTACTCTCGTTCATTCTTATGCTTGGCGGAGGTCCGGACCATGACCGCAAGGGATTTCGCTACTGGAAGAATCCAGGTGCCTTCAACACATACATCAAGGAAGGTGATGCCGGTCGATTTCTCGCATTCTGGTCCACTATGGTGTCTGCCACCTTCGCCTATCTCGGCACTGAATTGGTCGGAGTGACTGTCGGTGAAGCGCAAAACCCACGCAAAACCATTCCCCGCGCGATCAAGTTGACTTTCTACCGAATCCTCTTCTTTTATGTCCTCTCAGTTCTTCTGGTTGGAACACTTGTCCCTTACAATGACAAGAAGCTTGCTTTCGCCGTCGGTGCTAGTAGCTCGGCTGCGGCATCGCCATTTGTCGTGGCGATCGAGAACTCGGGAATCCCAGTCTTGTCGCATATCATGAATGCCTGCATCCTGCTATTTGTTTTCTCGGCGGCCAATTCTGATCTGTACATCGCTACACGTACTATCTACGGTCTCGCTCGTGAGAACAAAGCCCCCAAGATCTTCGCCCGTACCGACAAACGCGGTGTACCTGTTTTCGCCCTCGCAATCTGCTCCGTCATCGCGTTACTTGCCTATATGAATGTGAGCAGTGATTCTAGGACGGTTTTCAAGTACTTCGTGAACTTGGTTTCCATGTTCGGTCTCCTGACCTGGATTTCCATCTTGGTCACTCATATCCACTTCGTGCGGGCGCGCAAGGCCCAGAATGTTCCGAATTCAAGCCTGGCTTATGTAGCCCCCTTCGGCGCCATCGGATCATATATCGCTCTCGGATTCTGCTGTCTCATCGCATTGACCAAAAACTACGACGTTTTTACTCACAATCCCAAGTGGGGCAAGTTCGACTACAAGAACTTTATCACCGCCTACTTGGGAATTCCTCTCTACTTCATTCTTCTCATCGGGTATAAGGTAGTTACTCGATGCAAGGGAGTTGATCCGGCTACGGCAGATCTCTGGACAGGCAAGGACGAGATTGATCGCGAGGAGGCAGCTTATGTTGCTCGGAAGGAGGCGGAGGCCCACAAACACTCTCAGTCGCACTGGTTCTACCGGACCTTTGTCTCATGGCTCTTCTAGTACGCCAGTCATCAACTGTTCTTTATTCAGAGAGGTCCTGTTATTAGAGTGGCGGCATGCACTGATCGTCCGACTCTTTCGAGTCCTTATTTGCGCAGAGACGTGGTATTGATGGCTATGACAGCTCGAGATTACTTATCGACGAATATTATTTATTTACTGTTGTTATCCTTATGGAATAGTGGAATATATGATCACGATGAACTCAACTCTGTGGCTGTTATCGTAGTGCTCATTTTATTGCACCGATGTGGAATAGCGGCAGATTTGCCACTCCGCACATTGCGGGGAAGCCCCTCTGATAGGCGAACCCTTCATCTGCGCTGTGGCCGCTATCTTTCTAGTATCTCTCAGATATGCCTTGTCTGGTTGAAACGATGGATACTTTTGCTGTCTAGCATCATACGCTTTCGAAAAAGATACGTTCTTGTGTCCCTTGTTGCCAAAGTCCACGATCACAGAACTTTCAATGACCGACAAAGCTCATCCCAAGAAGCGTGCAAGAAGAGTCAAAGGTAAGTCCGTAAAGTAAAGCCCGGTAATAAATATGCTTACATTTAACTCCAGGGTGCTATAATTGCTCCCAGCGTCGAATCAATTGTGACCGCGGTACACCTTGTCAGAAATGTATTAAAAAAGGGCTGGAATGCCTCGGCCTGGGTGTTCGATATAGATTCAATAATGGCGTGGCATCAAGGGGCAAGCTAGCTGGCATGTCCATTCCTGTTCCCAGTTCTAGGTATGGACCCGTCGATTGATCTTGATAATCCTCATAATCTAGCTGACCATTTGTTGAAATAGCCCAACTGCGGAATCAACAAAAAGCAGCCCTAGGGATCAAAAACCCCCACAAATATTCAAGTTCACCGAGAACAAGTTTAATGCACTTTCACACGATATACCCTCCTCAGATGCAACTCTAGTCACACAAAATCTCTTACTGGGACAGATACATCACATTGACTCCCAGCCTGATCTACGCCGTCATTTCCCCCCTATTGATGGCCAATCTAGGTTTCTTCTATCATACTGTCAGTTTTGGAACTCCTCATATGAGAAAATCCTAACAATCCTTAGTCTCCAGAAATATCGCACCGGCGATGGTAGCCATCAACTTTGTATTCAATGGCTATCGCGATATGATCTTACCTCTATCGGAACAAGATCTTACCGTCCGAAACGCAATAATGGCCGCCTCGGCTTCTCATCTCACACTCAAACATAATCAATGGAAGCTCACCGCCGCAAAGTATCATATGGCTGCAATCCGGGGACTCAATCAACGGGCAGAAATGGCATATCCCAAAGATGATGAAAGTTTACAAAGTACTAGCTTGTGCACCATGGTCATACTTTTAATAGAAGAGATGATTACTGTCGGAAATGACTTTCACCTTCTACTAGACATGGTGAAAAACTTCATTCAATCTCAAGGTGGGTCTGAGATGGTTGAGAAAAGGCCTCTTGGGAAGTTTCTCATTCAACAAATTCGCAAGTACGTTCAATGTATATTGGACTCTGGCTTTTGGAGTATTCCAGCTAATGCCGTATTATAGAATGTCTCTCTACGCTCTGCCTTTCAGGCCTAAAAATACTGTGACCGGATATCTACGGGTAATTCCGCGGGAAAATCTCGACTTTCTATACAGCTGTCTCGATATTCACCCAGAATACAACGAGATAATTCTGAAGCTAGCCGATATAATCCAAAAAGCCAACCTAATATACCATGCACGAATTGGAGACGCGCCAGAAAATACTATTACCAATCTGGTTCAGGACTTTCTTACAGAAACGAGTGTATTCAATGCCGCATCTCCTGGGGGACATATACTGATTTGGCCCTTTTTCATCGTTGGGACTGAGTGCAGCTTACCAGCTGATTGTGAATTTGTGGAGTCACAGCTACGTACTCTCTGGGGCTATACTGGGTTTGGAAATACGCTTTATGCGATTGGAATTCTCAAACAAATATGGCAAGACGGGGGTGGGACGAAGTCAGCTACTCATGTGTTCCATAAAGTGAAAGGGTTTATCATGTAATGAAATGACTAAAAGATTGAGTTGCAATGAAAATACTTACGCATGCGGAGATAAACTGTGGGAATATTTTCACGTGGTTCCAACTCAAGTCTCTTGTTGTTGGAAATAGAAATTCCAGGAACAAAAGAATAAGATAACAAGATAACAAGATAACAAGAAAGAGAATATGTCAAACCACACCTCTTTTTTTCGTTGGAAGCACCATAAAATGTGGGGCGGCTCTTCTCGGCTACCGCAGATTATCTGCACCGGATCACGATCGGAAGAAAACACGGGGGCCAAAAATCCTCACATTATGCCATAACCACCTCCACTGCCTACAAGTTAGGCATTTACTTGCAACTTGGGATTTGACTTCTCAGGATAAACGAACTACGGGTTTGGCAAAGTGATTTGTTCCTACTGGTAGGTAAGGATAGAATTCGAAGATCTCTATCTAGAAAAACAAACGTGCTCTTGTCCATTATTTTTTTTATAAAGTCAATGTCGTCTCACTGCCATAACATTCACCCGATCCGGTATTGACCTTCAATATTGAATTAGATACAAAGAAGAAGTCTGTGGATCGAATCTACTACTCTTAGACCAGCGAGGCGAGAGGTACTCATTTGGATTTCTTGGGGAAAAGGACGGGGCCGAACATCATGCAGGTAGTAGAGGTTTATCAATGTTCCCAGAAAACATTTCAAGGTTTGTATAGGGCATCTACGTCATTTAATCTCTGCTACCTGAATCATGATAGTTCCATAAGTTTCTTGTGTAACCCTCGCGTGGACTAGCCTGCATTGTGGATGTCAATCGGCGGGGGGACTCGAGATACGATTGACTCAATAGCCGGGATTAAGATCCACAAGCCTTTTTCTTGCATTAACCTACCGACGATTCCTCCAATGGAATACATGTGCCCTCCCTCTCGGACTGGGTGGAGAAGGGCCCATAGCACACAGAATTCGCAAGAACAGAGAAGATAAAGATAATATCCCCGGCACCTTCCATCACTGCAAGTGTAAACGAATCAAAGTATTCCAATCACCGTGTCCCTGGCTTTTATTTTACTTTTTTTCAAATTCAAAATTAGAAAGAAGATGAGTCGAGTGGCATTGATCACTGGCGGCAGTAAGTGTAGCCACGGGACCTTGGAAATGAAAAGATGCATACTCACTGTATAAACCATAGCCAGTGGGATAGGATTCTCTGTTGCTGAGGCATTAAGCAAATCGGGCAACTGGCAGATCAACATTATTGGGAATAATGAAGCTAAAGGACAAAACGCGGCCGCGACGCTCCTAAACACCAGCTTCTACAAGGCCAATGTATCTGAGTATGAGGAACTCGCGATAGTGTTCGAAACTGTCTTCAAAAAGGCTGAACGATTGGACTTTGTCTTCGCCAATGCCGGTATACCTGAATACACCGATATCTTCGCCAATCAGCCCTCGTCAGGGGTTCCACCTAAGCCGGGGCTGGATCTTCTCGGCATTAACCTAAACGGCTCCATTTATACAAGTTACCTAGCTGTCAACTATTTTAGAAGATCGCCTGAGTCCGCGAAGGGAAACCAAAGTTTGCTTCTTACGGCTAGCATCGGCGGGCTGTACCCTTGCATGTTATCACCTGTCTACTCAAGCTCAAAACGTAAGAAACTGGCGTTCAGCAATCTTTTAATTCGAAACTAACAAACGTCCAGATGCATTGATCGGTTTCGTTCGCTCTATCGGCGATCGCCTTTTCAAGGAAGGCATTCGCGTCAACACCATTTGTCCGGGCGTGGTAAAGACGCCTCTTTTGAACGATCAGCTTCTTTCATACTTCCCCGCCGATGTCCTCATACCCATTGAGGCAGTTACAGAGGTCGCAATGAAAACTGTCCTAGAGGATAGCATCAAGGACAGTCGGGGTGTTCTTGTGACAGCAGAAGAATTACATTCACAGGCCATACATATAACCGGGAAGGGGTTTTATTTTATTGACCAACCGCCAATTAACGACGAAGAGGCTCAGACTACGTGGGATTGCATGATGGGTTGGAGATAGCAAGATAATGATGTAGCCAGTTGCCAATGACCTTCTGGATCTTCAAAGCTTAATATTAAAAGAGTAGCAGCAAACTTCTAAACACTATTCAGGTGGAAATATAGAAATTGCACTAAGAAAGCTATACATTTCTTCGATCAAAGGCTGAAAGAAAGCCTCCTTGTTCCTCTGATAAGGTATTCAACTTAGTTCAGAGGGAAGTCGTGGCCCCTGGTAGCTTTTATTCGCATGGAAAACCCAGTTGCCTATCGAGAATAGGGCCATGGCGCCGATCACAACAGAAGTGTAGTCTAATTGAACTTTAGCTTCTCATCTCAAAGAAGAATTGATGCAAGATTTAAGAAAGTTGCAAACGTACTCATGTTCCCACCAGTGACGGGCATTTCGGCCGGGAAATTGTAGAATACCAGAGTCACGATTCCAAAAACGAGAGTAGCGATGTTTGACACCCACCCAAGATTTCCCATGTTAAAGAATCTGTGTGGTGGCAAATATGTTGATGAACGCCTTCGGAAAATAAGCAAGGCGACCGGGAAGCAAAATGAGACTTGCTGCAGAACTAGTCCGGTTCCAATTAAAGCATTGAAAGCTGTCGATGAGGCAAGATAGATGCATCCAATGATAAATATAACGACAGCATTAGCTAACAATGCATAGACCGGTACTTGAAGTTGCGGGTGGATGCGACCGATAAACTTCGATAATATCATGGCATCATCTCGAGCAAATGCCCAGGTTAGGCGGGATGAGGTTTGCTGACAGCCATTGAGCGAGAATAGCGCAATGACAGCTAGCAGAGTAATAAAAGTCGTTGCGGCGGCTCCAGAACGTGTGGCTTGAAGCCAAATCTCATAGATTGGAACTCTAGAGCAATTATTAGCCTAACTGATTTTTCATTCATCGGGAGAGCTCAGAATACCCAGTAGATGTTTCAATGACAGCATTAATATCTGTAAGAGAGTATAGCATAGCCACGACAAAAGTAAATGATGTAATGAACCCAATAACCAGTGTGCTCATGAGTGCGTATGGTACAGCGATTGTGGCATTTCCGCACTCTTCAGCTAAGTGTATTGCGCCATCAATTCCAGCATATATGTAGTTCGGGTTGATCATACCGGTCAAAAATGCAATTCCGTCAGATTTCCATCCGGACTGATTGATAAACGTGGTCCATACAAATTCGGCTGATGACATTTCCGGTGTTCGTGCAAGACACGTAACCAGGATGACGATGAAGGAGGAAAGTGAAACAATGACTAGTGAGATAAGTAAGCAAATTTCAAGGTCAATTTTCATAAGAAAGCTTACATCCAACATCATGTACCCAGGAAGTTCTGCGAATGGCGAAAATATTGTAAAGAAGAACAAGGATATTAGTTGCTTGGTAAATGAGAAAGTAATGCCATGTTTTCGCCTCATATCCCGGGTTGTTGTAGATAGCCATGGAAAGGATGAACTGTGCAGGTAAAATAGTGACACCTGCGCTGATAGAAATCCAACTAAAAATATTAACAGCACCGCAGCTGTAGCTCTGTATAATTTATTAGTTTCGAATTATGATCAAGCAAGCGAGCAAATCTTACCAAGATGCGGCTGTATCTTTTCGGACTCAGAATAGAAGTCCAGTGATATTGCCCACCCGCAGTGGGGTAAACAGAGGACAGTTCGGCCAATGTTGTAGCGCAGCATCCACCAAAGACTAACATGATAATGATTCCATAGAGCAGAAGGATTGTCCCTCCCTCACTAATGCCAATGGCGAGAGTGCCGACAATACCTGCCCAGCTGTTACAGATATTCCATCCACCGCCGATAATTTGAAATGTCCCAAGAGATCGCTCGGTCTGTTGCGTCAGACCTAGAAGCTCCAAATTTGCCGATTCGATGATTCCTTTGATGGGACCTTGATCAGCTAGACCAAGCTCATCGGCTTATGTAGGCATTAGTAGTCAATTTAGTTCAAATGAGAATATACTGACATGGATTCACCTTTTTTGTCATGTTCGTCTGTTTTGTACGCTTGGGAATCTGACATGATGGTTCCAACCTGAAGGTTCCAATGTTGTTTGTCAATATCTGATGTTGTGGTTCAATTGAAAAACTATGACCATATCTCCGGGACTTGAAGAATTTCGAATGCAGACATTCCGCCAAATACTTATACTTAGCCCTCAGACACAGTTATACTAGTAATATTCCATGGCTATTCCTGCCGACACCCGAGGAATACTACATAAAACCCCTCATCCTGCACCTGGGCATCATCGACTAAAATTAAGCCTGATAAGAAGGACCCCTGGAAAGTCAGAAGCATCGAGCAGCCAGAAGCATCGAGCAGCCAATAATGGTATGGCCCTATAGGTCACCATCAGGATCTCATAACCAGATTCTCCCTTGAAAGGACATCCGGGCCCACAGGAAAGCCTTTAATGTGGATCCTCTCTCAAAAAGGAAGTTTGAATGAGTACCTAAAGATAAGGTTGTGCGGGGTAACTCCATACCAAGACACAGTAGAATTGCTCTGGGGAAACATCGCTGAACATATCTCGTTCTGACCCCGCTTAGAGCGATGGATAGTTTTATCTTCCGCCCTTGAAACCAATGGCCTGGGACATGTGAGATATGACCCCCGTTCGCTTGAGAAAGTCAAAGCCGTCCAGATGCCTGCATGGTCCCTGCAAGAAGTTATTGGGGTTAGTAGGCCTCAGGCACCACAACAGGCACTCACATCCCGCCTTCCCGGCCTCTCCCTCTCTGACTCTAACTCTGATGGATATTCGCATGCATGCACCATTTCCCGGTTTCCATCCTCCATGAGAAGCTAACTCCAATGTTCACTACCCATGACCATTAAGTTTGCAATGTACTGTGGAAGATGAGTTGTATCTAGCTTCTTTTGACCATATTAGAAATAAGATATCGGGCGAATCCCCGGCATTGCTCGTTCGAATTTCAAATCTCGATTCTCATATCAGGAATTCCGGAGACCGTTATCTTTGCGATTTGCAATGTCTACCTCTGGCCATTGGCTGACTACAATTTGGGTCCACTCGGGTCATTCACAGCTTCGAGTAGGCTCTTGACTAACTGCTCGCCTCGGCCTTCGCTCCGAGGTAGCTCGGACAACTCAGCTTAAGCGAGTTTGTCATTTGCAGCAACCTCTGGATTCAACTACGACATCGCATGCGGAAGGCTCACGTTTCTTCACTTTTGAAAATTACTCACGGGCATATATCGCGAACAAAGGCCATCAACAAACCTTTCCATGTCTCTCCCCCAGATGGAGCCCCAAGCGACGCCGCCGAAAGCAGGATTTTCTAAAGATGTGAATTGCGATAGAATCTCGGAAATGCCAAAAACTCGTGATCAATTAGTCAATGATTCGTTTGTTGTTGATTGGAATGGTTGTGATGACCCAAATGACCCATTCAACTGGCCGCTGCTGAAGAAAATCGCTTTCACCGTGATCGGTAGCTGCATAGTCTTCGCGGTCACATTTGCGTCCAGTGATTTTGGACCCGCTGGACCCGTTGTCGCCAGCGAATATGGTGTCTCAGTAGAAGTGACAAACCTGAGCGTTGCTTTGTTTGTTGCAGGCTTTGCTGCAGGGCCTCTTCTGTTCGCCCCCCTATCGCAAATATATGGTCATGCAGCGATGCTTTTGACAGGGCTGATTGGCTGCGCCATCTTCCAAATTCCCCTCGCTCTAGCACAAAACATTGAAACTGTGATAATTTCACGATTCCTCATGGGTGCCATTGGAAGTGCAGTGCTGGCGGTCGGTTCGGGAATGCTAGCAGAAGTATGGGGGCCTTCCACTCGCGCTGTCGCTATTGGGCTTTCTGCCACATCGATGAACATGGGAAGCATTGTTGGCCCGATCGCGGGGAGCTTCGCTCTTTCACGGTATGGATGGAGATGGATTGGTTGGATGACTCTACTGGTCTGTGTTGGAATTGGTGCCACAGCCCCTTTCGCGCTTCGCGAATCCTCCCGGCAAATCATCCTTGACAGAAAGGCCTCCCAGACTCGCAAAAAGATGAACGATTCAAGATATCAAACTTTGAGCGAGAGGGAAGGAGGTATGGATTTCAGTCTACTAGCTCAACGGTATCTTAAACTGCCTTTACAAATGATCACACGAGAGCCCATCTTGATAATCATTACAATCTATCTTACCCTTGTCTATGGAACCCTCTACCTTTCATACCAAATGTTTCCCTTCGCTTTTCAGCATCGTGGTTGGTCAGCCCCTATGAGCAGTCTACCTTTCATAAGTGTTCTCCTCGGTGTTCTCTCTGCTTGGCTTGTTTCCTCGTGGTATACCATCGCGTTTTATCGGCCCAAGCATGAGCGGACCGGGCTCTCAATCCCTGAAGATCGTCTACCACCAATGATTTTGGGTGGTTTCATTCTTCCACCTGCTCTGCTCTGGTTTGGCTGGTCAATGCGGACAAATTGGTTCTGCCAGGTCATGTCTTGTTTCTTTGTGGGGTTTTCACTTCAGCTGATCTTCATCACTGGCGTGGTTTACATAATCGATGTTTATTTAACCAACGCCAACTCAGCTATCTCCATCCATGTTGGTGTTCGAAGTTTGGTGTCAGCAAGCTTCCCTCTTTGGGGCCCGCTACTGTACAGAAGGCTCGGTATCGAATGGACATCCACTTTACTCGCATGCTTAGGCCTGTTACTTCTTCCTTCCCCTCTGGTATTTTACTACTGGGGGCGGAACATTCGATCATGGAGCCGGTTGATCAAAAGTAACTCCGGCCTGGAGATCTCCGAGAGTGGTCTATAGGCGACATCTCAACATCTTCCCTATTCTTTAGTTCTCGCAAGAAGAGTAGCAATCAACGCTACTTGAAAGTATGTACGATCTAAATTGAAGTTTGCTTTTCTTTGACTAGAACTTCTTGAAAGATATCAGAATCCAAAATTCGCCAAAGAGGCCGGTGCGCTATCGGTTAATGACAGATTGGATAAAAGTCAAATGGGAAGTATGACATCTACAAACTTTATCCAAGCAACCCTTCTATGTGGATCCTAGCTCAAACAGGAAGTTTGAATGAGCATTTGAAGATAAGGTTGTGCGGGGTAACCCCGCGGCAAGTTCTTATCATTTATTTTCCGCTCATTCTGACATAATATGATAGAGACCTAGGAAGAGTTACCATATGAAGGAGGCCAAATGAGCAGTATGCTATCGAAGATGATAAACTCAAAGGTAAGAGCGGATGCAAGTTATGTATGTACTCAAATATCGCAGCGGGGTAGATTTAACATGATGTGATCATTCATTTTGTAGCCTTAAAGGTTGCTTGTCGCACGATAGCTTCTTTTAATGCAAAACTTTTTTTTAATCATTCCTGATAAGTCTGCCTACACCACTCGAATAACCTGGTCTATCTACTATTGTTATATGCGATGTATTTAGACACGATTTGGCACTGGCCACCAATGTGGCCTACACTTTTCTGTTGTATCAGTCTTCTTTCAAGCTTCGTCTTGCTTTTTAGTACGTGGGGGAAAGCAATATACTCCACAACCGCTCCGAAACCACAATCTACTGATTCGACGCACGAGGATGATTATCCGCCAGTTGAACCACTTCCGGATTTTGACTGGAAAACGACGGAACCCATCAAAATTCGACCATTTAACCCAAAATACAACTTGACAATGAGTGAGCTTTTCTATTTTGTTTCATGCTTTCAGATTCATTAATATATTTCAAGGTATCCAACAAACGACGGTGAATGAACTTATCGAAATGGACAAGAACTACCTTGACCGTATCATGCTTCGAAGGAAACTCATGGCAGAATTCCCCAATACAGTACTAGCATCTGAGGATTCTGTCAAACCAGCTGTTGATGAGCTTTACACATGGCTGGTTGGAACATATCTTCCAACAAGATATCCGCGTATGTTTGAAGTAAGACCTTCCGCGGGCGGCATTTCACCAGTTCTACGAAACTTGATCACCGGAGAGGATTTGTCCATGTCTCCAGGCGAAACGCCAAGGGAAACACTTAAAACTCTCGGTGGCCTCGTGGACGATGATTTCCTCTTCTTATTGCCGTCGGAAGATGGCGACAGCTTCACTCTGAAAGGCTTTGTAACTTGTTTCCCGAATGGGTTTAATACATCCAAAAAGCTTAACATGAAGCTCCGAGATATCCACAAACCCGTGCCGAGCTACAAAGAGAAGCTGGAGAAAAGTATGGATCGATATTTTGCGAAGCTTAAGCCTGGAAGGTTTGTTAAAAGAGCCAATGTATGAACATCCTTCTTAATAACTGGCGCAGCTGACTGGTGATTAGTGGACGATAACAACTACAGATCAACTCTTCACTGCATCTGGGAACCACCTATACGAAGGCGAGAAAATTCCCCAGGAAGAGGTGGATATCAGAGTTGTAAGTTGAAAAGCCCGTTCCTCTTCTTTCTATGACACACGCTGACATGCAAAAGGCTCGGGTTCGTGTAGAGAGGCAATTTCTGCACCGGCTTCCTCGAAGTAAAGCAATAGTGTTTTCATTCAAAACTTTGCTATACACCCTTCCAGAAATCAAAGAAGAAGGACTTGGGGACGCCCTGGCAGATGCAATAGATGGACTCAATGATGGAAATGCGCCCGGTTTCCACTTTTATAAGCGAGCAGCTGTATGGGGAGCTTCAGCAAAGGCTTATCTTCAAAGCTAGTGCCATTTGCGAACATGCATGGCCTTATGACATACCATTCCGGCTTGGCAGATTCCCAGAATGATCAAAGTGGTGATAATATGCGAATGGGCCGAGAGAAAAGAGGGGCTCGCAGCGGAGAACGGCAATCTTGGATGCCCGAGGCACACCCTTAAAAGTGTTGGAAATTTGACAACAAAGCGAGCTATTAGGGGTATTTCTGAAATAAAATCCATACGGACAAGAAATATGCAGCCACTATTTATTATATATCTGAAGGGAGCATAAGCCAAGTGCACTCATCTTGTTTGACACAGGTCAGCTTCTACTTCTGCTCATCGAAAAACAGTTATTTTTCTCAAAAAAGAAATTGACTGGATCTCCGCTTGTTCGGATTTCTTTGCACTTTAAATTCTAGTGTCGCCATCCATGGATGGAAATTGGGCAGACTTTTTATACCATCGCTCATCTCTCGCACGTTCCAGCCATTAAAACTACCCTTTACCGCTTTGGAGACATTTCTTTCTTATAATTATTCCCAAGTTAACATACGATAGGCGATACACCTCGGCACAAAGCGGATAAGTACATAAGTCAGTCGGAGTTCGAAGCCTTCTCCGTTCAAGTTCATTAAGATGTGGACGCAAGAATGGATATTCTAAGCTTTCGATCCCCGGAAACTTGTTAGAAGTTTACCAATGGAGGGAGCCCACTGGAAAGTTGCGTCACCATAATTACGAAGAGAGATTACCATTTTTGAAATAGATCTGCGGGATCTAATTCCGAATGGTGAAAATACTTGTTTATGCCGTGAGAAGCCAGTGGTGCGTTAGTACGGCCGTGGTTACGGCCGTATACGACCAATAGTCCACCTTACCCCACCGAAAAGCGACAGGCGTCGATAAGACTGGAATAGTAAAAGATTTCCAGTACGGAATATTAGCACTGCCCTTCGCACTCCCATACTCGCACTTTCATACTAAATGGGAAATTTCCACTGCACCTTAAAACCGCCCCCATCCCTTCATAACCAAAAGAAAAGCTTCTTCAGTGGGGCTTATGATTTCAGCTGAGAGCGAAACCTACACGAAGTTACAAACTGCGAACCGATTGCCCAATTCGGATTAGCTTTGTTTTGATTTACAGCCCACATTCTGTTATCAAGTCAGCCTCGTGCGTAAAAAGAGCGGGCCAAAAGAATTGAAATGTGTCTATTTCTTAACACTAATTATATTAAAACCGGGGGATCTCCTAGGAGCTTTCCAAACTTCGCTGTGAAAGAAACAACTTCCAAATCAGAGCAGCGAATCTTCGCAAATTCATATCCTCATTTTTCTTCCACCATTCTTTTTCACTTCAGTGTTTACATCTTGCTACACCTATCCTCTCCTGATTTCTGAATCTGGAAAGCGGAAAAATTAAAAAAAGACTTCACCCATACACCAGTGCGATGTGTTTTTTCTTCATTCCTTATTTGCTGAAAAAGAGGAAGGAGAAGAAGGAAGGATCCGATCCTAGCGCACAAGGACCGCGGCCTGTTTCTCGAGACAGATTGGGCCAGCAGTCCCCACCATTTTCGCAGACAACAGCGGGACCGAACCCATCAATGGGACAAATGTACCCGACCATGGGAGGAACGAACCCAGGAATGGGAGAAATGTACCCGCCAGTTGGAACAAACCCAGCGCCGGGGGGGATCTTGATCCTTTTAATTTCATGTATGTACTCCGAATTTGCCGTTCGTTAATTAAAAAATCTAACATACCAACTCGCCAGGCGCGAAGCTCAATCTACGTCTTTCTCGCAAGGGTTGGGGGGGTTATTGGGACAGGAGCCCGTCGGTTTATAGCAGAGCTTGACAGAATTAATTCACATCGTCTTGTTTTTTTATAGTAGAATAGTATCGTTTCGAGGTAACATCCTTAACAAACTTCCCCCTTCACCCCAGTCGGGGGTAACTATGCCCATTTTGCCCACCCCCCAGTAATCAAGTCCCCGGTATCAGGGCGATATTGTGTCCTTTTTTCACAGACTGTGACATCATCAGGGCTTGTTGAATACCTGCAGTATTTCCAACAAGCTCGAGTGTCTTCATGACCCAATCCTTGATCTCAGGTGTTGTTGCCCCACAATTTGCCGTGATGAAAAGTGGCCAGAGAAGCCGGAAAGCCACACCCACACCAACCTCTCCTGAATTGAAATGATATGGGACACTCGCACATATAGAGTGAATCATTTGTCGACTGATGGTGTTGGCCATAGCTATCGTCTTGTGGGAAGTATCTGCCATTCCAGATCCCACCGTGCGCATACAAAGCGATCGAACAATCTCCTGTATGACGATGCGCGTTTGATAGTAGTTGTTCCACCCAGAGGCAAACGAAACAGAATTAAACAAATGATAAGTATCACCATAGTAATATGAGTATGAATCAATCTTGCTTCGGAGGTGTGCGGGCGTATTCATGACATTATAGCGCCAGGGAGGGCTCAAGGACATTGACCATGAGACTAGATCGGCATCAAGGTAAAGTGCCCTTCTGATAAATGGCCCAGGGTTCTCGGCAGCTCTATCGCCTCCATCCTTGTAGGCACCATGAATATCGGCTGAGAGCTCTCCTAGCTGGATTAGGATTCTGAGAAACTCTTCAAGGGCCTGGGTTTGATCATTTCGGCGAGACCATGCAATTTCTGATAATGCGGCAACTGAAGTGGAGATCCTTCGCTTATAAAAGATGTTGCTTATCATCTTTTAATTGAGGTCAGTTATAATTTTGAAAAGTATTCGGACCCATTGACTTACGATCTGCATGCGTATCAGTGTAAATAACTCAAGTCCTCTCCTGGATTCAAGTTGCCCTGTGCCCCGTAATTCCAAGAGCTTCATAGATCCTTGAACATGATTTAACCAGCCTTCTATCATATCTAAACTGCAACCTGCGATAACCTTATAGTATTGTTAGATCGGACTGAGTGTTGGATCAGAATGATATTTTACCTCGTACATTCCAAGCATTATGACAGCCGTCAAGGTGGAATCTGATTTTGCCATGAATGGATCGTGCAATGCATTATTTGTGGCAAGAAGAGCTTTTCCATATTCCTGCCTCGCAATATACTTTATTTTTGGTAATTGGTGTATCTTGGCAATGCTTGCCAGCCCTATAGCCTTGACCGCGGCCTCAAGAGCTGGGGAAGGAACTTGGCTTATCAATTCCGGCACAAAGGGCAGTACACCACGATTTTTGGCGGTGCCGACGTAAAATGCGATTGTATAAGATGTCGCCCACTCCTCAGGATATTCAGAAATGGGGTTGGAGGATAAGGGCGCGAGTTGGGTTAAAATAGTCGGCTCCTGGGGCTTTTGGCGGGTTTTATGTCGAGCCTGGGCTTTTGCAACAACCTCGTCGCTCTGGTCATAAAATCGTAACGCATTCGGATCTTGGTATCCCGGACAATTTTGACCAATTCTTCGACATTGCGAGCATGATGGTCGGCCCCGGTCGCACTTATTCAGTGAGCACTCCGAAGGTTTATAGTGATCGCAAGGATTTGCATACCGCTCGACGCCGCGCACGGCACAGCCCACATCCGGGACTAGGTCTTCCTCTGTAAATCATCTATTGCAGTTGCTAAGAGCTGGTGTCCGGGTGAGGCAACCAGGTCAAACAGGGAAGGCTGACATGCAAGGTGCAGGAGGGTGGGTTGGTCTGTATTTAAAGCTAAACTAACAAGGGTAACCAGTATGAAAAGGTGGGCCAGGTGCTGCCTGTAGCCCCACAGCCCTCGGTGTGCTAGAAGGATTCATTGGCTGTCCTTTGCCCACAGAATGACGCTAAGGTCGGCGATCCTGCTAATTCTACAGTTTCGCCTTTAAGCCCCAATCTGACCTGGTATTGACTTCGCTTTTGTCGCGATGATGCACACTGAAACCAGAGTGTCTCATTTTAGGCTCTTCGATTCGGAATAATCTTGCTCGGCACATTAAGTATCTTTTTCTAGTTCAGCCTTATTTAAACCGTCCTCCCAAGAGAAGTTTATGTTCTTTCACAAAAATAGCTACATTAAAATTTGCCCCCTTTCCGACCTTGCGATTTTTTTATCATATCTCTCAGTTCCTTCTCCTTCTCCTCTGGAATATTTCAGCCTTCAATTGAAATGAACGGCGTATTTCCCGCTGATCTTGCGGTCTATCTGCTCCTCGCTCCAGTGGTTGCTTATATTTTCGTCACTCACCGATGGGCCGGTTTCCTTCCATGGTACTACCTGTCCGTCTTCTGTCTCGCTCGAATAGTCGGCGGCATACTGGGTATCTGTGACAGCGAGAGTCTAGCTGCCAACATCATTCAAAGTGTTGGTATCTTACAATTGATTCTTGGCGTTGATGGACTAGTACATGAGGCGTATGTTCATACTGAGCTTGTCGAGTGGTTCAAACAGCTAATCGATATAGTCGAACATACCGCAATCCATCTGGCAGCCGCTTCCTCGGAATTTCTGTTATTATAGGCACCACAGCCCTAATGGCTACTTCCATGGCGTTGACAATCATGGGTTCCTTGGATATTTACCAGGGTCACCCCAAACCACACAGTCTTCAGCATTGGAAAACCGGTACAGCCCTAGCCGTTCTCGCGTGGGCTTTCCAGGTGTTTTGGGCCTTTTTTTCTCTGCTTTCAAACATTGGGGGGAAAGGGTCTTCCCGGATACCAAGGTGGCACAGCAGTATGCATTCCAATTCACATATTGCATTTCTTATTTATCTACCATATCACTGACGATATTTTCTTACTAGCTTCTCCAAGGAGCGGTCGTCGCACTTCTATTCATCGGAATCCGTGTCATGTACAGCCTTGTTGCGGTCTGTACGCAACGCAGAGATATCAGTCCAGTCTATGGGAAGACCGATATCCGAGTTACTCTCATGTTTCTCCCGGAGGTCCTTGCGACTCTCGCAATGATTATAGTGGGCCTTCGCACGAGGAAGCTAAGGGAGACCAAATCTATCGCTACCTACTCACAAACACCACAGAATTGCTAATTCGGTGTGTGAGTTATTTGGTGCAGGCGAATCTTTTTAAATGTCCATAGATCCTGGTGGCCGTCGTTCGGCCAGTTCGTCATTCATGATATGTCTCTATTACATTTCGCTGTCTGGATCTAAGTGAAGAGTAATTTGTTTCATTCGTTCTCAGGCCGTGTGGTAATAAGAATACTCCGAGGTCAAGGTGTAGCCAGTGCCCTGGCACCATAGAAATTTATCTACGCCATGAAATTTAACAGGCAAGATATCTTTCCCTAGGTAGAAACTAAGAAGACAGATCAGGAAAATGAAACCTGAAGTCGTCTAGGCAGGGACATTTACCAGATTTTCGGAATGAGAATCCTCATTACGCAATAATCAGAGTCTAATCACTAAAATCGAGATCTTTCTGACATTTAAGAGTTAATGGCGGAATATCAGTACAATGAAATAGTTGATCGGTACTCATAATTCGGCTTTGAGGACCCTCACGCTCGTAGTTCAAAAACTCGTTATTTTTTGATACGTTCCACTCCTGGCGGAGGTTCGGGTCCGATCGAAAGAAGAAATTGTAGGTCATATCAAACAATTGAAGATGCTCGATTAAATCTACTTATCAATCGCAACTCTAGGGCATCATACATCTTGCTTCTCGAAAGGCAATTCGAAATCCTCGAGAGTACAGTACTTCCCACCAAATATTTAGCCCTAGAGGTTCACCCAGACTACGGGAATACTAAGTCGATATTACCTTAGACCAGTCAAATTCACTTCGATAGAGATCAACATTTTGGACCAGTCGGCCTTGCCATATATCAACAACGTGACACCAAGGCCCTCTCAGAACATCGTTTAGTCCATCGCCATCGATAGTCAAACAGCGCCGATCGTGCAAAAGAAAGCACGAACCGTCCAACCCAGCATTACCAACTCCAGAGACCCCTCCGTCTCACAAATCAACCTAGCCAAAACAAGACCAGATCAACAGAGCGGGGGAATCGCGAGGGTCCTAGTTGACACCAGTCAAGCCGGAGAGTCCCACATCTCACCCTCACAACCAACAACACCGGGGAGCCAAGCCTCATCTCCACCCCCACAACAGCCGGGATTGAACCAAGAAGTTAGCACCACGTACCTTAAAACAAATGAGCTCTCAAGCGACAAATCACAGCGCAGCTATTCAGCCTATTTGGCACTTGTCCAATTAAACCTCGATTATAAAGATCGTTGTCAGCCATGCGATGGCACATCTCGGCTGTGAAGCCCTACTTCCTCTGCCGAAGGGGGTTTCCCCGGACTACTACGGGGTACTGGTTTTGATTTGCTTCTGCTAGCCACATTCGCATTGGGGCTAGGTATAAAGGGGTTAATGATGCCTTTCCCCATATTTTCAAAATAGAAGAAGAATAAGATTCGAGTTTCAATTGCCCTGCCTTTCTTGCCTCCTTGCGTCACTATCTGGTCGCTGGGGACTCCATCCAATTTCTTTTCTAGGGAGAATTGAAATAAAGCTACCAACCGACGCAATGTCTGTCGACAGCGTCAAAACCGACTCCGACGCTCACATGGAGAAAGTCACGCCCAACACACCCGCCGTTGATCTAGAAGCCATCGGCGAACGCGAGGGCTACATCCTAGACACGACACTCGCCCAGAACCAAGACTTAAAAACAACAGCAGACGGGAAAACAATCCTCATCCCACAGCCCAGCGACTCACCCAATGACCCTCTTAATTGGAGCCCGTTCCGCAAACACTTGATTCTGATTATCATTTCTTGCACGGCTTTCTTGCCTGATTATGGGAGTGCGACGGGTGCTGTTACCCTCGTGCCGCAGGGGAAGTAAGTAACTTGAACAACCAATCCATCCTCGTTTCTGCGTACTTGATACTATCCCTGTAGTATTTATTACTAACTAATGACGCTAGAGAGTGGAACATGGACCCCAACGTCGTGAATCACTCACAAGTCGGCAACGTTTTCATGCTCGGAGCAGCTGGTCCCATCATCGTCGCTCTTTCGGCTTATTTCGGCCGGTTTCCGATTCTTTTTTGGTGGGCTTTACTTGCTCTTGCGACGGCTGTTTGGTGTGCTGCTGCACAGAGCTTCGAGTCGTTCATGGTACGTCTTAATCCCAATAATACCAGTTTATCATGATGATCATATATACAAGGACTCTCCTCGGTTCGAGCCCCAACCTTCAAGCTCGACATGCTAAAATAATATATCAGGCCGCACGCATCCTCAACGGCTTTTTCTCAACCGTCGCGCAGGGAGTACGTTCCTTCGATTCCACCACCATCCTCAGATCCCCCCTCCCTCAACATCCTTCAAGTTTACTAACACAATAGATCAGGGCGGCCTAATGTTCATAAAAGACATGTTCTTCTTCCACGAACACGCGCGCAAAATAAACATCTGGTCCGGCTTCATAATCCTATCACCCTACATGGGCCCTCTCCTCGCCTCATTCATAGTAAACACGCAAATCTGGCAATGGGCCTTCGGCCTCTACGCAATCGAAACAGGCCTCTGTCTGGCAGCAATAACCCTCTTCGTCGACGAAACGTACTACGACCGCAAAACCGTGCAGCCGGAATTAGTCCCGAATGGACCGCGCTGGCAGCGCATGCTGGGCATCCAGCAGGTGCGCTCGGGGTATATCCAGAACAGCTTTTCCGAGGCGGTCATGCGGCCTGTGACAATTATCCTTAAGCCTGTTGTCTTTGTCACGGCGTTTGCGTATCTGCTTATGTTTGCTTGGGTCGTTGGTATCAACACTACGCTGAGTATCTTCCTAGCGCCTGTTTATGGGTTTGATGCAAAGGCGATCGGTAACTTGTCCCCCACCCCCTTGCCCCCTCCCCTTGGCCCTGGCCTTTGATATAATTGGTTGAATGTGGCTGACTATATTAAACTTGATAGGCTTCTTCTACTTCACGCCCGTCGTAGCCGCTATTCTCGGCGAAGTGGCCGGCCACTGGCTGCATGATTTTATAGCAAAGACATACACAACCCGAAACGGGGGCCGCTTTGAGCCCGAGGCCCGGTTTTACGCTGTATGGTTCTCGATGCCATTTCTTGTTTCGGGACTGGTGTTGATGGGGTTTGCGCTGGAGCGCGAGTATCACTATATGCTTGCTGCGCTGGGGTGGGGGCTGTACGTATTCGGGATCATGGTCGTGACTGTTGCGATCAATTCGTATGTTTTGGACAGTTATCCCGAGGCGAGTGGGGAGGTTGCTGCTTGGGTGAATTTTGGGAGGACTTGTGGGGGGGTTTATTGTTAGTTATTTTATGGTGGAGTGGGCGGAGAAGGAGGGGACTATTAAGCAGATGGGGACTATGTGTGGGGTTGTTGGTGTGGCGTTCTTTATCATTCTTGGGCTGCAGTTTTTTGGGAAGAGGTTGAGGGCTTGGTCTGGGCCGGCGGATTTTAAGACTGGTTAGGTTAGGTGGAAGTATCCCTAGGTATTAGTTAGGCTATAGGGGGAGTATGATATAGTGTGAGATTCCGAGGTTGATCTGTAGATGGAAATTCATGAATCACCAGTACCAGTAGCTACAGTCTACGGTGTCAATTCTGAATAGCTTCAACTTGAAGTTTTTTGCAGTTCCATTTTCATCCGTATCAGTTCGTATCTGGCATTTGAGTACATCGAAAGAAAAGACTATTACGGTCACAGAGGATCGGTATGTATAAGCTTATTCTGGTAAAAGTCAAAAAGCCCAAACGCCAATTGGAAAAGTGCTATGCAGACATATCGTATAAGACCGAGGGTCGGGAGAAGAACGTGGATGTGGACATAAATGTTTATGTTCGACCCAGCGGCTGTTGTTGTTGTTGTTGTTGCTGCTGCTGCGACCCCACGGGTTCATCGGGTGTCGAGCTACTACTAACCTCCTCACCCCACACAAAATGTCCGAATGTCAGCACAGCCTGGAAAATCTCCTTGCCAGTGGGGACAATGTGCTCTGAGGGAAGGAGGAAACCATAGCTGCCGCGGTCGCGGAGTTTGATTTGAAAAGAGTATTTGGCATGCAGCTTGTGATAGAACCAGTCTAGGGCGCTGCCACCGGAGCTCAGATTGGCGGCTTCCCCGTTCGGCAGAATACCCTCACATGCAGAAGTCACGTCGTATGATTCTCGAGTGGTCATTCGAATTGCCTTGGCGAGGCCCAGAGCCAGTTCCTCCAGGCTTTCAAGGGTGGGAGGAACAGAGGAGCAAGTGTAGGAGTAAGGGTATAGGATTTGTTGAGAGTAGGAGTGCAGATCCAATAGACCGACAATTTCTGCGCGCCCACTCTCAGTCTCGTTCTGCGCCCATTCGGCTAATCGCTGAGATTCCAATGCCTCGAAAGGTTCGGCACCGGCATAATTCTCGGAGCATGGATTCGAGCGGGTTGTTTCGCCATCCCATTCAAAATCCCAGGCACGGTCGAGATCTACACCAGGACAGATCGGGAGGCCCGTTGGCTGTCGATTCTTCCGCCATAGGCGGTCCGACTCCCACGAATAGACATAGCCATCAGGGTTCAGAGTTGGGATAAAAACCCAGTCATATTCATTGAGGAGATGGGTGACCTCGAGCGACTCTCCATATTGGGTGATCAGATTATAGGCAACATAGGTCACTGTGGAGGTACTGATCCACTCCCGGGCGTGGAGACCGCCCATCATGACGATGGTCTTCCGCGGGCTTGGCGAAGCATGTCCATCACGACGTGCGCCGAGTCGTAGAGCCGGGATCTCTCGGCCTTCATAGGTGAGACCAATATTGATGAAGGAGGCATGGGAGGAAAACATTGAGGCCATCAGTCGCATCCATTGTGTGATGACGGACAATGGCTGGTATTCGCGGAAGAAGACATCCTCGATGTCGGCGGTGCGACCGTGGGCAGATCCAGTTCCTGTATCGGGGCGCAATGGGTGCAAAGGATGATAATGGGTTCTTGGGTAGGTGGCATAGATCATATCGACGAGATCATCCATGAGTGGGGTGTGCGATGTACGGAGGGAAGCAGGCAGCAGCTCGAGCAGGGAAGGGATCTATGAGATGGCCCGGAAATGCGCAATTAGCAAATTGTAAGATGGATTGAAAAGGTTGATAGTGAATGAATGAATCGAATCAGACATGACTTACCATGCTATCTGTTAATCGAATGTCCACATATTCGGCAGTGATGGCCCAGACGTCGAGGAGCAAAACCCGGGAGGCGGCGGCCAAAGCGTCCGCTTCTTCCGGCTGGCGAATTTGAAAACGAAGGACTACATCACTCTCGTAGCGATCGCGAACATTGGAAGGGGGAAGATTCTGGGCATGCTTGGGACAGTGGGAGTGCTCGATACCCCAGACGGATTCGATGACCCAGTCGCGGAGTCGGGTCCACGGACGACGTGGGTCGGGGGAATGAGAGAGCTGGCGAGCGGGCAGTAATGGAGATGGAGGAGTGATGCTGGATCCTGCAGGGATGGCAATGATGGAAGGAATACCAGCCAGGAGTAAATAGGCCGGAAGGAGGCGCATGGTGGGGGTGGAAGGATCAAGTTCCAAGTTGAAGAGGGAGGTGAAGTTGATGAGTGCGGAGAAGGCGGGGAGTTCTTGTCAGCAGTAACTATCATCATAGGTAGGGTAGTAGTAGCAGTATAACTAGTTAGCAGTAGGGTAATTAGTAACTAGTAGTTATCATGTACTTACTCCATTTATTACTATATTTCAAGTCTATTATATTTTATGAGCATAGAAGTATACTATTAACCTAGTAATAGAATAGATACTAGCATACTCTGCAGTATTTCTATCAGTAACTGTGTGGCAGTATCACTAGTGAGTGGTGATAGCAGTGTTTACTATAATAAAGTTAACATACTAAATAAGTAGTAAATAGTAGTATCTGGCATATCTCTATTATACTAGTCGAACAATTAATAAATAGTCTATATACTTAGATGGTCAGATTAAAATAATATCCTCTATCTATATATATATCACTATTAATAACCACTTTTGACTGTTGACTAGAACACTCACTTGGCGGTGCTACTAAGACTGGCTCTCTTCTACCTCCACTCCCTTCTCTTTCCATCATCTTCTACCTAACATCACCATCACTCACCACCAGCACCACCTCCTCTTTACTCCTTCTAGAACATCCAGACCAGTCCAGACCGTCATCCAACGTGGCTGTTCTCAGCGCGTGGTCCATCCACTTTGCTCCCCTTGCCGCGTTCCCCTTTTTCGCCAGCTGACGACTCGGACCCTCGCAACTCCACACTGCCCGCTCCACTCTTCTCAATCCCACCGCGTTCTGGATTCCTCCTCCACGTCGCCATGCACCATTGATCCCTCCCTGTCAACCTCTCCCAATCTTCTACAAGGCACACCGTATGGGTTTGATTACCGTTCGCGTGCTTCGTTGCTATGCATTGGAAAGGCCTGCGGCTGGTCGCCGATAGTAGCTCCAAGCGCCAGAGTACTATTGACCCTCAAGCCTACGCCCAACCCCAAAGTCGTCGCAGCGAGCATCTCCCTCGTCCCTCCCCGCCGACTGCTGAACCCCGATATTCCGAGTCCACTCCGCGTCTCCCGGGTCTCTCTCCGCCCAACGAACAAGCCGAGTTTGAAAGTCCAACCGATGCTGCGCGGGGGCTTCAGATCCCTGGCGAGCAGGGGGGGTCATGGCCAAGCCCATGGCCATGCGGTAGACCGGTCCGACTTTGCGGGCTCTTCCTCTGCCGAGACTTCTAGTCTGCGGAGGAACCGCTTCAGCTTCATGAGACTACGCCATGCCTCCGATCCCCAGCTTTCAAAAAGCTACACCAAAGCCCAACAAGAAGCTCCCCCAGTGCCGTCTCTACCACCCCCGAAGATTATCACCACTGCCCCGACGAGCAATGAATTGGACCAACCAGTGAAACAACGGAATAAATTCTCCTTCCGTCCGTCATCCCGTAAACAATCCATGGAGGATCTATCACGGAATTCGACGGATCAACCAAGATTGAAACAGACTCGGAAGAACCAGGGCTCGACCGACTCCCAGATCGGTGACTCGAGCCTTTCGACCTTCCAAACAACTTCCGAGACCCCCGGCCGACTCTCAACGAACTCGCTAAGAGGAGGCAGCCGGGATCAACCCGTCGATTCCAATCGATCCTCTGCCGTAGACCCCCGGTTCTCTGAGTCGTCGCGGTCAGACCAGAGCTACGGGGACCAAGTTCCGACATATCAGACCAACTCTCCTCGCGAAGGCCACGGTTCTACATCGAGCGCCAAACGATTCCGCTTACCCCGTCTCAAGCGCAATAAGAGTCCCCTGTTCCCACTTCCTCCCCGGCCAACTCCCAGCAGCCGCGCGCTGGACGCCGCCCCCAAGTTCTCTGCCGATACCCCCAAGTCGGAGGGCTCGGTGGATCACGACCAGGTCTCACCTCTTCCCTCGCCCTCGCGTTCCTCTGTCGGGCTAGCCTCTTCGGTTCCCCCGCAACTCTTCCGTAACGACTCCACAAACTCCGCTCGTTCCTTGCGCTCCAATCCGTCCCACAATGGCCGTGGTCGATCTTCAACAATGGGGTCTGTGGCTGAGAATCAGGATGATTTATCCCCCGTCCCATATCTCGCTTCCTCAGGACGCACTTCGACTTCTACCAGTGGCCGCAAGAGCTTCGGCGATCTTTTCAATATTTCTCAACGTTTGCGTCAGAATTCTGAGCCCCCGTTCCCTCGGCATGGTTCCCCAGGTGTTGGCGGCCCTGGATCGTTGACTCCAGCTTCAAAGCCCGATTTACCACCAGTCCCATCGCGGGAGGAAGACGATACGCCAGCCAGCTTTCTCACAAAGCTCGAAGAAAACCTTCCAAAGGGATCGATCGCCGGTATTCTTGCTCAGTCGGACCAAGAATTCTTCAAGGTTGCTCTCAGGAAATACATGCGAGGGTTCCACTACTTCGGCGACCCCATCGACATGGCCATTCGTAAGCTGTTGATGGAGGTGGAGCTGCCAAAGGAAACTCAGCAAATCGATCGTTTCCTCCAAGCATTCGCAGATAGATACCACGAGTGCAACCCAGGTATCTTTGCAACCACTGGTATGGTTTCTGCGGCATGGTCCGCCTCCAGCCCCTTGTCTCTCAAACTAACAATATTCTAGACCAAGCATACTTCATTGCATTCTCGATTTTGATTCTTCACACCGACGTGTTCAACAAGAACAACAAACGGAAGATGCAGAAGCCCGATTATGTGAAGAATACCCGCGGTGAGGGCATCTCCGACGACATTCTAGAATGCTTCTATGAGAATATCTCCTATACTCCATTCATCCATGTCGAGGATGCAAATGTGCGCGAACGCAATCTGGCCAAGCCACGACGAGCTTTGTTCAAGAGTACAAGTTCCGAGCATTTGTCACGGGTATCAAGAGAGCCTGTGGACCCGTATGCACTCATTCTCGATAGCAAACTCGGGTCTCTAAGGCCCACCTTGAAAGACGTCATGGAGCTTGAGGATACCTACAATCACGTTGGAACCGACGGACTGCCGGACATTGATGACTTACACCAGGCTTTCACCAAGTCGGGCATTTTGCAGATCATATCTCTCCGCTCGCGCCCGGATGCCTTCATGCAAGGAGTTCTTGACAGCTCTGCGGACTCTAATCCCGGTCTGGTAGACATTAAAGTCGCCAAGGTTGGTCTTCTCTGGCGGAAAGATCCGAAGAAGAAGCGAGCCCGATCCCCATGGCAGGAATGGGGCGCGGTTCTCACCTTCTCACAACTCTACTTTTTCCGCAATGTCAACTGGGTACGCTCGCTCATGGCGCAAAGTGATGCGTACGTGAAGGGTGGACGGAAGGCGACTTTGGTATTCCGACCTCCGCTTGCCGAATTCAAGCCCGATGCGATCATGTCGACCAACGATGCCGTAGCGCTCTTGGACACGGATTACAAGAAGCACAAACATGCGTTTTCGTTTGTGCGACGTAATGCGATTGAAGAGATCTTCCTTGCGGACTCAGAATCTGAAATGAACGACTGGATTTCGAAGCTTAACTACGCCGCCGCCTTCCGAACGACCGGCGTTCGTACTAAGGGTATGATCGCTACGAACTACGAGGGTCAACGGTATCGCAAGAGCCAGCGAATGAATTCCATCTCGTCAGTCCAGTCACACCAATCCTCGGAGAAGGAACCTCCCTCGCCCAGCATCGACACCGATATCGTGGCAGAGTTTGTTGCTGCTCGTCGTCAATTGATGAGCCAAAAGATTCGGGAAACGAATGAGAAACTCTTTGTCACACAGAGACAACTTGACGAGCTTCTCCGCAATGCACGTCATCTGCAAATACTGACTCCTGTTCATCCTCGTGCCCGTGAGAGTGTCATCATGGCTGCGGGTCGAATGGCCGCCAAGCTTAAGTGGGTTAGGCAAGACATCTGGCGCAACAAGTGCTACCGAGAGGTTCTCCTTCGGGACCTCGGTGGAGATGAGAGCGTTGTTCCGGAGCGAGCGGCGTCAGTTGGCGATGAGCCAGCCAGTTCCATTCCAGCTCGGATGGCATCGGTCTCCGGTCCATCGGTGAGATACGAGCCTAGTATCCAGCCCAGTATTCAACAAGCGCCCAGCATCGTCCATACCGTATCCAGCCATGATACGGAAGAGACTACTGCGGCACCGGTGGCTGTGGAAAGTCCTCTCGACCCTGCTCTCCTCAAGCAGCCATCTATCGATGAGATGCGCCGCCCCAGTCTTCCCGCATCAACTACCTCCTCTGACTTTTCTCGTGTTGGCCGACCACTCTCAATTGCCCTCCCTTCGGACAAAGGCAAGGCCTCTGACTCAGATGTGCAACTTGAGCGTGAGGCTTCCGTGCTTAGCCGCGTTAGCAGATTTGATGGTGCCAGTATGAACTCTCGGGGCTCCAGGCTCACTTCCCCTGCCAGTTACGACGAAGGCGAGGAACGCCTGCTGCGCGAAACAGGGTTGTTGGATTTGAGTGGTTCCCCCCCACCGCGAAAACCACCAACAACTGTACAGGAAGCCGACGGCGAGGAGAAACCTGGTGAATCATCCGAAGTGTCTCAAAGTGACAGGGCCAGCCGTGTCCGCCGCAGCTTGCATCGCTCACTGCGCGAATCCCCTCATATCCATATGAACCGGCACCATTCGCACACCCGCAGCAAAAAGAATCGCGGATCAGTTTCCAGCATTGGGCCTCTTTCAGACGATGACGCTGCCCATGAAGGTGGCCTTTCGCGCAAGACACCCAGCTTCACTGTGCATGGCAAAAAGGCTTCCGTTGTAACCTTCGGATCCGAGTGGCAAAACATGCCCCCTGAGGAACGTCTCAAGCTTAGGAAACCTACACCGCACGATGAGCCACGCGCTTCTGAGCCGAACATACTCAGTAGCGGCGAGTCAGTGAGATCGGGCGACATCCCAGATGGCCGGCCACGATCATTCCGCAGCATGAGCACGACGACTGGGATCAGCATGCGCAGTGACGACGAGCCGATCGACTTCTTCAAAGATGCACACGAAGATCTACCCCGACCTTCTCAAGATGTAGCTCCAGACGAAACGGTTGCCAGCGAGCCCCCCGAATCGCCTTCCGGAACGATCATCCTTAACCACCACCACCTCACCCCGCCCCACGACGCACCATCCTCATCACCAAACCCTCTGGGTGCACCCCCGTCATCCGAGAACCTTCGACAACAGGCAGTGGGTGTGTAACCCATGTCACCACACGGCTCTCGGCCCCCTTCCTCCTACCATTACCATTCGAACCTCGCCACGCATTGTATAGCTCGAAATCCATTCTGATCTGCTGTTTTTTATGACGATTATACCCCCATTTCCACTTCAACTCCTGTTTCCCGCTGGGCCCTTTGCATTGAACGATGGCTGGAACTGATCGATCTGTGATTCTTTTTACTCTCTTCCTCGTTCTCATCCAATTTCTCACAGCCTGGTTGTCTTTTATCTCCTCCTTTCCCCCTCTCTCTCTCCCTCCCTCTCTCTTTCTTTCTTTCTCTCTTCTTCGTGGTTTCGGTCCGGATGGGGTTCGTTTGATCTGTGCATTGTAATGCATGGAAAGCATGGGAATGCATTTTGGTGCGACACGATTACGATTTGTTTTATTTCGTCTACGGTTTCGCCTCATCTTTTTACACTATACGTGATGCTCAGAGTAGGAGTTGAGTCAAGTTTGTCTGAGGTCTGAAGTCAAGTCAAGTCAAGCTACGATGTGATGTGATGTGATGTGATGCATTGTGTATCTATCTCTCTGTGACCACTCAATTCGTGTTTGGCCTTCCTAATATCATTCAGGCTGTTAGACAAAAGAAAAGCTTATTCCAATTGTCTATTTGACTCTACTCTGCGAACTTTCTAGAGTAATACTACACTTTAGTTATAACTAATTCGATATTCAAATACCCCGATCCTCCGTGCAGTTCCAGGCGGTGAACACTTCCACCAATGAAATCCCCAAATCGCACAGCTCCACTCAAGCTCCGCAAAAGTATTCCCATTCTCACATTCCCAATTCCAATGCCAATTCCAACTCCAATCCAAACTCCATCAATTTCAACTTATTTCACCAAACCCAGCTCTCCTCAATCCAATTCCCCTCAACCCCAACCAACAAACACGAACCCACCAACCACACCACACCACACCACACCCCCAAAATGGCGCACTCAAAGCGCAACACCTCCCTCCCACACTTCACATCCTATGAAAGAAGCCTCCTGCGCTCAACATGGGGCACAAAGCGCAGCGTAATAGGCCGCGACTCCTTCCTCCCCTTCGCATCCTGCAAACTCTGCCTCCAACCCGCCCGCAAACCCGTCGTATCCTGCCCCAGCAACGGCGACCTCTTCTGCCGCGAGTGCGCCATATCCGACCTCCTCGCGCAAAGGCAAGAAATGAAGCGCGCCGAGCGCGAGCGCGAAGACGCGCGCAAACGTCTCGCTGAAGATGACGAGCGCGTAGCGGACGAGGCGCGCGCGAACGATTTGCGGGAATTCGAGCTTGTTTCGATGGGGTTGGGTGGGGGCAAGAACAAGAAACGGAAAGCAAATGCCGAGGAGGAAGATGCTATTGAGAGGTTTAAGGCGAGGGAGGTCGAGGTTGATGGTGTTCGGCGGAAGGTGTTTGAATTGGATGAGGGGGTTATGGCGCGGGTTGCGCGGGAGGAGAGGGAGAGGTTGAGGGATGAGTTGAAGAAGGAGAAGGTGAGCCGGGGAACCGTGACCGTGACCTATGATTTAAGCTATAGATCCGCGCTAACAGTCGCCTTTTCTTCGCAGTCCGAATCAAGCAAATCTGCCCTGCCTTCATTCTGGGTTCCGTCTCTGACGCCGAATACCGATGCGGATGAAATCGCCGCTAACAAGGCTGTCAAGGCGGCGCCTATTTGTCCCGGATCCTCTGAGGCGCATAGGCATACTTATTCGCTAAAGACGCTGGTTGAGGTCAACTTTACTGAGGAAAAGGGCTCTGATGGGACGGTTTCGCGCGTCTGTCCGAGTTGTAAGAAGAATCTTAGTAATGGGTTGAAAGCTATGCGTATGTTTCCTTGATCCCAATCTGACCTTTTTATCGGACTCGAATCGGGAGGACGAAGCTAATTGTTTCTTCTGCAGTTACAAAACCATGCGGTCATGTCATCTGCCAACCATGCGTCACGAAATTCATGACTCCGCACGCGGTGCTGGATCCGCACGCCTCGGAGGAGGAACAGGCTCAACACGGGCTGGTACTGTGTTATGTTTGTGAGACGGATCTTACGCCTCGCGAGGAGAAGAAGGATGCGGACGGGTCCAAGAAGAAGTCTAAGAAGAAGGATAAGGATGCTGTTAAGCCTGGCCTTGTTGAGGTTAGCTCTGAGGGGACGGGCTTTGCGGGTGGTGGTGGGAATGTGGCTACTAAGACTGGTGTTGCGTTTCAATGTTGAGTTGAAGCATTGTCTGGAGACATGCATGAAATGTTAATGAATTATACCAGTAGACATGAGTGTGAATATACAAGTCTGGAGGTCTTTACTTGTTGGTTATTCAAACCCCACTGGCAAGCCCTGTATCGTCCGATCTTCTTCTGTCGTGATTTTATCCTTCTAATGAGTTATCTATACTCTGTGGAAATAAAAAATAAGCTATAAACTAGCCTATTCCGAAGGTTCAACGCCACCGAGTTGATGACGTGATAGAGTAATTTGAAGTTTGGCTATATAGTTAGTGCCCCACCGCGGGGCGGAGCTAGATGATCTCTCGATTCCGGCCACATCGCGGTCCAAATGCATTTGCCTCCAACATTTCTACGACGCGATGTCTCAGATACATCGATTGATCGGAGTGTGCAGACCTGGAACTATGTATGCCAATCATTATGTATTTTTGGGATGTCCACTTTCTTCGGTATCCGTCTATATACCCGACTTTTCATTGTCCGAGCTTTTTGGAAGGAGGATTGGACATGCTTGCTAGCATGGTTCCTTGGTGTCTGCTACTCTGTTATTGCTCTCATCATGGGACATTACGGGGGAGGTTTGCATTACTCCGACGTTCCCGTTGAATACCATGTTCCATTTGAGAAGACAGTCTACGTGACAATGGTCATGTATGGACCAACCGCATATGTGACTAAGGTGTGTCTATTATGGATGATGACTCGTATCTTCAGTCCTGTCCGCAATATTGTCATTTTCATCTATATTTTCATGGTCCTTATGCTGGCCTACTACATCCCAGCCATCATCGTGAAGATCAGGATCTGCAATCCAATTTCGAAATTCTGGGACACGAATATTGACGGCACCTGCCTTAATGAGACATCGATTGTTCTAGCCGACTCCGTTGTCAGTGTGACAAGCGACTTTTTCATTCTTATTCTCCCGATACTGTTGACCATGCACCTGCAACTGTCAACCAAGAAAAAGATCAGAGTCGCGGGGATCCTAGGTGCAGGTGGATTTGCCGTTTTGGCCAGCATCATCCGCCTCGTGCTTATTGTCGTTACGGGACATCCAGAGGATATTACTCTTGACTTTATGAGGATAAATATGCTAGGCAATGCCGAAGTGTCCATCGGCGTTATCTGCACATGTTTACCTGCCCTTTTAACCCTCGTCAGACATATCGACCACGAACACCGGAGCAGCCAAGCAACTCACTCTTCTGAACTTAGATTGAACTCGATGAGCAGGAATAAAGCAGTTCATCGAGGCAGGACGGAGATGAGAATGCGGGACGCAGAGCCAGGCGAGGGCACCTGGATGAATGCAGCACAGGGAAACTCGAGAATCCGAACAACTATCCTGGGGGACACTAATGCCCCGGAAGATTTGGAGTTGCCACCCGATAGTACAAGCATTACCAGGACAGTTGATATCTCTACGTACTTAGAGACGCAATAATATTAGATAAAAAGAAATAAAATTACCGGAATGAACAGATGATAAATTTGGAAGTTGATTTTTTGGTTCATGATATGGGCTTATAGCTAAGGCGATTACATGTCGTAGGTTATTTCAAGCAGCTAATCTCATGCAAATTTGTCTCGGAGTGATCACCGACTGAGGAACATATAAAAGAACCACGAAGGAGATGTGTACGGAGTGTGAGAGTGTGGAAGAAGTGAATCCATTGCCATAGGAGAGAGAGACAGATGAGGAAGGAAGCTGCTAGTATAAATGGCAGATTTCGCAAAGTGAATGGATGTGATTACTACTAGAGATATACTATTTCCTAGCTGATACGAACCATTCGAAATCTACCCAGTGACTGCCAGAAGAAGGGATGGTTAACGGACACCGAGAATAATGATGATATGGCTATTGGAAGAGATGACCTCCAGGGCTGAAGCTATAATTGGAGTGGACTGAGTTCAATTTAGTATATGTGTGTCTAAGGCGTGAGGCCCATGCTCTCAGTAAGATCCTTGGGCTGGATATAATGTGAGCTTGCGGTTGGCTTAAAAATGTTAGACTATCTATTCAATTCCAGGATTCCCGTGATTAATCGAGTTAAATAGATGTTCAAGTTCTGAAGGGATTGAATAGCATAGCCTGAACGGCCCGTTACGGAAAATACATAGTACCTTTGTGGAATGGACCCTTCTTGCAGTCAGTCTTTGCGGTTGATACGGCATAAAAAATAGGAATATAATAGAAGAACCACAGATATTACCTCTCGGGACATTTCCCCCAATTATCAATTATCTCAGGGGCTATTTTCCCACGGGCTGGGCTAATTTGACTCGATAGCGCGAAAAGCGCGGGGGGTGGCTGCATGCAGTGCGGGCAACGAGGACCTTGAGAGTCGGCAATGTATTTACTCCAATCAGAATCATTATTCAGTAAAGGAATGGGGAAGAATGGCTGATCTGCTGAGTTTCCAAGGTTCCCATCTTCTCATCCAAATTATTTCATCCTCGTAGTATACTACAGAGTATACTCCCGCTATACTCTACCATAGAGTAGAGTGAAGTAGTTGACCGCCAAGCCTGACATCATCAACTTTCCCTCTTCTCTTCTTCTTCTTCTCTCCTCTTCATCCGCACCATGGCTTCCAACGACCTGCGGGGATGGGTCATGAGCGGTGTCTCGGGCATCGGTGAGTCTGACTCCTCTTTTCTTCCCATACATGCGACTGATTTCTTTCAGCTTGCGTCCTCGGATCGATTGTCATTTGCGCCGACTTGGTGGTGCGGCGGGTCAGTCACCACAAGAGCTTTCAAATCGCCAACAGCAATAATTTCCTGTCGGCCTCGTTATGTCTCAGTGCTGGTGTGATGGTTTGTAACCCTTTCTCGGGCATTATCCTTATCCAAGCGCATTCGCAGGGCTAACCACCACTAGCTCTTCACCTCTTTGTATAGCATGCTCCCCACTTCGAAGAATTACCTTACGCGTGCCGGCTTCTCCCCATCTTCCTCCGCCTACATCTTGATCGGTTTATTCCTCGGAGGTGTTATAATCATCCAATTTCTCTCCGGCTTCATTCATCGCTACATCCCATCGCATGTGGTGGGTTGCGCACATAGTCACGGTGGCGCGGAAGTCGATCCCGAACGCGGCGAGACCCATCTGGTCGGAGGCGACCACCATGACCACCACAATCACAACCACCACCACGACCATAATGCGAATGGCAATACCGAGCGGACACCCCTCTTGCGACCCGCCAATAGGGGTCATTCGTTCAAATCTACCCCGGCCGTCCTGCAGCGCACCCCGGTGGGATCGCACTCTGTAAAGCGGGAATCGCTACAGAGAATGCTTACCCGGCGGATCACGGCATTGGTGGGCGGCGTGAAGCCTCTGTGTGACGAGAATGGGCCATGCTACGGATTCTCCCAGACGTGCGGAGGTGAATGCACCAAGGTCTTTCCCCCGGAGACATGTCCGCCGTCCGGCGCCCCGAACGAAATCGCGCCGGCGTCGCTGGTGCCTCAGCACCAAAGCAACAGTGTACAGGTAGAGCCGGAATGCGCAAATGGAGCTGAATCGACCTCCGAACAATTCATCACCACCTCTGATACCGGATATTACGACGCAATTGCTTCTCAGCACCCGCTTTATCATACCGCTAGCTCTTGTTCCTCGTCGCCACCACATAAACCCCAGTCTGAACATACCATTCAGGTCGATGTAAACACTGATCATGATCATGATCATCATTCCGATACACACGACCACGCCGACCTAGATCTGGCCAAGGTTGCCGGTGACAGTACACACCACCATCACGTGCCACAAAATGCATTCTTATCCATCGGTCTCCAGACTGTCGTCGCGATTGCTCTCCACAAACTCCCCGAGGGCTTCATTACATACGCCACAAACCACGCCAGCCCGACCCTCGGTCTTACAGTATTCCTAGCTCTTTTCATTCACAACATCGTGGAGGGTTTTGCTATGGCTCTACCACTATACCTTGCTCTAAACTCTCGCTGGAAAGCCATCTTTTGGTCCAGCCTACTCGGCGGCATTAGCCAACCAGCCGGTGCCGGTCTCGCAGCCTTATGGATCTGGGGATCAGGACGCAGCAGCCATGACGCCCATGGCCCATCTTGGGGTGTTTATGGTGGAATGTTTGCTGCTACGGCCGGCGTCATGACATCTGTCGCATTGTCGCTTTTCACCGAGGGTTTAGGCTTGACACATCACCGAAGCATGGGTATTGGATTTGCCGTTGCTGGAATGGGACTTATGGGTGTCAGCTTTGCCTTGACAGCTTGAACGGCCTTGCTTGGATTGATGACACTCTTTTTTGCATATGACTTGGCGCTGCACATTGCATCAGAAATCATGAAAAAGACGGATGTGGCGTTGCTTTGGCTTTGTTTGGTTTGCTGGAGTCGCAGAAGTGCATACAGGACGACCTCTTATTTATTAGCATGATGTACAGGGTTCTGATCGTTGCTCTTGGACCAGGTACATGATCGTCAGGGTGGTGAGTTGCTGTTTATAGCTGTTGTCAAAAGTCCACTAAACGAATTATGATTATCATCAAAAGCCTCCCTCCAGAGCTTTCCAAATGTCATCGTAGAGAATAGTATTCGATGCACTACTGCGTATAGGAGTAATCTTCATGAAATAGTGGCATTAACTGAACTCAACTAGAGGAGAAATCACGACAATTTAGTCTCCAAACATATCTTAATTACAAATTCCAAACTCCATCACTCAAAAGGGTTGTAGGTATACCTCTATACCTCTCCTCACAAAGCCTGCACCGAAATCCTCCTCACATGCCCACTACCATTCATCAACCCAGCCCCACTAGACTCACGCAGATGATTATGATGCATCTCACTCATACGCTCATCTTCCAAATCCTCAACATCAATACTAAACCGCCTAGGCTTCTCCCAGACGCCAAACTGCTCACCACCATTCGCCTCCCCAACCCCGCGAATCTTCTCACCATCCAATCCAAACCGCTCAGTAACCTGCGCCACCAAATCCGCATGCGCAGAAGCCCGAGTCGACGTATGCGCACCGCCAAGACGTTCCTGCGCCCGCCGCATAAGCTCCATATGCTGCGTCGCCGTATCCGGCGCACGCGGGTGATCCTTAGCATCGACGTCGCTGAGCAAATCGTACAGCACGCCTTCGTGCAGCGTCGCGGCAGACTGGTGGTCGTTGGACGCGGTGTACAGTCCCGAGAGCAGTTTCGTCATTTCCAGCGTGACGGGGTCACAACTGCCCCAGACTTGACGCAGGTTGTAGCAGATATCACGGGCAAGCTGGATAGACTCGTCGATAGCGCCGCGGCAGAAGCGCGTTTCGACGAGGCGGCGGCCAATCCAGACAACGACGTCCGGGGTCCAGGTTCGTTGGACGATGCGCGATGTCCAGAGCTGGGAGAGGATGGCTTCGAGGTCGTCGAACATTTCGTACTCGCCCAGGAGGGTGATTATATCGTTTAGCTGGGTGAATGGGAGGTCGACAATCTCGATGCCGAGTGATTTTGACGCGGCCATCAGCTCTTGGAGGAGGAGCTTTGATTTTACGGACATTTCGTTGTACATGGTTGTGTTCTGGCAGCGGGTGGCCTTGTGGCCGCTCAGATAGAGGCAGAGCTGTGTTGCTGTCAGGATACTCTCGTAGCTGTTTAGACCGTCCGTGAGATGGAGGAATGAGTGCAGGACGCCCGTGACGTCGCTTGCGTCTTGGAAATGAGACTCGTTGCAAAGGTCTCGGACCAGGCTGGTCGTTGTTGTGAGAATGTTCATGCTGTAGTTCTCGCTGTGGACTTCACGAAGACAGATGCCATAGAACTGCTGCACGATACTTCTGTCCGCGATACTGGTAGCTGAAAGCGTGGCACAGAAGTACTCGTACAATTTACTATTGGTCTCCTTCGCCGCACGAGTACGATTCTGCTGCATCTGCAGCCGAGCCAGACGGTCTCCGGAAACGAGCGTCGGGACGAAGTCGTGTCCGGACAGGTTCTTCGAAAAGGACTGTTGGGTCTGCATCTCGCGGGTCATTTCGCTCATGATTTGCGAGTAGCTGGCGCGGCGGCCGAATGCTTCTTCGAATGCTGCTACGAAGACTGCGTCGCGACGGTCACCCAGGGCCATGGCGTTTGTTTCGGATCCGTAGACGACGCGGTGGCGCAGTTCGTCTAGGACGTTGTTGCCGCCATCAATGAAGCCGCATTCCAGGTAGATTGCGGCGATCTTGCGGGCCCAATCGGCCATCATGTCGGTTTCGCCGCCGGCGTGGAGGACGTCTGTCACGTATGTGTGGAGAAGGGCGTTGCCCTGTTGCACGGAGGTAGGCGTTCCCTGGCGCGAGTGAGCTAGAGCAAGCTCGCGGAGCCAGGAGAGAGTGGTTGTTGAGAAGAATCCCTGGGTCTTCTTCGCAAGTTGATACTCTTCGGTATACAAGGAGCGGGCTTCGCTTGTAGAATCACGCTTGCGAACGAATAACTGAGCCAGCTTGTGCTTCAGTGTGATGGGCAGAGGCTGTGTCATTTGATCAAGACCCTTTGCAGATTGCGAAGTCGGAACCCATTCGCTGGTCTGTAGGGGCTTTTTGTACAGCGAGATAGCTTCGTCTATGTATGAGTCGTTGGACTCGCATAGTTCGGCGAAGAGCAGGGTTGCACTGAGAGTCTTTTGATGCGTGGGTCCGTAGGCGGTTTCACAGGTCGTCACGTACTCAGATGCCACCTTGTACTGCTCGGAGAAGGAGTCGGTACTCTTCGTGCGTGCTGTCAGAATAGTCATATAGCCCAGGTATGTCTTTTCGATCAATTTCTCGGTCTGCATCCTGTCGTAGGCGGTCATTTGTTCATGTATGACAAGGGTAGGCCAGACGTGGCGGTAGACATCAAGAGCAGACTCCCACTGTAACTCTTTCTCGTACAAGACAATGAGAGCAAGTGCTGCTTCCATTCCTTCTGGGGCAATGGTACTGCCACGAAGACTTGAATTGTAGATGCGCTGGTAGGTACTCTTGGCTTCATGGTTCATCTCCAGACGGTTCGCCAAGGCAGCTTCCAGGTATAGATTCTCGATGGTATGCTTGTGGGTTTCACCCAGACGACTGGTGAGGAAATTGCTAACTGAATGAAGCAGGGTCAATGCCTTGGTGAACTGGAAGGTCGTCTCGTAGAATTCAACAACAGCCTTGGCCACGGCCAGAACCGAAGGCACGGGAACTCTTTCAGAGGCAACGAGCGATCCAAAAGCATTATCGTACACGATAGTGGCTTGGTCCAGATGAAGTCTGCGGAAATGGCTGTATGCCAGGACCAAGGCCAGATCAGCCACGGGAGGTGCCAGCTCAGTCGTGAACTGCTTGTGGGATCCGGCCTGCTCGACGGTAGGCCATACGTGCTGCAGGACGGCCTTTGAGCAATCACTAGCCTCGGACCAGTCCTCTTCACGCACATAGATACTCGAGAGGTTGTGGCAGAGAATGAGGGTGGAGACGGAGAGATTGCTGGGTGACGAGGTAATAGAATCCAACAGTTCCACCATCAGCTTGCGGTCACGACCAGATAGAGGAGTGCTGTCTTCGATAGATACGGCATTTGCCATTTCCTCGGCCAGCGACATAGCAAGTTCGACGGCCTCGGGAGAATACTCCTGATTGCTTTCCTTGTAATAATTCCACATCAGGATAGACAAAGACTGATCCAAACTGTACATGTGCATTTCGCGGGTCTCGGCGCGAAGCAACTGCACGCGCTTCAGCATCTCCTTGGAGTGAATACCAGTGACCTCTAGATCAGCGACCAATTCACGAATAATGACCTCAGCCTCATCATTGCGGCCTTGGCGACGCAGGAATTGGTAGTAGACGAGAGCGACATTGGCCTTCTTGTCCATCATATCGACAGAATCGATGTCACGGGAGTTGAGACCAGCCCAAAGATTTGACAAAATCTCTTGGGCCTGTGCCTTCTCACCCTGTGACTCGTAGAGCTGAGCCATATACAGAGCGTACTTGATGCGGCGTTCATCGGTTATGTCCATGGTACGAACCACATTGTCGTACTTGGTACGTGCGATTTCGCGACTCATTTCGTCACTTCCAGTGCTCGAGAACTGAGCAGTGAGGAAGTCCGCAGTCTCATACGACTGTCTGGAGCTAGAACCATACTTTTGGAGGATCTGCTGGTAGAACTGCCGGGAGATCAGAAGAGCAGCGTGATTGTCGCCGCGCGTCTTGTATATATCAACAATCATTCCGAGGTACTTCAGTCGCTGGTTAAATTCAACGCCAGTGATCTCCGTGTCGGTCAGAATTAGGTACTTCATGATATCCTCCTGCTGGGTAGTCATAGTTCCGCTCTCGGTAAATGACTGTGTCATCATCTCAGCACAGGCCAAAGTGATGCTGTCAGATTGTCCCAGAAGCTCTTGGCTGAGTCTCCAGGCATCATAACAGTGTTCTTCTGCGTGGCTAGCATGTGCCAACTTGGAAACACGAGCGCTAAGTAGCAGACTCTGTAGGAGTGCCATCGACTTATCACCCAGAACCAGGCGTCGAATATCGGTCGAGAGACGATATAATTCAAGAACACTGGACCGAGTGAACTGCGACTCCTTGCACGTAAGCTCGAGACGAGCAAATAGTACAGTCACTGGAAGAAGCCTCTTGAAGTTGGCAGTGAATTGGAATTCGCCAGCGTCTGTGACTAGAGGTGACGACAGAAGATGCGACAGCCAATAACGTCCAGTGTACTCCAGTACGGCGTACTTGTCGAACAAACGGTTTCGCTCATCCATGCTCAACTTGTCCATTGAGATTTCGCTCTCTTCACGTACACTCAACTGGACCCAAGCAAGACACCTGGTCAGGAGATCATGATGGGCCTCCTTGAGGCTAAGCGGCGACTTGGCACCAGCAGATCTGGCCTGCTTGATTACATGGTCGCGAATACACGTATGAGCAAAAGAGACAACACCATCGCGAGTCATCACGAGAGGTCTAAGGGCGGCAGACCATCCAGAGTCGGCATGGGAAGTATGCGACACGAAGCTTGGTCCCTTTGCATCGACAGCCATGAGCTGTTCGATTTCCTCTACCAGTAACGGTCTCTCAGCAGCTGCAAGCCAGGCCATGATAGACTTTGTCTCAATCTGACTCAGGTCTAGACTCTTCATGTGGAAGTCTAGCAGCTCTGGCATAGTCCGAGGTAAACTTTGGATGGAGGAAAGTGCCTGTGTCGGACCTCTCTGCTGTCTAGCATGAGCAACTGCCATTTCAGCCCAGCTGAAGGATCCCTGGGAGCGGGCGACAATGGCCGATACAGCAGACTTAAGCTGGCTGTTCTTCGAGTCTTCGAAATGGGAGCCAGATGAGAGCATTTTATGGACGTATGCCGACAGGTCAGTCTGAGTCTGGGCGCTCTGGATCGTGAACTGGCCAATGTTTCTAGTACTGAGCTGAGAGCTGAGAGGACGAGTGAAGACGATCATCTTTGAACCGGCATTCTGCTCGGACAGAACGACTGTAAACTTCTCCAGGAAAGCAATGGCATCGGAATCGCCGCCTTTAATCTGGTCGAGACCGTCCACGACAAACATGTACTGGATATTTGAAGCCAGTCCAGCGCGAATTCCCTTCCAGAGACTGTCTTCAACCTCCAACTCGGTAGCGCCATCCATGGCAGATTGGGCAGCACGGGCGACCTGGACAAGAATAGCTTCCTGTGTATGCTTGTCACTGACACAGTGATCTAGCATTTGATGCAGAACACCCTTGAGAATTCGCAGAGGGAGCGTCGCGACCGGGATATCAGCACCTGGATGAGAGTTTAGTAAGTAAATTAGACGATCTGTACTAGAAAAAACTCACGAATAGTGTAGGGAATGACATTCCAACTATCATGTTCGGCCGATTCCTGCAAGCGCTCCACAGTCCACTGTGCCATTGCACTCTTTCCAGCTCCAGGGCCGCCAGCCATGAGCATAACCGGAGAATTTCCAACCGTGAAGTCGTAAAGGGCATTGTTGAACCATTCAAAAGAGCCCTCGACCAAGGTATGGCTGCGAGAGTCAAGGATGAACTGTAGAGGACGATCCTGTACTCCCAGGAATTGTCTAAGACTTCCCAGCTCCGCGCTCGAGTAGATTAACGAGCTGTTCCTGACCACCTTGGAGGTAGCAGACTCGACAATGGCGTTCCAGTGGGTAGAGTAGCGTCTGGCGTAGATCACAAAACCAGAATCCACATTGTGACTGGTGACATGCTCAGACTCCTTGCTCTTGAACCCTTCAATACAGCTGGACGAGGTCGTACAGACCATCTCGAGGAGATCTGCAAACACGGCGGCCGCCTCTGGCTGAAGCTCAGGAGATGACTTGTAAGCAGTTTCATACTGAAGCAGCAGGTGAATGCCAACAGCCACACGACCGTATCTGCCAAAGACACTCTCAAAGAGATCGGTGTTGTCAATATCGGACTATTCTCATAGTTAGCATCCACACCCTTCAACTTCCACTGAATGAAGAATATCTCACCTCCAGAAGCAAAACCAGGAAGCCCCATATCATTTTTGCCGCATCGTTGGCGCCAGGTGCAAAGGCTCCCACAGATTCGCGGAGAGCATCAACCGCGTAAGCAAGGCGAGAAGCCCATCTTAGACTGCAATCCAGTCTGCTTCCGTCACGTGGCATCCAGCGCAGACGTTCTTCAGCCACGGAATCGAAGAAAGCATCAACAGAGGGACCACGTTGGGTGATCTCTTTTGCGGAAAGGCCTAGCTGAGTCTTGCATTTCTGAGTCACAGAATGGACCTTCTCTTGCAAGACGGTCACCCGGTAGCCACTTCCACTCAGGTTCTGCACAACACGGGTAGAGGAGACACCAGCGGTCGAACTGGTGGCTTCTTCGCCCCTGATGCCTCCTTGGTTCATGCCCTTTTGGTCTGTACCCTGCTTGAGACCAGTTCCAAGAGCTCCAGCACCGGCAACGCCAGTAGCACCGGCAGCAAGTCCAGCACCGGCACCTCGGGCTCCAGGAATTCCAGGAGTTCCAGATTCAGAAGCAGATCCAGACATTGCGGCCATTCCTCCCATGGTGATCCCACCCTTTTTTGAAAGATTCTGGCTCATTTGGCTGGTTGTCATATCGCCGGATGTACCCTGGCCCAAGGCTCCCTTTCCCTTGTTGATACCCTTGCCTGCGGCAACTGCCCCGATGCCACCCTGGTGATACTGCTTGGAGGCCTGTGGGTTCTTTCCTGCGGTCATTCCTTTGGCCATGTCGGTCTTCTTAGCCGAGGTAGAGGACTTTCCTGCAAGGCCCTGACCCATCCCCTTGGCAGCAGTCTTACCAGCGGCTCCATCACTGAAGACATCGTCACTGATACCTGACATGGTGTTGAACTCGTCGCTGATAGAGTCACCACCACCACCAAAGGTTCCACCTGCACTATCTCCGTGTGCAGCGAGTCCAGCTGCGCCCATTCCAGCTGCAGCTGCCCCTCCGGCTTTGGCTTGATTGGACTTGCTCTGGTCAGAGGCCGATTTCTTTCTCTGGCTGACGCCTCCCAAGGTCTGGTTGAACTTCTCTTTTGCTTGGCCCAGTAGCCCACGTCCGGGAGAAGATTTGTCTTTTTCCTTACTTGCATGCCCCATCTTGGCGGCATCATCTTCCATATAGCCATATTGACCTTCGGGTTTGTTGCTCATCGTTTTCTGGGTAGGGCTGATTCCTCCGGCTTCCTTTGCGTCGAAGGTGTCGCTAGCTGGGTCAAGAACGCTCGCTTCTTTACTCAAGCTTTGTCGCTGATTTTGTTCCATACCTTGGGTACTTGTCTGGGACAAGGTCTGGTTGGTCTGATTGACAGTGTTGCTCATGGTGGTACTTTCTTTGGTTTGGTTCAAATTTTGCTGGCCCGGTCCAGATTGGTCCTGAGCCCAAGCAATTCCACCTGGCGATTTGCCAGCACCCTGGCTGGGTTTTTGAGTTTGTTTTTGGCTGTTTTTCATTTTTTCCTGGCTTAATCCTCCTTTGGCGCTGCTTCCAGCACCTCTGGTAGTAGCATTTCCTGTTTGTCTCTGGTCTCCAGGGCCTGGGAAGATAGGACCTCTTCGAATATCGTCGTTCGGCTCCGGTGGTCCTACTGAAACACTGCCAAACATTCGGCGACCGGTCTTTTCAGCACTTGCTGGGCTTAGATTGTCCTTGTTCAACCCGGTACTACCGATAGCACCGGCAGCATCTCCTCCACTAACGGCTTCTTTGGTGCCTTCTCCCTTTCCTGCGAGACCTTTGACAGTGTTGAAGTTTCCTTGCGTGGTTTCATCCTTGACTTGTCCTCCTTTGTCGAGAGCCTGCTGACCCATGCCACTCTGGCCAGAGCCCTGTTTGACTTGTTCCCCCTTATCGAGAGTCTGCTGACCAGTGCTACCCTGACCAGTGCCCTGCATGTAATGTTCGCCTTTATCCACAGCTTGCTGGCCAATGTCACTCTGGCCAGTGCTTTGGTTGATTTGTTCGCCCTTATCGAGAGCCTGTTGACCAGTGCCACTCTGATCAGTGCTCCCTTTGCTTGTAGTGTCTTTCGAGCTACCGCCAATGGACATGCGTTTGCTCAAACTCCGGGCAACACGAAGGCCAATGTTCTCTCCGTGTTTCTGAGCTTCGGCCTGAATTTGTTGGGATGCCATGATGGTGTTATTGGTTGTTTGGTATTAAAAACAGAAATAGAGTAAAAATAAGATACGTTCGTTGTCGTAAAAATTAAAAATAGAGAATAGTTATCGTATATTCGTTGAGTTGAGTTCAGTTGTCATGAGTATAGTAGATGAGGAGGAAACGCAGATTAACCAGATCCAAGCAGTCTTAATAGCTAACTGAGCTACCCCTCACAATTGCATCATGGGCTCGTCTCGGGGAAGCCGAAATATGCCTATGTAATTCCATAGGTCAATTGAAGCGATTGAGGGGGAATATTTGTGGAACTTCGGCTTCATCCATTCGGGAGTGAACCACGCCTTGATTCGAAGCTGTTCCCAAGGACCGCAAGCGGATGGATGAATCAATATTGGACGGTGATTTAGTCGGTACCAGGAGGGGAATTGAAGTCGATGATGCTTGAGGGCAGGCAAGGCATGGATGGCATCGAGGGGATTAGTGGGTCTTACGGCCAGGTGATGTCCTTGTATACAGATTAGCTTTCGGATTTCGTCACAGTGTTTTTACTGCTGTTGCCTTTTAAAAAGCAATTTAAAAGTAGAAAATGTCTGTTTGAGAATTTTCAATCGGCAAGCCGATTGAAGAACTTATACTTATTCCAATTATACGTATCAATGGGTAGCATAAATCGATTAGCTGCATTTTCCTGCCCTTACTGCAGTCCTCTCCCTACAAAAACCTTCAAATGGAAGTGTCGATGACGAAAGTGGAATGACCGTTAAATTCTATGTGCTATGGAGTTTAATTAGAAACAATGGCACGCGAAACATGAGAATGAACGATTCTAGATCCGCGATTCACAATTGGCGGGCCGTGACGTAAAGACTCCTTCTCCCCACAATGCGAGGCAGATGTTTGGCGAGTAGGTCACCTCTCACTGGGCCATCAGCTGTTAGTCATTCTGGGGATTTATTTCCCCATTAACCATATCTCATTGAAATGAACCAACAGATTCTATCCGAGCTACATTTGAACCCATGGTTGCTACAGCAGTGAGCTCATTTCCCCAGTTTTTCAGAAGGACATCGCTTTCTATCCGACGGTCCCGACCGCTTTATGAGATCATGTCCTCTTCTTTCACAAGCTGAAGGTCTCTCGGAGCTACGCGGGCACATCCGTGGGACCAATGGGCAATGTCGCTGTTTATGTCATGACATTCCCCAGCAGAAAGAATGCTAAAACCACGCGAATGTCGGGTAGAAGCGGTTTGTGCCTTTGTCCTGTCGAGATAACATGAGATCTACACGGAAACCGGAAGAACATACATTATCTCAATCGCCTTTCCGTCGCATGATTCATATCCGTGGCTCCTATTTTCGGTAATTTCGGGGTTGGCTAAGAAATTATTTCAGCCAAAAACCGGATATGAGGAGATCTCAAGAAATGCAAATAAAAGGTTCATAGAACAAGCCAAGGCTCATATTGAAAATGACTCAAGTTGACCTGTTACTTTAGCCGATCTTGCTTCAGTTGAAGATAATGTTGTTTTTTCTATCTCATCTTAATAGATTATATTAGCATTGGATTTATTTAAATCGATATACAAGGCCGTCCTCGTTCTACAACATCCACTCCCTCCTTCATACTCCGGGGCCGCCCCATCGCCAAGCCCAAGTCCGCCCCGATGCCATCCCAATACGAGGCTCCAAAAATAGCACCCTTCACCTAAAAAGGTAGCATCTCGCGTGAGAAGCCTGCTAAGTCTAAATAAACTTCTCACTAGGTCGCATCTAACAGGAACAGGCCCGAAAGAGAGGTGATAATCATCGTATAGAACATATTTCTCTTGAAGCAGCTATAACAGATACGAGTTCGGGCGGGATCATCTTTCCTTTCGTACTAGTAACAAAGCCAGTAATTATATTTAGCAATTTATACTACCTAGGTACCTATCTAGGTACCTACCTAGGTAGATACAAAGACGGCATCGTTTGATCTAGGAAAGAGTATATTAACCACAGTGGGAGACATCTTTCGTCCCATCTCCTCCTCAACTCGAACTCTTCAGGAATTTCCCTCTCTCTACCATCAATCGAGCCAATCAGCCAGCAATCGGCATACAAAACATGTTATTCAAACAAACCCTCCTATCCCTCTCTCTCGCACTCTCCACAGCAACAGCCTACCACCTCGCCGTCGTCGACCAAAACACCAAAACAATCCGAGTCTTCCCCCGCGACTCCGCAAAATGGAACAAAGACGCCATATACTGGTCCTTCACCGCAGACGAAGACCTAGCCTGGCTCAAAGGCAACCACTGGGCCGATCTAGATGACGTGAAGATCCGCAAGACCGCCGACCGAGGCCTTGTAGCCCTAGTCGCAGCCTCGGGGGGGCAAAGTCGGAATGGTCGATATCATAGCCGGGCACGAAAGTGCCGACCTGGACGATGTAGTCTGGCAAGCAACGCCGGGCGACAATCCGCATTCACTTGAGCGAATCCCGTACCTGGGTGCATTTGTGGCGTCCAGCTCCACGCCCGGTAAATTGACCCTGTATGTGCCAACCGATGCGTCGGATGTGAATGATCTGAGCAAGATCAAGAAGAGTCATGAGTATGAGATCCCCAAGGCGCATGGGGTTTTGTGGCACAGTGGCAAGCTTTGGGCGACTGGCGAAGACTATCTCTATAAGTTTGATGTTGTGGGGAAGGGGAAGAGTATCAAGTTGGTTATGGATGGGGAGAAGATACCCTTGCCGAAGGTTTCTGGTCGTGCGAGTAATGGCCATGATTTATCGGCTAGTTATAAGGATTCGGATGTTTTGTTAGTTACGCATACTGCTGCGGCGTATACTTACAACGTCAAGACTGGGAAGTTCAAGACTCTGATGAAGGTTGATAAACTTAAGTCTCTTGTGCAGCATTCTTCGGGTGAATATGCCTGGGTCAGGGGGGAGAAGCATGAGATGGGTCAGTATGTGTCTTTCAGTAATGAGAAGGACCCGGAAACTGTGATTGATAAGAGGGGATGGGGTGATGCGGAGTTCTACAAGGCGAAGATCTTTGATCCTGACTATGAGTGAGAGGGGTACTAAGTTGGGCGGCGGGGGAATAGATGTGTGTATGTTGAGATCAACTTTATTCGAGTTAACATATCACCTAATCATCAAGACACTCCTCGGTAGACTTCAGTGATGGACTCTTCGGTGATTTTCAACTCGTAGATAGTGTTGATAGTCGAGTGTCAAGATGCGCGGAATGGGGTCCTTGATGACCACACCATGATAAGCGTAGTGAATCGTTGAAAAGGTGCAAGACAGTCTACAAAGCCCAACAATCATGACCGGTCTCCGAACCCTGAAATAAGATCCAAGAAAGCTCCCGTCAAACTCCAGGGTTGACCGGCCCAAATACTATCGTACGCAACACAAAGATCTCTCTTCGGGATTGGAAAAGCAATTCATGGAATAGCCTATGTACCACTCAAAAGCGACTATCCGGGACTCGGCGCGCGACCGGCCCAAAAGTAAAGTTCCAACCCTGCATCAGCCAGCATGTGGCGATGCATCCATATCCATATCCATTTTCCCCTCAAAAGAACCGATTGCCGAAAATTTCAAAGGTAAACGCGAAGCATGATATCATCCGTACAAATAGCCAGCCGTGGCTGGTAAAAGCCTTCGTTCGATTGCAGCCGTGTCGGTGCCGAGATGTTCTGGCGAATTTTGGTGTTTTTTTTCCGTCATCGTAGATTCAACCGGTCCGTTCACGACTCAAGGGTTTTCTTTAACGTTGTTGGGCAATCTATTGGCCGGGTTGGGGTTCATCTGTGGGTTACCTAGTCAGCCTTCTTGTTCCTTCTCGAGTCGTCTTGTGTGGGGTGGTAGTGATTCGATATCGACTTCGATATCGAAATCACTTGTGCATTTGGCGTCGCATATTTGTGTTTGTGGGCTGTGAATTGTGGGATGGATGGATTCAGTCGGGATGTACCTTGCGCTTGCCACCGGTCATGACGACGTTGACGAAACGGCGGGTGTACAGGACACGCTTGTAGGCGCGACCCTTGGGGCTCTTCTTCTTCTCCTGGGGCTCAACCTGTATGCGGAAGATCAGTTAGGATGGCGGTTCTTTCGATTCTCTCGATGGACATGACGCCTCCGTATAACGCCACCAAAGGGCTTCATGGAGGCACAAGTTCATAGGTTCAACGGGGGGGACACTTGCCTTAGGAGTGGCGGCCTTGACCTTACCGGCACGAGCGAGAGATCCGTGAACCTTACCCATGTTGGATGACTGTTGATGGAATAACGGTGGTTGTTGGAAGGGCGATGAAGTTCAAGACGGACGCGGACGGCGATAGGGTTGCGAATTTGCGAAGTGCGACTGTGTGGGGCGGCTTAGCGAGGCCGTCAGCAAGATGGTCAGGTGATCGGTCAGCGAGTAGGTGAGTCAGCGTGAGTCAAGTCACATGAGTTGAAAACTGGCGGGGTCCGCTTTAGGTAGTCCCGTGATCTTAGTCATCACATCCCTCTCATTGAACGCTAGTCTCGATTAGGAAGGATATAGATAGGATTCTATAGATGCAGATACCTTAAGGATAGATGTGACTCAAGCTTACTGGATGGTGTGCTCTAATATTGATATACTTGGATGGTCTAGACCTATCGTCCTGCTATGATACACAAACGCCATAATGTGACAAAAGTTGGCCTCACTTCGCATCCCCCTTCTCTTTCGCCGCCGCCTCTTCCCTTTCCCTCTTTCTGGCCAGGTATCGCTCCTTCGCACTCGAAACTTCTCCAGCCGTCTTGGCACTGCGATTCTTCTCGGCAATCTCCCGCTGCTTCGCAGCTTCCGCTTCTTCTTCCTTCCGTGCACGTTCCTCCAGTTGGGAGGCAACCATCTCGGTCTGGCGAGCACGCTGTCCAGCCCGACCCTGAGCTCCAAAGTTGGCCCCCGGTCGTCCAGCAGGTCGCGCTGCCGCTTTGGGGGCCGCAGAAGCTGCAGTCTTAGGCTTTGGTGCCACGTTCAATCCGGCAGTAAGCAACTGACGTTTATCAACCACTTGGCCCTCGTCATTGACAACAACACGACCTCCCTTCTCATTAAGCTCCGCCGCCTTCTGAGCTTCCGTCTTATCATCACCCTCCTTTGTTGAGTCCTCAGTCGTCTCGCCAGCCTTAGCCCGGCTGGCTGCTTCTTCAGCAGCCTTGACGACTTCCTGATGTCGCTCCTCTCCACGAGACAATACATCCCGGTAAAACCCAACCATACCTGCACCACCATTTTTCCTCCTCCGCTCTTCCTCCTCCTTCTCTCTCTTTTCTTCCTCCTCCTCCATTTTCCGCAACTCCTCTTGCTGCTTCTTATACGCGCCCGTAACAAAGCTCTCCTTATCCGCAAACTCGTCACCCTCCGCCTCACGCTCCTTGGCAAGCTGGCGATCCCGCGCACGCGTCTGATCGCGTTTGCGGATCTCCGCACTGCGCAACAGATTCGTCATGTACTTTGGAACTTCGTTCTCTTCAGCGGATGTTTTAGATTTCTCGGGCTTGGCGTGTAGACTATCGTATACGGCATCGTAGGAATAGATAGATGGATCAAGCTCTTCAGCCTCCTTCGCGTGTTTCTTGCTGCTGTGTAGTGCGGAGAGATTGGTAAATTGCTGTCCAGAAGCGGGCACTCCTGGCTTCGAGTTCGTCTTCGATTGGTTCAGGCCCAAGTGCATTTCAGCTTGTTGTGCTTTCTCTTTCTCCTCGTCTTCGTCTTCGTCGTCGGCGAAAATTGAACTCTTATTCAATGGCTTGATGCCTGGTTTCCCTGATCCGAGTCCTAATTGCATCTTTCTTTTCGGTGGCGGGCCGGCGGCTGACGAGGATGGCGGTTTAGAGGGTTTGGAGGGTTTTGGAGCGGGCGCGTCTAGGCCGCCGAGGGTTGAAACTTCTTCTGTGCCGTCATTGTTGGTTGCTTCGTCTCCTGAATCGTCGTCGAATATGTTCTTGCGCTTCTGTCCGAAGGCATTTCCTGGCTTTGGGCCTGGTTTCTTGTTGGGGAGATTGAGGCCGGTCGAAAACTGCGGCGCCATGGTTTGTGTCTAGATGATCGCGCTGATCTGATATTATTTTGTGTAGTTGGACAGATGTTAGAGTAAAAGGTGAGAATAGAAAGCGGTGCCCGCGATTGAGTGAATTCAAGTTGTGACGTCCTAGGGTCTTGGGCAAAAAGCTGCGATGCGATAGCGCCGATAAGGCAGTGTCGTCATGTGATGTGCGCTTGGCTGGGCTTGGTTTGCGGGGAACTGCCGTGCTGCCTCAACCAATCGGGGTGGATCTTGAAGGTTTTGGAGGTAGATTGTTCTAACAAAACTGAAGTTGACATTTATATTAGACGAAATATTCCCAGTTTTAAAATAACTCAAGTTCCTAAGTTGACTACCTAAGGTAGCCCACTTGACTGCGGTTCTGAGTCGGAGACTCCCGAGGGCACTGTTCCAATTTGGCAAGTTTTTGCCTGTCCGCTGGATGGAGAACATAGTATATATAGGTACTATGCTGCTAGCTTGCGAGGGAGCTGTCCTGATTCCAACGTTGAATTTGAAGTTTTCCCTGTATACCTGGGTACTCGCCCATAACTTGACTGATATTATTTCATACAAGTCTATATACTCCAATTCAAATACTATAATAACCTCAATCAAAAGCAGTCCTCCAAAATTCATAAATGTTCTACTCCTCAGCTCCCCGCCTGAGCTTGTGTCCCTATCATCACGTGTCAAACACCTCCATCCCATCAAGCTCCACCCCTCCCGTAATGACCTTCAAGTCCTCGAAGTTCCAGCCAAACAAACTCCAAACACTTCCCTGACCTTAACCCCCGCCAAAATGTCCTACTACTTCACCATCCTCTCACCAACCGACACCCCGATATTCAACATCGCCTTCGGTACCTCCAAAGGCGGCGGCGACGGCATAGCCCGCTTCCGCTTCCCCGACACAGCCCAATACATGAACCAATTCATCATCCACTCCAGCCTCGACATCCTCGAAGAAGCGCAGTGGACAAACGGCGGAATGTGCGCTCCCCCTCCCTTTCCCCTTCCCCCTTCTCCCCTCCCCTCCCCTCCCCGCCCCACACTCACTCTCGCAGGTATCTAAAACACATCGACACCTACCCCCCCAGCCTCAGCCTACATAAGCGCCTTCCTAACACCCAGCGGCACACGATTCCTCCTCCTCCACCAACCGCCGCAATTACCCACGAGCGGTAGTTCCAGCACCCTCGGCGCGTCATCGCTCCTGGCGTCTGGAACGACGCGCTCGTCCAGCAGCGTCGCGGCGAATCCAACGTCTGCGCAGACAGAGGAGGCGGTGCGCCAGTTTATGAATGAGGTTTATGAGAGCTTTGTTAAGACGGCTATGTCGCCGTTTTATAGGCAGGGGATGGAAATTCGGAGTCCGGTATTTAGGGGCAAGATTACGGCGGCGGGGAAGAAGTGGTTGTGATGGTAGGATGGAGGGCTAGGCTAGGCTAGGCCAGTCCAGTCAGTCTAAGCCGTTCAAGTTCAAGTCTTGGTTTCTATGGGTGGGTTTGTATCTTTGTCACCGACAAGTTTCTCATTCGCTTTAAGGGATTGGGGCGTGGACTTGAACATGGAGTTTGTTTTGGTTGTGTAAAGTATTTTCTGTTGGAGCGCGGCGTTGGGATGTTTTTCATTTTTGCTTCTTTTTCCCTTTTGTGAACTCCGTTCCGGGGTTGGTGGACTCTATACAGGTTTGTTGATAGAATCGGGCTTTTTTTTCTTGCTTTTTTCGTGTGCCCTGTCGAACTGAGTGACTTGAATACCAAAATAACCTCTGTTCTGTTATATTGGATGTTCGTTTCCAAATCCTTCCTTTACGTCGACTTGGTAAGATGAATGGGATATTGCATCATTTTGTATGGTACCCGAGGAAGAAACTGATAGCGGATTGATGGATGGATGGTCTGGTCTGGTCTGGTCTGGTTTGATCTTACCCCAGGAAAGAAATCACAATCTGGCCGGGTCGCCGGGACGAGGATCCTAGCGAGTTCAGGAAAGAGGAAGATGAAGATGGATGAAGAGAGATGAAGAGAGATGAGAAGAGATCCAAAAAATCGAGGGCCACAAATACGGGTTGAACCGCGCTGTTCAGAACCGGAATAAAAGCTCAAAAAGAGAAGGGAAGGGAAGAAAAAAGTAGAGGGAAGAGGGAGGAAAGAAGGAATCAAGAAGCTCAGAAAAGAAAAAAGGAAGAAGAGGGAAAAAAGCACAGTTTGTGGATTGATTTGCCAGTCCTGAAACCCAACGCCTGCCGAATTCCTCCCTATCCCGATAACCCGAAGAGAACCCGCTAAAAGAACCTAAAGAATAGAAAACGAGATGTGATCAAGCCGTCATCTGAGGAGCCAGCTTCTTCATCGTGATAGCTTTGAAGTTATTAACGGCGTGAATGACATCATCCAACTTAGCGACAGCACCAAAGATGCCGCCCTCCATCTTGATAGACTCAATCGTGCCTGTATGAAGGGGCGGCTCCGCCGCCGCGGACCCATCTTCCATAAGCACGCAGTCGAATCCTCGGTCATTGGCTTCGCGGATGGTTGTTGAGACGCACACATCTGTGGTAACGCCGGCGACGACGAGGTTCTTGATGCCCTTGTTTCGGAGGATGAGTTCGAAATCGGTGTGCGCGAAGGCTCCACGGCCTGGCTTGTCGATGACGGGCTCGTTGGGCAGAGGGTAGAGTTCATCTATAGTATCATGACCCAATTCGCCCCGAATGAGCAGACGGCCCATTGGACCTTGGGACCCAATGCCTAGACCGGTGCTATTGTTGCAGGAGCGATAGCGCTCGCGACTTGAAAGCGTGGATAGATCGGGTCGATGACCTGCAAATCAAGTTAGTAATCTCTCCAATTCGAGGCTTGGGTGTTGGACGATGACGTACCTTCTCGTGTATGATAGACCGGAAAACCTCCTGTGCGAAAGGCGTGCAGCAGTTGCTGAAGCTTCGGAATGAGAACCTGGGCGGCGGATATATCATAGCCTTGGTACTCCATATAACCACCCGGAGCGCAGACTAATGGTAGATGAAATGTGTTAGGTATGCGTGGAAACAGCAGCAAAGGTAGTAACACAAGCAGCAACAACATCAGTTTAAAACTTACAGTCTTTCTGCATATCAATGATGACAAGCGCAGTTGTGTATGGGGTGAAGGAAGCATCGTGGGGCCAGTCATATGGGAGAGCGGGCAATTGGCCCTTGCGAACCTTGTGGTGAGGAACTTGACGGGGCTTCTCGATGATGGGCCCGTGATTATGTGTCGGGTTCAAGACGGTTAAGCTCCAGATGCCAGGAGAGCCAGCTGCAACCAGCATGAAGGGACAGTCCATCAGGCGCGAAGTTCGTCGGCGCTTTCGCGTTTCCTCGGTGAGGCCATTCCGCGGGCGATAATGACCACCGCGATCACATCGCAGCCATACCTTGGCGGTTCGACCAGGTTTCTTTTCCGTGGGTGTACTGGATGACTTGACTACCACATTGTAGCCGTGGGTCTTCCCGTGCGCTTGAACTGCTGCGAGTAGGGTATTTCTGGAGAGAGGAAGAGTGAATGTTAGATGGGCGAGGGCCAGAGACGGAAAAGAGATGGGAGGAGCAGGTTTTGGCCTACTTATCAGGGTATGTTCCTTCAGGAGGAGCGATCAATTGAGTCGCCAACTCCGGAATATCTTGGAGATCACTGGGCGCATCCAGGTTGAGATCGATGGGATCGGCCATGATCAAGAAGAGAGCCACGCGTGCGCGCGCTCACCGGTGGACAGTCTGTGATGATCAAAGGTCAGGAATCGATGTTGGTGAGGATCACATGGTCATGATGATGAGGATTGTCTTCGCGACAAGCTTGAAAGGGAGTATAGGAAGTCCTCCAGCCAGTGGAATCATTGGAAGCGTGTGGGAACTTGGGGGAGGGGCGAGAGGTAAACAAGTGCGTGGAAGCAAATGGAGACGATCCTCGATGCAAGGATAGGTGTGCGTGGGTATAACAGAATTATTTTGGAGGGGCGGCAGAAGGGACGGGCTAGATGAGAGGAAAGAGGAGATATAAATCCCAAACAGGAAAGGAAGCAAAGGGCGACAACTCACCAACGGGACGATGGGATACCCCAGAAACGAAACCCCGAGCCGGGTGGATGGTGGATGAAATCGGAGATCGAGTGATCCGAGTGACTTGCTGATTGGGGTTAGTGGGGAAGCAGAGAAAGTAGAGAGGCAGTAAGGCAGTAAGGCGACAAGGCAGAAGTCACAAGTCAAGAAGTCGAAGTCAGGCAGAATCAGGCATGAACCACTCCATACATACAGTACTGTGTAAATGGGGCAGATAAAGTCTAACCAAATCCAGTTAGTGGCACTTCAGATCAGGCAGAATTTGAGATGAGTCAGCATAATCAGGCATCAACTACACCGTATAAATAGTGTAGATGCAGTCTAACTATATCCGGTTAGCGGCCTCCCCCTGACGACCACATCATAGCCTTGAGCCATAGCCATAACCATACCATCAACATCAACAGATCTATGCGCCGACCTTTGCGACACCTTCCACCGACAAAGTCCTCCCCTACATAGGTAAGTTTCCAATTTTCCGGTATATCGCCCCGGATTTCCTCTTTTTTCGTCACTACTTCACTTTCTCGGTGGGAGGTGCCTATCGACTCTATTTATCCCGATCGGACACTGCGTCACCGCCTCGCCGAGGGGTCCTTATCATCACAAACCACCCAAACCACCGTGCGTGTGTGAACGCTGGCCAGCCCCTCACGCCCACCCCAACTTGCATGAGTCTTTGAGAAAAAAAGGAAAAGAGAATTCCAGCCTTGGCTGGCAAATCTTCTGGAGGATCTCTTTTCTTTGGAATTTCCCTTCTCTTTGCTTCCATTATTTACGCTGAACTTGCGACCGTCTTTTCTGCGACCCGCTCTCGGGTGCCCAACGCGGGAAGATGCCTGCCGCCGACGATTCGCCCACCGAAAAGAAGCAGTCCAGCAGCAGTTCATACCGAGATGAGTTGGCGCATTACAAGGCTCAATATGAGCAGCTGGAGGCCGAGCTAGCGGATTTCCAAGTCTCAAGTCGGGAATTGGAGACCGAGCTAGAAAAGGATATCGAAGCGTCGGAGAAGAGGGAGCGCCAGTTAAAGGAGAAAGTCGATACCTTACGGTATGAGGTGGAAGAGTGGAAGGTATGATCCCATCTTACCATATCTACCATATACTACACTACCGTATACTGGGAGGCAGCCGACCAGGGAGAGAAACTCATGTTCTTGCAGACCAAATACAAACAGTCCAAGACTGAAGGCAATTCGGCGCAAAACAACCTCCAAAAAGAGATTACCTCCCTTCGCGACACCAACCGCACTCTCCAGCTGAAGCTGCGCGACATTGAAGTTGCCAATGATGATTATGAACGGCAAGCCCGGAATACCACTTCGTCCCTGGAGGACATGGAATACAAACATAATTCCGCCATCGAGCGGGGAGTGCTACTCGAGGAGGAGATGAGGGAGGGCGAACAAGAGCGAGAGAGTCTGCGCATTCAGAATCAGCGACTACGGGATGAACTCACAGATCTCAAGGTCGAGGCAGAAATCGTCCAGGAGAAGTTGCGCAACGCTGAAGGAGGACATGCCTTCCGTCGTCGGAAGCCCACCCCTCTCTATCGCAGTCCATCCACCCCGCATTCGTTGGAGATCTTCGACCGTTCACCGGGCACGGCGACTTCCTCGCCTGTCTTTGCAACTCCTCCAGCCAAATCATCACTGGCTTCCTCTACCGCCACTCCTCCCTCGCCTCCCATCTCCGAGTCGTCGTCCAGCCTGCGCCGATCGATCAACGCAACACCCACCTTCCCTCGCCAGCGAGCAGCAGGTGCAGACCCGATTACTTCGCGGACGCTGCACAATGCTCACAATACTCGCACGCAGCCTCGTCCCGTCCATTCTCGAACCTCCTCTCTGGCCTACAGCAACCCCGGCCGTTCCACTCCTTCAATCTCTTCCCGTAATAGTCTGTCGCGGACAAGCGGCAATGCTCTTCGTCAATCAACACTGCCCAAATCCGGCTCTCTCTACCAAATCCGAGGTCTGATCGGCAAGATGCAGAAACTTGAGGAGCGTGTGCAGTCCGCCAAGTCACGACTCCCTGCCCCTTCTGAAACCTCATCCCGAGGGTCCCCCCCATTCCCGAGCCGGATCTGTAGTGGGCGATAGCCCCGTTGCCTCCAGCATTACCGTGCGACGAAACTCACGGAAACGACTGAGCGGCAGTAGCTTCGGCTCGTCCGTGCGAGACAGCGAGAGCGGTACACCATCCTACGTCCCGCAAAGCCGGCAGTCCTTCGGGGCTCGAACCGGCGGTGACAGTCGTCCCAGCAGCAGAACCTCATACTCCAGTCGCAGTTCCTTCAGCCAAAGCGTTCACTCCGGTGTTCCTGTCGGCGCCCGCCCCGAAAGTCGATCAAGCCGACCCGGCGCGAAAACCCCACTCGGCCACTATTCAACCAACCCGACGACAGAGAGTCGGCGCCCACGCTCCTCCCTCAGTAACCATAATGGACAGGGCTCGTCAGTAGGCGGCATGTCCCATATTGAAGAGGACCTTGATCTCGCCTCGACCCCGACAACCTCTCGCATTCCGCAGGATCTGCGCCGACCGTCGTTTTCCGCCGCTGCCACACCCGGTACGCTCAAGAAGCGCACGACTAGTGGTGTCTCAGCTATCCCCGCACCCCGGAGTTTCAAGACGAGCATTGGGCCCGGATCAAGCATGGCACCATCAGCCGATCGCAGGGCGAAAGTGAACGATCTCGGCGAGACTTTCTAGAACGCGACCCGATCTACTTCTTTTAATGGGAAGACCAATTCATTTCGCGCCTGTCTACAATATTATTTGGGATAAATTGTTTCACACTATTTCCAAGTCGGGGTTAAAATTGACGTGATGAGAAGGGACGGGACGGGATTTGCGTTTCTCATTCTTCATATCCATATTTCCCATCTGCTCTCCTTCTTTGTCGCGTGTGTGCATACATTGCAACCACCTGGATAGTGGTTTGGTTTGGTTCTGCTTTGCTTTGCTTCCTGTTTCGGCGCCCTGTACAGTTTCTGGTGTCTTGCAGGGAGGTTTGAGTTCCCTTTACTCCATACCCGTCACATCTTTGTAGCTGTGGATAGAGTCCACGGCGTCCTAAGCTGTGTCTCAGCATCTCGTTCTCGTGCGAGGCGTTTCATAATACCCGATCTTATGTTTCATACCGTGCACTGTAGTATCACCGTAGACATAATATATGGTATTAGGAGTACTTTACTTGGGTACTCTCAAGGTCTAGATTGATTTCTAGATATCTAGATGTCAGAGTCTTAGTATGGATGCTAGTCTGTACTTCCGTTTCCAGCGATATGGATGTAATGTCGCACCCGTGTTGGTGGGTCTGCCCAGGCCCGCCCAGCCAGGAACCAGGCACTCTTGCGAAAGGGGCGATTCCACGTTTCGGGGTTTCTGGGAACCAGTGAAGTGCAAGTTATTATCCAGAGTATTACCAGTAAATAGTAGATAACCACTAGTGACTCCGTAGTAGTCTCTAGGGCTTACATATTCTATGGTTTTCTATGGAGTGTGTTGTCTTCGAAGCACGGTCATGTGATTTGAGTATGAACAGGTGGCTTGTCGATGCAGCCCCATTGGAAGCTACTAGTAGTACTACCAAGAGCCCGGAGTACATGTAAATTAAATCGAGAGGAAAGTGCCACCGAAATGTCAGATTCGAGCCGATTCGAGCCAGGCTTGGGGGCCAAGGCCGACTCGGAGGCCGATCTTGCATAGCCTTACGGTACGGTACGGTAAGTGGTACCGTACACTTGGCATATCGGACTCGGAGTAACTAGATTATACTGTAGTATAGTTAGTTATAGTCAGTAAAGTGGTACATAGTAGTACGGTGACTATATAGTAAGTAAGCCTATGGATGTATTGCGGACTTAGGATCGTGCTCAGGGCACTAACTAAGTCCGCAGCTGCATGGGGCGCCAAGTCGCTAAGATTCAACTGATTGGCAGATTGTAAGCTCTCCCATCTCCCCGTCTCCTCTCAAATTGGGAAAAAGGGAAATTGGTGGGAGATTCAGCGGTGGAACCGCCCAACAAACATTGGTGAAGTCCACCAGAAACTGCAGGCGGTGAATAACGGTAGTTGGGACCCCCCACTGGGAAAGGGAGTCTTTCCTCAGCATTTTTCGAGGTTGAACTTGGGATCGGCCTTCTTTCTCTTTTTTCTACTCGTGGTTCCCCTCAATTTCCCCAATTCTTCTGTATACTCTCTTCAATCTTCATTTTTTGGGGTTCTGGTGGTCGTGAGTGCAACCTTCCTACACTTCTGTCCGTTTGCAGCTTATATACACTACTCAACTCCCCTTACCCACCGCGCCTAACCCAGAAAGAAAAAAAAATACCGAGACGTCGGACTTCCGATTACTGACGATTCGTTATCCCGGACAGACAAATCCTCATTGAATCTCTCTCTCCACCCGCTTCTCTTCTCTTCTCTCTTCACCTCCCTCAATTCCGTCGCCCCGCGATTTCGAACTTCCCACCATCCCGCGCGGTTCGCCACTTTTTAACTCCGTGTACATTACATTACTTCCCTTCCAGCAGCGCTGTTTAATTCCTTCCGAGCATTGGCCCTGCCCCCCCCGACATTGCATGGGAGCTGAACTCGCTTGATTACTACTTTGCATCCCTCCTATCTCACCCACACATTACACACCATGGGCGTCACCAATGGCAACAGCTCCATGGCTGCTAAACATGACGAACTTCCCTCACATTTCATCGGCGGTAACCGTCTGGATCAAGCACCCCCGAGCAGTGTGAAGGATTTCGTCGTTGAACATGGCGGTCACTCCGTCATTACCTCTGTAAGTGACATTCCACGTGGTAGGAAGCAGCACCGAAAAAGAAGAAAACAAAGAAGAGAAGAAGACAGCCCGCCGTAAAACCAGAAGCAATGGAACTCCGCTAACTCTTAAACTCTCCCAGGTCCTCATCGCCAACAACGGTATCGCCGCCGTCAAGGAGATCCGCTCCGTGCGGAAATGGGCTTACGAGACCTTTGGCAACGAGCGTGCCATTCAATTCACCGTCATGGCCACCCCCGAGGATCTGCATGCCAACGCCGACTACATTCGCATGGCCGACCAATATGTCGAAGTCCCCGGTGGAACCAATAATAATAATTATGCCAACGTCGAGCTGATCGTCGATGTTGCGGAGCGCATGGATGTCCACGCCGTCTGGGCGGGTTGGGGTCACGCCTCCGAAAACCCTCGGTTACCCGAGTCTTTGGCTGCCTCGCCGAAGAGGATCATTTTCATCGGTCCCCCCGCTTCGGCTATGCGCTCCCTCGGTGACAAGATCTCCTCCACCATTGTCGCCCAGCACGCCGGTGTTCCCTGTATCCCCTGGTCCGGTACCGGTGTCGACGACGTCGAGGTTGACAGCAACGGTATCGTGACCGTCCAGGATGATATCTATAACAAGGGTTGTACCTTCTCTCCTGAGCAGGGTCTGGAGAAGGCCAAGGAGATTGGTTTCCCCGTCATGGTCAAGGCCTCCGAAGGTGGTGGTGGTAAGGGTATCCGTAAGGTCGAGAATGAGGAGGAGTTCACCTCCCTCTACAACGCGGCCGCCAACGAGATTCCCGGATCCCCCATCTTCATCATGAAGCTGGCTGGAAATGCCCGCCATCTGGAGGTCCAGCTGCTGGCTGATCAGTACGGTAACAACATTTCCCTCTTTGGTCGTGATTGTTCCGTCCAGCGTCGTCACCAGAAGATTATCGAGGAGGCTCCCGTCACCATCGCCAAGCCCAACACTTTCCAGGCCATGGAGAAGGCCGCCGTCAGCCTGGGTCGTCTCGTCGGTTACGTCTCTGCCGGTACTGTTGAGTACCTGTACTCTCACTCCGACGACAAGTTCTACTTCCTCGAGTTGAACCCCCGTCTGCAGGTCGAGCACCCTACCACCGAGATGGTTTCCGGTGTCAACTTGCCCGCCGCCCAGCTCCAGATCGCCATGGGTATTCCCCTGCACCAGATCCGCGACATTCGTCTGCTCTACGGAGTTGATCCCAACACCTCTTCCGATATCGACTTTGACTTCTCCAGCGAGGAGAGCTTCAAGGTCCAGCGTCGTCCCCAGCCCAAGGGCCACACCACCGCTTGCCGTATCACCTCTGAGGACCCTGGTGAGGGTTTCAAGCCTTCCAGCGGTACTATGCACGAGCTGAACTTCCGTTCTTCCTCCAACGTCTGGGGTTACTTCTCTGTCGGTACCGCCGGTGGTATTCACAGTTTCTCCGACAGTCAATTCGGTCACATTTTCGCCTACGGTGAGAACCGTTCTGCCTCCCGGAAGCACATGGTTGTTGCCCTCAAGGAGCTGAGCATTCGTGGTGATTTCCGTACCACTGTCGAATACCTCATCAAGCTGCTCGAGACTCCCGCTTTCGAGGACAACACCATCACCACCGGTTGGTTGGACCAGCTGATCTCCAACAAGCTGACTGCTGAGCGTCCTGACCCCAATGTTGCCACCATTTGCGGTGCTGTGACCAAGGCTCATCTCGCTAGCGAGGCTGGTGTCGAGGAGTACCGCAAGGGTCTTGAGAAGGGTCAAGTCCCCTCCAAGGATGTCCTGAAGACTGTCTTCCCCGTCGACTTCATCTACGAGGGTTACCGCTACAAGTTCACCGCTACTCGCGCTGGTCTGGACAGCTACCACCTCTTCATCAACGGTTCCAAGTGCTCCGTTGGTGTTCGTGCTCTGGCTGACGGTGGTCTGCTGGTTCTGCTGAACGGCCGCAGTCACAACGTTTACTGGAAGGAGGAGCCTGCTGCCACTCGCCTGAGTGTCGACGGCAAGACCTGTCTCTTGGAGCAGGAGAACGACCCCACCCAGCTTCGCTCTCCCTCCCCCGGTAAGCTGGTCAAGTTCACTCTTGAGAACGGCGAGCACGTCCGTGCCGGTCAGGCCTACGCCGAGGTTGAGGTCATGAAGATGTACATGCCTCTGATCGCCCAGGAGGACGGTATCGTTCAGCTCATCAAGCAGCCCGGTGCCACCCTCGAGGCTGGTGACATCCTCGGTATTCTGGCTCTGGATGACCCCTCCCGCGTCAAGCACGCCCACCCCTTCACTGGGCAGCTGCCTGAGATCGGTGCCCCTGTCGTTGTTGGCAACAAGCCTCCCCAGCGCTTCGCTCTGCTCTACACCATTCTGGAGAACATCCTCCGCGGTTTCGACAACCAGGTTATCATGGGTGCTACCCTCAAGGAGCTCGTCGAGGTGCTGCGCAACCCTGAACTCCCCTACGGCGAGTGGAATGCCCAGTCCTCGGCTCTGCACTCCCGCATGCCCCAAAAGCTTGATGCTCAGCTCCAGACTGTCGTTGACAAGGCCAAGGCTCGCAAGGTCGAGTTCCCTGCCAAGACCCTCCAGAAGACCATTGTCAAGTTCATCGAGGAGAACGTCAACCCTGCTGATGCTGAGATCCTGAAGGCTACCATGTTGCCCCTGATCCAGGTCATCAACAAGTACCTCGATGGCCTCAAGACCAACGAGTACAATGTCTTCATCGCTCTGCTCGAGCAGTACTACCAGGTCGAGAAGCTCTTCTCTACTGGCACCAAGCGTGACGAGGATGTTATCCTGAAGCTCCGTGAGGAGAACAAGGAGGATATCGTCAGCGTTGTTCACACCGTTCTGTCCCACAGCCGCATCGGCTCCAAGAACAACCTGGTCCTCGCCATCCTCGACATGTACCGCCCCAACCAGCCCAACGTTGGCGATGTCGGCAAGCACTTCAAGCCCATCCTGAAGAAGCTGACCGAGCTTGAGGCTCGTGCCGCTGCCAAGGTCACCCTCAAGGCTCGTGAGGTTCTCATCCAGTGCGCTCTGCCTTCCCTCGAGGAGCGTCTGTCTCAGATGGAGCACATTCTCCGCTCTTCCGTTGTTGAGTCCCGCTACGGCGAGACCGGCTGGGAGCACCGTGAGCCTGACTTCGGTGCCCTGAAGGAGGTTGTTGATTCCAAGTACACCGTCTTCGACGTTCTGCCTCGCTTCTTCATCCACCAGGACCCCTGGGTCACCCTAGCCGCTCTTGAGGTCTACGTCCGCCGTGCTTACCGTGCCTATACCCTCAAGGCGATCGACTACAGCGCCACCAATGAGCCTCCCTTCCTCTCCTGGGACTTCACTCTGGGCAAGCTTGGCCAGCCCGAGTTTGGCTCTGTCTCCTCCACCCAGCCCTCTGCTCCCGGTACTCCCACCACTGAGATCAACCCCTTCAAGCGCATCAACTCGATCAGTGACATGTCCTACATGGTCAACGACCCCTCCACTGACCCCATTCGCAAGGGTGTTATCATGCCCGTTCAGTATCTTGAGGATGCTGAGGAGTTCCTGCCCCGCGCTCTGGAGGCTTTCCCCAAGGCCGGTGCCGCTAAGCGTCCCGAGCAGGGTCTGATTGCCAACCTGGAGGGCAAGCGTCGTCCCACTGTCAAGACTGACAACGACAACGAGCTCACTGGTGTTCTCAACATCGCCATCCGCGACATTGAGGGAGACGATGACTCTCAGCTCGTGGTCCAGATGCAGAAGATGCTTGATGACAACAAGGAGGAGCTGCTCGCCCGCCGCATCCGCCGTGTCACTTTCATCTGTGGTCGCGAGGGTGTCTACCCTGGCTACTTCACTTTCCGTGGCCCCGCCTACGAGGAGGATCTGTCTATCCGCCACAGCGAGCCCGCTCTTGCTTTCCAGCTTGAGCTGGGACGTCTGTCCAAGTTCAACATCAAGCCCGTCTTCACTGAGAACCGTAACATCCACGTCTACGAGGCTATCGGTAAGGGCCCTGAGAACGACAAGGCTGTTGACAAGCGCTACTTCATTCGCGCTGTTGTCCGCCCTGGTCGCCTGCGCGATGACATCCCTACTGCCGAGTACCTGATCTCGGAGGCTGATCGCCTGATGAATGATATTCTGGATGCTCTGGAGATCATTGGTAACAACAACTCCGATCTGAACCACATCTTCATCAACTTCTCCCCCGTCTTCAACCTGCAGCCCACCGATGTTGAGCAGGCTCTGGCTGGCTTCCTGGACCGTTTCGGCCGTCGCCTCTGGCGCCTCCGTGTCACCGGTGCTGAGATCCGCATCCTCTGCACTGACCCGGTCACCGGCATGCCCTACCCTCTCCGTGTCATCATCAGCAACACCTACGGTTTCATTATCCAGGTCGAGCTGTACATTGAGCGCAAGTCCGAGAAGGGCGAGTGGATCTTCCAGAGCATTGGTGGCACCACCAAGCTGGGCTCCATGCACATGCGTCCTGTCTCTACTCCTTACCCTACTAAGGAGTGGCTGCAGCCCAAGCGTTACAAGGCTCACCTCATGGGAACTCAGTACGTGTACGATTTCCCCGAGCTCTTCCGCCAGGCCTTCCAGAACAGCTGGACTCGCGCTGTTGAGAAGATTCCTTCTCTGGCCAGCCAGCGCCCCGCCGTTGGCGAGTGCATCGACTACAGCGAGCTTGTCCTCGATGACACCGACAACCTGGTCGAGGTTTCTCGCGAGCCCGGTACCAACAGCCACGGTATGGTCGGATGGCTCGTCACTGCCCGTACTCCCGAGTACCCCCGCGGCCGTCGCTTCATCATCGTTGCCAACGATATCACCTTCCAGATCGGTTCTTTCGGTCCCCAGGAAGACAAGTTCTTCCACAAGTGTACCGAGCTTGCTCGCAAGATGGGCATTCCTCGCATCTACCTGTCTGCCAACTCTGGTGCCCGTATCGGTATGGCCGACGAGCTGATTCCCTTCTTCTCTGTTGCCTGGAACGACGCTTCCAAGCCTGAGGCTGGCTTCAAGTACCTCTACCTCACCCCTGAGGTCAAGAAGCGCTTCGACGCTACCAAGCAGAAGGAGGTCATCACCGAGCTCATCCACGATGAGGGTGAGGAGCGCCACAAGATCACCACTGTCATTGGTGCCAAGGACGGTCTTGGTGTCGAGTGTCTGAAGGGCTCTGGTCTCATTGCCGGTGCCACTTCCAAGGCTTACGAGGACATCTTCACTATCACCCTGGTTACTTGCCGTTCCGTCGGTATCGGTGCTTACCTCGTCCGTCTTGGCCAGCGTGCTATCCAGGTTGAGGGCCAGCCTATCATCCTGACTGGTGCCCCTGCCATCAACAAGCTGCTGGGTCGTGAGGTCTACACCTCCAACCTGCAGCTTGGTGGTACCCAGATCATGTACAAGAACGGTGTCTCGCACATGACTGCCAACGATGACTTCGAGGGTGTCGAGAAGATCGTTGACTGGATGGGCTTCGTTCCCGACAAGAAGGGTGCTCCCATTCCCATCCGCCCCTGGTCCGATGACTGGGACCGTGATGTCGGCTACTACCCCCTGCCAAGCAGGCGTACGACCCTCGCTGGTTGATCGCCGGTAAGCAGGAGGAGGAGGGCTTCCTGCCCGGTCTCTTCGACAAGGACTCCTTCGAGGAGGCTCTCGGTGGCTGGGCCCGCACCGTCGTCGTTGGTCGCGCCCGTCTCGGCGGTATCCCCATGGGAGTCATCGCCGTCGAGACCCGCTCCGTCGAGAACGTCACCCCTGCCGACCCCGCCAACCCCGACTCCATGGAGATGATCTCGCAAGAAGCCGGTGGAGTCTGGTACCCCAACTCAGCGTACAAGACGGCTCAAGCCCTTCGCGACTTCAACAACGGCGAGCAGCTCCCTGTCATGATCCTAGCCAACTGGCGTGGTTTCTCCGGCGGCCAGCGCGACATGTACAACGAAGTCCTCAAATACGGCTCGTACATCGTTGACGCCCTCGTCAAATATGAGCAGCCCATCTTCGTCTACATCCCTCCCCACGGTGAACTCCGCGGCGGATCCTGGGTCGTCATCGACCCAACCATCAACCCAGACCAGATGGAAATGTACGCCGATGAAGAAGCCCGCGGCGGTGTCCTCGAACCCGAGGGAATCGTCAACATCAAGTACCGCCGCGACAAGCAGCTCGACACCATGGCCCGCCTGGACCAGACCTACGGCGACCTGCGCCGCTCCCTGGCCGACACCACTCTGAGCAAGGAGCAACTGTCCGATATCAAGGCCCAGATGGCCCAGCGTGAGGAGCAGCTCTTGCCCGTGTACATGCAGATCGCGCTGCAATTCGCCGACCTGCACGACCGCGCCGGCCGCATGCAAGCCAAGAACACCATCCGCCAACCCCTCCGCTGGCAAAACGCCCGCCGCTTCTTCTACTGGCGTCTGCGCCGCCGTCTGAGCGAGGAGCAGATCGTCAAGCGCATGGTCGCTGCCAAGGCTGCCAAGTCTGGCGCCGATGCTCCCCAGACCCGCGCCTCGCACCTGGAGACTCTGCGTGCCTGGACCGGAATGCTGGACGACGAGATCGAGCACGACGACCGCAAGGTCGCCATGTGGTACGAGGAGAACAAGAAGGCTGTCCAGGTTAAGGTCGAGGCGCTCCGGACTGAGGGTGTTGCGGCTGAGGTTGCGCAGTTGCTGATTGGCAACAAGGAGGGTGGTTTGCGCGGTGTGCAGCAGGTTCTTTCTATGTTGCCTGTTGAGGAGCGCGAGTCTGTGCTCAAGTATCTTGGTTCTTCTTAGGGACTGTATCTGGTGACTTTTGTGTGTGTGTGAATTGAAGGGAGAAAATTCGAGTCTCGATGAGAGAAGACTCTTTATGAATGATGTGTTTTCTACTTTATACGGTTCTATGGTTTTCCTTTTTTGCGGTTTCTTTTTATTTTACAATTTTCTTTGCATGGTTGAATACGAATAAGAGGTTATTTACTTTACTTTGTTACTTGAATGCTTGTAGACGTAGCCCAAGCGTGATGATTGAGAGCCGTTGATGCCGTTGCCCGATTGGGCCTAGTGTGCAGGCCGCCATCCTATATGTTCCCTTCTTTACACATAGTGTTGCGTCTTGAGCCCGCAAGCCTTGCCTTTGCATCCAGGCTTTCAGCAAGCATAAGTTTCATCTGCTCGGTAAGATCGTCACCATTGAAGAAATTCACAACATGGTCCAGACAAGGAACAAGCAGTTTGCCATGATCTTGAAAACTAAAATACATTCCGGTAAGTATGAGGAAGTCGCAGGAACCTCGCAAGGGGGTGGGGGTAAATGCCATACCTCGTTTCCCACGCAGCATCTCTCGGAAAAACATGACAGATAAGCTGAAAAGCAATCTTATGCCAATAAACGCAAATTTGATCATTCCACGTCATCATAACCACCTTTTTGATATCATCAGGTACCGAATACATCTTTGAAGAACATGAACTTCTTGAACCCTCCCCGTCAGCAATCTCAATCTCGAGCCAAGATCTGCTCAGAAGTTGAGTCTCGCTCGATGTCCGATTCTTGTCGTTGAGTACGCCTATCAGCTGATTTGTGAGCTTAACGCCTGGTCCTTCATTTGTCCAGCCCAGCTCGGCAATGGTTCTATCGCCTTTCGGCGACCATCGAAACTGTCGCTCTAGAAATCGCTTGAATACCAGTTCAGGCACCATATTTCCGCCAAAGCAGATGAGTAGAGCGAGAAAGATCTGCGAGCCGGAGGAGAGGGATGAGAAATTTGGATCCCTGGTATGATCATGATCTAATTTGCGAGAGCCTGGTCAATCAGACTCATTATCAGCACTAAACCTGGGCAGGGAAGTCAGGGATTAGGGGGGGAAAAAACTACAGAATAGAAAAACTCAAACCCACTATTCACCAACAAATCCGCTTCCTTGCGAAAAAAAAGACAAGGCGTCAAGTCCCTAGTCTGCCATAAATACCGTACTAGACCGGCTAATTCCCACGGCGACCGAGCTTTAAGTTTAGAATTCACAATCGCGTAAAGGAGCAGGATCGCAGACGCCGGACCCATACAACTACTAGTAGCCAACGCTACCAGACACATCTCCAATTTACTGGTTCGGTAGATAGCCGGCCTACACGAGCTGGTGGGGTTCGCCTTTTCCGCGGGCTCTATGATGTCGCGTTGAACGAGGGTTTTGAGGAAGTTCCCCAGTCTGGTGGATTGGATGTGGAACTCGGATGTGAGCCATTGCTCGAATGGTTCGGGGAATGGGATGGTCCCGCTGTACTTGGCGATTGTTTGGTCGAGAAGGTCTTTGTCCTCTGGTCGGGGGGTGTCTGTGACTTGACTCGGAATCTTCACGTTGCGCTTGGATAGTTCTCTATCCACGGATTCGCTGGCAAAGTATAGATGGGCTGCTAAGATGCTCAGATCTTTGGTGTCTATTTTGTCATAGCTATCTCGCCAAGTATAGGATTCGCCGGATGCGAGAAATAGCAGATCTGCCATGATTGGAGGCGGAGGATAATGTCAGCTCGTATGAGTAAGGAACTTGAACTAGATTGATAATGGGAGAGATATATTGGAGTGATGATTGTATGATGGTAGTAGGTTTAGCACAGGTTCGAGATAGATGTTGTATGTCCTGTTGGCTGGAAAGTAAATTTAGGAGAGTAGTATTAGAACAAACCTACTACCCCACTTTGTGTTTAAGAATGAGTGGGGTCGGAATTCGGGGAAATAATTATGCCGGGAGAATGGCAGGCAATCGCAAACATTGGAGTAGGTTAAGGAGTAGGTGTAGATGGAGATGTCTGCGTGAGAGTAGAGTACGAACTTGAATTCACCAACAAACCGAGTCCCATACGTAGAGCATAACTATCAACTACCCAGGTATGGCCATTTTGTCGCGTATATTCCCTCTGTCCAAGTTTTGAACCAACTAGTCCCGGGTCTGCCTGGTGGTGCCTGGAACTTAGGTTAAACTCGGATTGGTGGCGTCTTTTTCCTTTTTAAGCGACACAGGGGTCCTCTGTAAATGCATTTATCTACGCCCTCTTTCCATTTCCATCCATTGTTGTCCTATCATATGTGCCTAGAGCTTCTACACCCAAGACACAATCATGTCTTTATCTTCGACGACGAATCCTGCGCACCTGCAGATGCCCGGGTTTAATGTTGCGCTCAACGCAACGCCTGCGGTGAGATCCGATCCGATCCGGCTGGCTTGCCAAGCTCCCCTTTCTATTTCTGCTTACCTTTATATATTTTAGGTCCTTAATTCGGGCCTTGTGATGATTGGCGGATTCCCCAATGGATTGGACGAAGCTCATTTGGAATATGGGAGTGTGGAGTGAGTTTTTGCCTCCGGGGGAAAGGAAAGGGAGTTTAATCGAGAACTTGAAGAAGCGTTAACATAATATTTCTAGTAACTTGAACGTTCATCGGGAAATTTTGATGATGCGAGTTATGAATTCTATTACCGATAAATCCGAATGGGATCGAAAGGTTCGGGCCATATTTCTATCTATCTCACACCCTCTTCACTCATCTTGCTGCTCTTAATGACAGGCATATACCCAAAGCTACTTCTACCTGATGCTAACCCTCATCTGCAGGTGTTCGATCTCAACATCACATCAAAATGGCGCGATGAAATCGCAAAAAGTGACCAAGACATTACCCCCCGAATGATGAACTGGGTGATCAAAGAACTCCAATGGAAAGCCGAGCAATTCACCGAAACAGGCTTCGTCCAGGTCTTCGACGCCGGCGTGATAAAATCCGATACGGTCATTTCGCAAGAACTGCGCCAGGCGCTGAAAGACGCGTCGGTAGCTCTCAGCGATGTCCCGGACGAGGAGAAAGATTATCACCCGGGGTCAGAGGGCAAGGTCATTGATCTTGTCCACCCTTCGCTTTTCCCTGTTATCTATGGCCGAACGCGCGTCCTGCCGGACAGAACTATCGGGCTTGATGATTGTCTCGAGGCTATGGGGTATGGGTCTGTAGTTCCGCAGCCGACTGACGAACAGGTTCGTCAATTTACTCGCAGTCTGCCGCACGGAATGCCGGTGTTTAGCAAGAGTTTCCAGTGGTTACCGTGTGAGGTGGAGTTTACGGGGGAAGGATGCAAAATCGTTTCTTATATTAATAATTTGCATCCGGAGGGGCATCGCAATTTGTACGGTGTGATTGAGAAGATTATTTCCAAGGCTGTTCCGCTTTGGAATAAGAGTCTTGGTGGGAAACCCCGGGATCGTATTGAGTATGAGAATGTGGAATATGGCGAATCTTCGGTACCGGAACCTGAGTACCCTGGTAATGACTGGGATTATGAGGCGCCGGAGTGGGATACCTTTGACGAAGACGCTTGGAACGAAGTGTACGAAGGATGGGCTGCGGATCGTCCTATTGTTCTTCCTGAGCCTGGGGAGTTCAAGCCTGTGAAGAGCTTGAAGTGGGACCGAGTTGATCTTCGGACTCAATTTCCGGGCCAGAGATTGCAGGTCATTGTCAAGATGGCTAATATTGAACTTACTCCCGACAATCCTGAATATGAGGGGGGAAGCTGGCACATTGAAGGACAGTTGGTAAATACCCCCTCGTCCCTCCCACTCATCAATGAGATATCCAAACAAAGCTAACCATCGCAGAACGAACGAATCGCAGCCTCAGCAATATACTACTACGACAACGAAAACATAACACCAAGCAACCTCTCCTTCCGCCAACGCGTCAGCACCGATTTCTACGACGTAGGCTACGAACAAGACAGACACGAATTCATTCAAGCAGTCTACGGCCTCGAAGAAGACACCCGGGGCGAGAGAAACATCACCCAAGAACTCGGCGGTATAAAATGCGACGAGGGCCGACTGATTACATTCCCCAATACCCTTCAGCACCGCGTATCACCTTTTCAACTCGCGGATAAGACCAAGTCTGGTCACCGCAAGATTCTCGCACTTTTCTTGGTCGATCCGCATCGGAGGGTTATTTCTTCGGCGAATGTACCGCCGCAGCGGGAAGATTGGTTGCCAAAGGAGGTTCGGGAGATGCGTGGGGATGGAGAACAGATGGTACTAGAATCGAAGGGTCAGGCTTGCCCGGGACCGGATCGGGGTGGGTTGATGTCGATGGATGAGGCGATGGAGCATAGGTTGGAGCTTATGGCGGAACGGAGTTTGAGATCTGCGGAGAGGAATTTGAATTTCGAGGTTGGGGACTTTAATCTTTGTGAGCATTAATATGCTATCTATTAGTTCTTGCGAGTTGTTTAAATGGCATTTAGAATTGTGGTATATCGGGCGACATGTCAAAGTTGATTTTTAGGGGACAAGATAGCCATCTACAAGTTTAGACCTGGAAGAACTCTATTTGGAAGCCGAGTTTGAATTTTCTCAGCTGTAAAATATCGCGTGAGAGACGTAGACTTGTTGCAAAGCAGCTATTTATGCATGGTAGTTGCCAGTGGTATTTCCAAAACCAGGATGCTAGAGCAGTAAACTCGAGCCAGCGCAGATGGAATTTGAAAGAAGATCCGTGCCTGTGTCTGTTTGAGTATCCTTATTTCAAGGTTGTGATTAATTTGGCACACGTATCGATCTTGAAACCATCCCCACCGAGCTTCGCAAAGGCGCGATGTTGATTTTATGAAGATGGAAGCGGGTAGATGTGCGATGATTGATCCCGCGTTTTGATGTCGTCGTGAGGCTCCTCTTCCCCCCTCTGATAATATAGATCTTATATGATCTCGTGAGATTCGGGACATGTTGGTGTTCATTTCAGATAGTCGACGAGAGACTCTGTTGAAGGGGATCCGTCTCGGCTGTTGCCTGGAAGCCTGAAGAGGGATGCGTGAAACTCTGAAGTCGGAGTCTCGGTGGTGTATGATTCAATGTGTGTCATTAAAAGAAGTAACTGGACTGTATGATTCTGGCAGACGAAATGTGCTCCGTCGGCTTAAGCCAAGATATTCGATAATATCACTCAATTCCAGCGGGTATTAATCCGATTGAAAGGATCAAAGGTCCACTCTTTATCGTGAGTAGTTTCGCCATTACGCGCGCGTCTCAGTTCTCGCTCCCTTTCCCGGATTCGTTTGTGATGCCGCCGTTTCTTGGATTTGCTTCGTCGGAGGTAGATCCACTCCAAGGGTCGTGTGTACCAGGCGCTCATTTTGAGGATGGGGTGCCGGTACGGTGACCCGGTCTTCGTATGTTTATCGTTGAACTGGCAGATAAGCTGGATGGATAGAGATTCTGAAGGGGGCGGAGCGAGAACAATAAAGCTGGCACCCGCTCGGTCTTTTATTGAATGTCTCGTGGTAACGGCTCAGCCTCGTGGTTTATAAGAAGGATTCTGGTAAGGCGCCCTGAGCCCCGCTGCTGGGCGTCGTCGTGATGCTCTGGTTGGCTAGTTATACGAAGCACTGTAATAGGTCATTTCCGGTAAACTCCGAGAGTTCGACGGTGCCTCCGCCAATGAAATCTAGCACCTTGAAAGAGTGGAGTAAGCCGGCCCATCATTTCCATGTCTGAGCACGACTCATTATGAGTGTTGATGGCAGTACAACTTCAAGAGTATGAGTTTGTTCCAAGAAAGAAAATTTTAAATTTAAGTCTATGTAAGTACCCTGAATTTTGGGACGAAAATTTTGATATTACAAAAAAGCGCGTGGACTAGGAATCGTGTGTGTCCTTCGCATGCCAAAAAAGAACCTGAATCTAGAAGGCTCTCACATCGTGATGAACCACTTCCAATTGTACCCTAGACAAGCCCATCTCGCGCCAAGTAGGCACACGAAAGACATGGCAAGCATAGCTCCAATGAAAGCCACCAGATTTGACGGGCCAATGATTTTCAGGAGCTGACCACCGATGGGAATTGCTACTAGGGATCTGGGGGAAATAATTAGCAGATGCACCGATACTAGGAATAACGGATGCAAACTCACCCGTGACTAATAACGAGATAGCAGTTTCCTAGCCAGAGCCCAACTTCCTCTGTTTTGCACATTTGGGCAATACAGACAGGGATTAGACAGAGGATAGCACCGGTTCCGAATCCCATTAGAACAACAAATGCATATAGTACACCGACGTTGTAGCCGAAAGGGTACCAAAGAGCGAATATAAATACTGTTGTAAAAGCCATTATGACCGACATCGTATTGAAGCGTCCAAACCGATCACAGGCGAATCCCGAAAGTCCCCGACCAACTGCGGCTCCACTGAAATTGTGCGTTAGCTAGGTTTCAACCATATAGAACAGAAATTGTGCACGTACGCATTGTAGACAGACATCAAGTATAAGCTTGTCTCTGTGCTAAATCCTTGCGCGATGGCGTATGAGGGAACAAGACCGAGAGACGCGACGAGGACAATTTGACCGACTTTGGGACGAATTAGTTTGTGATATGAAGACAGTGATAGGGCGGATGAACATACAAAATTGTGCTGCTGTGAACCAGACGAGTCGAGAATCGCGGAAAGAACGGAGGTTCAAACCACCTTTTCGTGTCTTGGGGGGAAGCCTCGTCTTGATGCAAATGTTGCCGATGGAAAGAAGACCCATGAAGATGAATCCAATAATTCTCAGTGACCAGGCCCAACCAAGAGAGTCTAAAGTCGCCCTCAGAATCAAAGGAAAGATAATTCCACCGAGACTTGCTCCAACCATGGCAATACCAGTTGCCATGCCTCGGCGGCGATTGAACCAGTGCGACAGTACGACCATCGATGGAGTTGTGACCAAGGCACCACTTAATCCGCCTAGACCTCCGAGGCAGAGCATGAATTGATAGTACTCTTTACATGATCCCAGTAGGAACATGGTCAGAGTGAAAAGCACAGATCCGATGAGCAGGATCCAGCGAGGACCGTATTTGTCGAACATTGGACCCACCTGCGCGGCCAGGACCATGTTGAGGTAAACGAAGACGGATGAAATCCATCCAATTGTCCCCGGAGTGTAAGACTGAAGTTGGTTTTTCCCCCAGTGGGATTGGAGAACACCAACCGAGGACTGCATACCGAGGGAACAAAATAGAGTCACAAAGGCACCGGCTACTACAAGCCACGCCCTGAGTCCACCTTCAGGGTAAAAATCTTCAATCTCCTTGTTTGTCGAGTCAATGGTCTCTTTAGATGTTGTAACGATGTACGATAGCCGATCTCTGCCAGCCACGTGTGGGCAATCTGGAATCTGCTCCTGTGGTGTCTTTTCAGACATGATGGTAAAAGAGAGCGTGTGTTGTAAAAAAGAGTGTGTCGAAAAGAATGAAATGAAAGAGAGCTGAAGAGTAGAATTAGTGTTGAATAGCTCATTATTTCTATATTCAATATAGTCTTTAGCCCCCCTAGCTAAGAATCCCTACGGGGTACGTGTGTTCGCAGGGTACGTGTGAGAGTACGTGTGCTCTACCCCCCAGCCACAGATCGAGTATGACAAGGGTTTGTACAAGCAAGTGTACTCCGTGTATAACATACCCAGATATGAGAATATGTGGATGCTTGGCGGGTCAAAACTTTGCCTTGCATTTCTCGTCGATCATGACATCACACGCCGAGGGATGTCCTCACCTGTCGGAATCTCTTCAAGAGATGTCATTGGCTTGTAGCGATATGTCCCTGACGGGAGACGGGGCTCATCCCTTGCGCGGAGTTCCGCCCACACATCAGGGAAGATCGGCATTTCTTCGATAAGGCAATTATTGGGATGGGTTGATTTGAGAATGCTATTCGTCTTTTGATTGAGGAAAGCAAAGATCTGATTTTCATGGCGTGCTAATGTCTCCTTAAACGTACATCCTGAGCGCAGATGAGCCTCAATGCCAAGAATTGCTAGTTCATCGGCTAACCTTCATAATATGATATTTTTGTCAAACTTTACACGCGTCACGTTTCAAGACCCTGAAACAACAAAATAGGAGTAATAGGAGTTCAAAAAAGGGTCATTTTTAGTAAGTGGCCATCAAAGGTACCAGTACTAGCAAGGTAGAGATCAACCGGGAGCTAATCCCGAGCAGATCGATTGTGCACTTGCCACCGCGTTCAATTTCGAAGTTTAATTTGTAGAAAACCTGCATCCCAAGGTCTGTACTTACTATTAGTAATTGGCAGTTATCGTGAATTAACAGAAAATTTATTTCGAGTTCTCCTGCATTGTACCAATCTTGTCGCCTACAATCGGCAAAGTTGTCAAATTCGATTATCCGATCGGGGCAAGCGCCGTTCTAAGCATTTGGAAATGACATGTGCTTCATACCTTGGAACATAATATTCTAAGATAAGCATTTCCATCGTTCTTAGCCGGTAATTTGGCCAAGCCTGTCCGTATATTTTCGAACGTAGGTGGCGTGCGCTCCTCTGACCCCCGACGTCATTTTGAGGAGTTGCCCTCGAAGTTCTAGAATACTTACGGATATCAGAGAATGCATATGCTAGGTATCCAAGTTTCTTCTACGTGCAGTGAGATGTTTGATTTGCGTTGTCGAAACAAGGTTCTTTTTGCCCGTGTGATGGATAAGCGCGAGGCCCAAGCGGAAGAGAAGCATTTATAGAACGGCCACTAAAATAAGCAACACAAATAGCGAATAGCGAATGAAAATCCTGCAATAGATGCACGTTCCGACGAAAAATATTGGAACTAAGCAATATATTACTAAATGTAAACTACAAAAGGAACTAGTGGCAATTTAGACACTCAGATCAGGTGAAGTCAAATGATGTTTCGGCCATTTAGGGGATGGGCTGCGGGAAGGGCCGTGTGAGATATCAGAGTGGCGCGAAACAGTAGCAACCCTCTACAAAAAGCTTAAGAATTGAGCAAGTGCTCAGTAGCTGATGGGCCATTCAGAAACAAAAGGTAGGGAATAATAATAAAATGGGTCTTCCAGGTGTAGCTGAATAAACAGGTGGATCGCGAACACATAGGTGATCAACCAGATGGCAAAATAATCCACCAAATTATGTGAGAAAAGGAGTCATTTGACTAATCATTTACCCCTAAGGAATATCCAAACAACAAGGCAGCAATTTTGGCTCATCCGAACACAGGAAGACCCTTTTTCACCTCGTTTGTTCCAGGGCAGGGGCAGAGTGGAGAAGATCGACTTCGCCGTCTAGTATAATGCTAGGGCCTGTCACAAAAGTTTTCTTGGATGATCATCCCAGGGGTCGATCACTACTTCGCATGCGTAATCGTCATTGAATTTCACGGGCATTGATCTGAAACAAATCGCAGA